ATAAAGGCAGTTTTTTCCCTACTTTTACGTTCTAATGGAATCTGCCAAAAGGCGCCCGTCATGTCCAGGGTCGCATAAAACCTTGCACCACTTAAAAGGTCAAGGCAAGAATTAATATTAGGCAAAGGATAGACATCTTTTTTTGTAATTTTATTCAATAGTCGATAATCGTTTACTGGCCTAAAACTTTCACCTTTAGGAATTAGCAGTAAAGGGCTACTCCAACTGGAGTAGGATGGTTCAATGATGTCTAAGGCCAGGAGCTTATTAATCTCTTCCTCCATGATACGTTGCTCTTTAATTGACGTTCGGTAAGGAGGAACATGAATTGGTTTTGCGTCACCCGTGTCAATAACATGCTCAGTTAGTGACGTGCAGCCAATTCGTTCCCCTTTTTTCGGAAAAATAATTTTAAACTTATTTATAACATTAATTAAACTCAGCTTCTCCTCAGGTGTAATAGTGCTGCCTATATTCAGAGTTTCATAGTCAATATCATTTTCAGAAAACGGGGAAATAATATTTTCGCTTCTAGTTTGATTAATAAATTCATCAACAAGTTCGTCAGAAGTTTTTATTTTATTATCGGTCTGGCTGGAATCTTCTACCTCTTCCAAGTTAAAAACATTTTGTAATAACCAGCCATTTGTAGGTTCTCCGGAGTTTTGTTTTGCTGAACTTTCGACATGACTTAATTTCTTATATGAATTTTTCATTTCATTTTTGAAAATAATATTTTTACTTTTACCTATACAAGATAGACATGGACCTTTCTCCATAAAGTAAAGTCGATGCGTTCTGTAGTCAATAATTACTTTAGCAGCATCCAAAAAGTCGTTACCTAAGAGTATAAGTTCATCTAAATTAGGATTATCGATAACGGCGCAGTGCACCCGGATGACCTTTCCCGCCAACTCAACATCTAAGGTAATGCCTTTAGAGGGGCTTTTCACATGATCAAAGAACCTTATTGGAAGCCCTAGCCATTCATCTGCGTCTAATTTCAGCATCCTTAAAAGTTTCGAGTTTATAATGGACGGCCCAGCACCCGTATCAATGCATGCCTGGAAGGATTCGCCCTGGATTTTGACTTGTGTCGTCATGCAAGTCTTTGGGACATATCTTGCTGCCTCGAAACCTACATTTAACGTGGGTAAAACGTTAACAACAGTTTCTTGGTAATCTTGGAATGGACAATTTTGGTCCTCGACGCCAATTAAGTTAACGTTCTGCTGCCGACTCGGCATAACGGGATAGCGCGGTTGCGGGGAATCACTCGAACTGTTGTCTCTACAGTTGATTTGGTAATGGCCCCTACGGCCACACTTAAAACAAACGGGCCTGCCGTCTCCAGTTCGTGATGAAAACTGACGTTGGCCGTTATACCTTCGTCCTCTATAATGATTTGGATTTTGGTTTCTCCATTCGCCTTGTCTCGGCGGTTCGTTGAAAGTTGACCTTCTGACGTATCCGTTGTAATCTCTTCCGTGCTGTGTTTCTCTTTGATAAGCGTTATCATATCTACTACTAAAGCGGTTTGGCGTACTAAACTTTCCAGGATTGAACTTAAAGTTAAGTACACTATCTAGTTTTTCCACAAGTTCGTTGATTTTTCGTCCTTCTCGGTCGTTGCTTTATTTCTCTTATTTTCACCGCCAAAGGGAACGTTAAAAGTTACAGTTGATCGTTTTTCCTTTGTCCCTCTGTCTTTAATAGGGTATAGTTCTTCTGCTACTTCCAGGATATCTTTCGGGGTCTTTTTGCCCATAATACGAAGTTGAGTGGCTGTTTGCTTATCTTTCATTCCCTTCAGGATAAAGTATCCTATCTCTGCTTGGTCCATATTTGCGTCCGCATGTTTGCATAAGTCTAAGATAGAAAAATAGTACGTACGAAAATCTTCTTCACTTCCTTGCTGTCGTGAAATCAGAATGTCAATAGCTTGTTGAGGCGTTCCCATTTTCCCAAATGTCTTAAGAAATTCTGTTTCAATGGAATCCCAATCTTCGGGTGCCGCTTCAGGTCTATTTTTAATCCATTTACGAGCAGTTCCCGCTAAAACTTCCGGAAATCTGCGAGCTTTCGTAGGGTCATCCCACGCGTAGGACTCTGCACAACGCAGATATGATTCTAGCCAGGTCTCCGCATCCTCGTGAGGGGCTGCCGAAAATGGTGGTGGTAATTTTACTTTAGGACCTTCGGCCATTCTTCGCGGTTCTTCTAACTGTTGTTGATGATTGCCTTCTTCTTCTCCTGCTGCACCTGCAGGGGCTTGTGCTTCCACTTGGTGACCTTGAATATTACCGTTTTCCACTTCGCGAGCGTTGAAAAGGTTCCCGGCTTCGGGTTCCTCGTTTATTTGGTTGTTAAAACTGTCGTCGCTAAGGTCGATGAAGGCAGTATTATAAGCTTCTTCGTTTTTTGATTTTATTACGCTTGATTCCGATGACGAAGAAAGTTCCGGTGTCTTGATACGATTAACGCCTGTCTGGGCCTGTGGATTCCAATACCTGCTGTTAGCCTGCTCCGCTGGAACGATTTCCGGTGGTAACCGTCTTAGCCTCAGCGAAAGTTTCTGCGCTAACGATTTATCTGTCGGGTCACTAGTAGGTTCCTTATTCTTTCTCGACGCCAGTGTATTTCATATTAAATTCCCGTAATTTATTTATACTACAAGTCAATAATCTAGCCTGTATTTTTACCGCTGATTAGTTACTGGTTTTTCACTTTCCCTAATATACTGTATGTTATACGACAGTCTACGTGTGAATTTCCTAGATTTTACCTATTATGCCTAATATTACCATCCAGCAAAACACACAACTATTTGTAAGTCACTGTGTAGTTACGGACCAGGTAACCACAGCAGCAAGAATACCTGTGTTGTGTCGGCGACTATTTGTAAGTGAGAGTGGCCTATGGTCAGTAGGTACACTAACGCTACCTGTGTCGCAAGTGGGCTAATATTCCAAGGATATCCTTTTTCCCAAAATTTCAATAATAATGTGCACAAATTTCCAAATCACATAACAATAATCCCTCAAATTTTGGCCAATTCTCAACAACAATTCACAAAAGTTTCTAGCACGTACAAGCCTTACCTTCACGCCAATTTGTAGCAACAATGAGTTCTACCTGTAGTGCTGTGTGTATGAGCCCTATGGATCAGGTCAACGATGACCTTAACAATACCTATAACGATTAGGCAACGCACCGGTGTTTGACTGACCTTTAATGATAATCAATGTGCCCACTACAACAAAGCTATAAGCTAAACAAAAGGTCAAGCTAGTACAATCGCTGGATGGTCCGGTGCAGGGCTGGCTGTAGACTGCTGGTCGGTTGACTTCGCAGGGGAAAGCACACTGGCCTCCGGTGGTTGCAGCTGTGGTTTTATATACCCGCGCGGCGGAGTGGTGCCGCCAGCCGGAGGGTGTGGTCACTGGCGTTATCGCGTGGGAATGAGGCCGCATGATGCAAGGCTGAGCGAGTCTGATGCAAGGCTGATGTCATATGATGTAATCGTCGCTGACCTCGATGATGCTGATGACTAAGCCGTCCGTGACAGAAGTTCATGATGCAAATTGTTCCGTTGGACTGGTGATTATTCTTTTACCCTTTCGATTTCTCCTTCCGTTCTGTGCTCTTGCTGGTGTAACCAGCTATGTTTTGACTGTGATTTTTCATTCCCGGTTCCCGAGACTGTTGACGGGTAGTATTGCATGTTGAGGAGTGTTCATTTGAGAGGGTTCATTTGATTCTGTAATTGGATTAGTGACTATTCTTTTGATTTCAACAGTGGGCTGGTGTATGTTTGTTCTAATAGGGCATTATAAGGAATCGATGTCGCGATATCTGTGGTTGTGTATTTCCGGTTGTAATAGTAATACGGTTGAATGGGCAGGTGTGTGGACAGTATTTTAATTACACGGAGGAGGTGTGCCAGCATTTGGATGAGAAGATGTACATCCACCAGGCTGACAATATGCGGTCAGCGACAGCGCACTTGCAGCTGTAGTAGTAGTAGTACTGCTGTACAACGCTCTCATCAGCACCATCCCGTCCATCCTGTTCTCCATTTGACTGGGTTAGTGCCAGCCAGGCTGACAACTTGCTAAGCCGGGAATTACAGCCAGGCTGACAACTTGCGTCGTGTCGGGAATTACAGGGCATCTGATTGTTCGTCGTTTTGGTGGCAGAGTGGCTAGATGGTAGGCCGGGTGGCGGACACCCTGCAGGTGTGATTTATGGCAGCGGCGTTAACGTTGCTGCCATAAATGGTCCGCGGTGACGCCAGAGCAGTAGTGTGTATTTTAGTAGTTTTTTCCGCCGCGGCCAGAATAAAGTGATCGTAAGTAATGCTATATAAGTTTACGTAAATATTTCTGTAACAGGCCGGGTGGCGGACACCCAGGTATCCGGGTGGCGGACACCCAGTTATGAGCAGTAGTGTATCAATAGATTCATATATCCCTACGTCCTTATTTTTTAGAAATTATCTCATAATTCGACCTCCAGTTTGTGATAATTTTGATATTTTTACAAAATCCAGCGTCTTTCAAAGTTCCGGGCCCGGTCGCCGGGCCCAGCGCCGCGCGCGCCCTGGTCGTCCTGCATCCGGGCGACCTTTCCTACCGGCACCAGCAGCAAGAGACGAGGCTGTTCGTCCTGGTGACCTTATTAGCCGGCAGCGCTCTGGTCAACTGGACGCCTTCGGTGCTGTATTTCCTCATCGCGCCCTTCACCGGCTACTCAAACCCGGACGTGGAGAACGCCGTGGTGTACATGGGCAATCTGCAAGTCATTTGCGATCCGCTGTACCTGCTCCTCTCCGCCAAGCCGCTGAAGGAGCCGCTGCGCCGATTAATCTCCTCCCACCGAGTCTGCTCCCGCAACTGCCGGTCACGAGTTTTTGCACAAGCGACTAGATAGCCTAATTATCGATCTCTGTGAGTTGTTATATTTATGCGGCAGGATTTTGTTATATACAAATACAATACTTCTATACATATTAATTTTATTTCGCGCACAGATTATTGTACTGTGTATTAGCGGCTCACAGCAAAATAATTATAATAAAAATTAATAATAAAATTGTAATAAAATAATAATTAATACAATTACAGTATACTAGGGTACCACGATTATTAAACGCGCTGCTAAACGGATTTACAAATGAGATTTGAATAACCAAGAATAGTTCCAAATATTTCAAGGAATGTTCAGCACCTGTCCCGGGAAGATCTTGGTGGGATCGGCAATCTTGTTGACCTCGGCGATCTGGTGGTAGTCCACCCCGTGTTTCTGCCCGATCTCCCACAGCGAATCGCCCGGCCGCACCGTGTACTGCCGCCCACCGGCGGACGGCGCCGGACCCCGTCCACCATTTCCGCCGGCGACCGGCGCGCTTCCCTGTGCCGCCTGACCACCGCCGATGCGCAGTTTCATCCCCGGGAAAATGACATTGGGATCGGCGATCTGATTGTCGGCGGCGATCTGCAGGAAATTGACCCCGTACTTCTGCCCAATGACATACAGGGTATCGCCCGGCTGCACCACGTGGATTTTCTCCCCACCGCCTGCGCTAGGTCGTCCGCCCGCCGTGGGCGGCGCACTTCCGGCGGCGGTTGGACTGCCGCGGATGACCAGCTTCATCCCTGGATGGATCAGCGTCGGGTCCGGGATGTTATTGTCGCTGGCGATCTGCTGGAACGTCGTCCCGAATTTCTGCCCAATTTCCCACAATGAATCCCCGGCTTTCACGACGTACGTCGTTTCTCCGCCGGCGGGACTCTGCCGACTAGCATTCCCGCCCGGATGCTGTCCGCTAGCACTACCGCCCGCGGGCGCTGCCGTCCCCTTGATGATCAGCTTCATCCCGGGATGAATCAGCGTCGGATCTGGGATGTTATTGTCGCTGGCGATTTGGTGGTAGTCCACGCCGTGCTTCTGTCCGATCTCCCACAAGGAATCGCCCGCCTTGACGATGTATTCCGTCCCGCCCGTGGGCAGCGGTTTGTGCAGGCTTTTCTTGCCGGCCACGCCCGCGTCGGCGCCGGTGCCCAGCACCTGGGAGATGGCCTCCAGGAACTGGTAGCGGCGCTCCAGCGCCGGGTTGTAGCCCTTTAGTTCGTTGCTGTTGATGGCGCGCACTGTCTGCTCCAAGTTGGCCACGCCCATCGGCTTCACCTACAACAAGATGCGCATATTGTGGCAGTGTATGCTGCGACCGCCCTTACGACAGTCAGATACAATGCCTGAATTTTCGGTTAATAAATTCAATAATTATCAATAATTTTTCTTTTCGCGGTGTAGGCTGCAACCGCCCTGTCAGACGGTTAGTATAAAAGCATCATAAATTTACGTTGCCAGTGTGTAAGCTGCAACCGCCCTCGAAAACAGTTAGGTATAAAAGCATTTTAAATTTACATTCGCCAGTGTTTTCCTCATATTTCCCCCATTTCCCGTAATTTCTCAGCATTTACCCGGGCTTTCCAGAACCAAGCCGTGACGCCCCAGGCCAGTTGGGGCTCCTGCTCCACGCGCTCGGGATTCCGTTCCAGCACGGTCTTATCGCCGAAGATGGCTTGCGAGGCGTCGCGGTAATTGTAGATATGAGTTAACTGAATATAGCCGCGGCCGTAGTATTTATCGCCCCCTTCGTAGCCCTTGCCGGCGCCCCCGCCGATCTCGGCGACATACTGCAGTCCCTCGCTCTCGTGGTAGATGTTGGCCAGGAAGAGCGCCAGTTCCGCGCGACTGCCGATGCCCGCGTCCTGGATGGCCTGCAGCAGGAAAGGGTACTGCTCCCCGCGGGTGGGCCGGTTGATGGCTTCTAGCGTGCGGTCGAATTCCGCCGCGCTGAGTAGCTTGGACATGGCTGCTGTGCGTCGCGATAATGCTAACAATCAGGATTCAGTACTAACCGTCGACTACTTAATTTCTCTCCTTCACACTCCGCACGCGAAACATAACATGCCAGCCGTTTGCACGGTGTTTACTTTCCGGCAAGAAAAAACAAAATAACTGGTCTAGCCTGACTCGTGGTTATTCAATAAAGAATGCCCAAGTGCAGTGCTTCGCGATCGACGATGTTAAAAACTCAAAAGCCAAACATGAGACAGCTGTTTGGCTGCGGGCGAGATACACCGATACAGTAGTAGTACGTGTTTAGGTAGTACAGTCCAAAGTTGAGCAAGGTAGGACGATGACTCACGCCTATTCCATCGGAGGATCGATGCGTCAGCCTATCAGGCAGTTGATTGTTGCGCCCGATAGCTGCAGACTGCACTTACAGCAGGCAGCCGGAAACGGTAGAAATTCTATAAAAATTTTTATTACGAATTTCTGGCCATGGAAGACGTATTTTGAGCATGGTGCAGAATTATTGTGAAATGAAATGAATGAATGAAAATGAAATGAAATGAGTGAAAATAAAGCTATCTGTGACGATGCCATACTGACGACACTTACAGTACGGGTTGTTCACATCAGCATAGGGTTAACAGCAAAATTATGCAGTACATCATTTCAACACATAATACACTTCGTCCAGTCTCTTACCGATACAAAACGTTTCCAGAACACAAGCAGCGTTACCTCGCATTAAAGCAACACTGATTCGCTGCTTCAGCAACTGAGTGGACCGTTTCTCCTGTGTCCTCTCAAAAAGCACCTTACCGAGTGTAAACATCTTACATTTAGTTTCTTTAGTCCACACACGCATTGTTTCAAAAACCAAAGCAGAGAAAACAGTACGGTGTTTAGAGATTGAGAAAAACAGTGAAGAATATCAACTGGAAATGGCGTAGCTCGTTCGCACCCAGCACATGGCCAGTCACAGACTCACATGAAGACCTGGCATCATGACAATCTCTCTGCTGCACACTGACCGTCACACCACCCGTTTAATTCATCCCCGAAGAACAATCTACTGGAAAACTATTATTACAGTAGCTCGCACCGTTCAACTAAATTTCAAAACGCTCCAATGCACACTTGCCGGGCGCTAACTGGAAATAAAAACAAGATAATATTCCAAAAGAGAAAAACACCATGAAAACTATACATAGATTCAGCACAACAGGCGCTTAAAAATAAAACGAGGAAAAATCCGTCCGTCGGAAATCAGACAAGCCAGGCGGAGCTGAGACAGGACCAGCCCAGCGCCAACCCGCCCTCATTGACCCCCAGCGCCTTGCTGCGCACCAGCACCGCGTCGGCGCGCCGATTGAGGAGCATCTCCGTCTCCCCGCGCGCCAACACCGTCCCGAAGACGCCCACCTCGCTGACGGCGTCCACGACGGCCGGCGGCGTCTGGGCGCGGATGAGGACGTTGCGTTGCGTGGACGGCTGCATCTTGGCCATGAGGATGTAGTCCTGCGCCAGCGGGGTGCCGCGCACGGCCTGGATCCTGTCCACGAGATCCTGGAAGTAGAAGTTGTTGCCGCCGCCCTCGCGGTTCGGCTTCAGGACGTAGCGGGCGGGATGGGCCAGGGCGTCGGCGATGGCGGGGGCCGCGGACGGGTCGGCGAGATCGTACTGCGGCATGTTGACGGCCAGCAGCGCCGCGCAGGCCGCCGGGTCGTCGCGCAGAAAACTGCAAACACACTCCGCGTTAAACGACGGCACAGGACAATCCTCGCTTCCTCTTCCGCAGTGAATTTTTCAGTTTTTTCTTACCTGGCAGTGCCTTGTATTTTTAATGTACATTTTGGTTACAGTGACCATTCATTTAAAATTTCATTTCGAATAAAAACTGCAAATTAGCTTAATTTTAATTTCAATGAAAACTGCAAATATAAACTTCCAAAAACGGTATTAACCAGTTAATGAAGTAATCAGAATTATAAAATTGCACTGCCTAACGATTATTCATTTTTTGATGTTTCTATTCATCTATTTAGAATAAGTATGATATCAACCCAAGTGGTAGAAAATTCAAGGAAAGAAATCGGTACGAGAATTACAGTTCGAAAGAATTACCGAGAAAGGACTTCCGGTCGACTGAGCTCCTGCTGGATCTTCTTGAAGCCGGCCAACTGATACGCCACGCTGGGACATTTGATTGCTTCCGATTTCTCAATTAGCAACCGCAGATCCCAATCCACCTTCCCATCGTAATGATCTACAAAAAAACCAGAACCAAAATTATTCACCAGTTAATTAATCAATTAATTTGAACATCCACATAGATTTTGGAAATTCAACATTTATTGGGAGAATAATTTGGAAAGCAACTAAGGAATTAATTTAGAAATTCGAAGATGAATTTAGAAATTAATTCAGCAATTTACCGCAAGAATAATTTTGTTAATTGACAAAATAATTTGAAAATTTGGAGATTAATTGAAAAATAAATTTAGAAATTTTAAAATTTAATTTGAAAATTGGAATTTAATTTGGGAAGCCGCGCTGCTCCTTACCGGGCATGTAGGCGGTGCGGAAGTAGACGACAGCCACCTCCAGGCCCTCCACCCACAGCCGGCCGTCCGCGTCGACGCGGGCCGTGCTGCGCAGTGACTCCATCGTCCGGCGCAGCGTCGGCAGACCGCTGGCGAACTCCACCAGGCGCTGGTCCATGATGTTGAACTCGAAGCCCTTGTGGATGACGAAGAGCAGGACGCGGGTGTGCGGCGCCGGGTGCTGGCGGCAGTACACGCTGTGCCCCAGCGCCAACGCCTCCCCGTACAGATGCAGGCTTTCGCTGTCCGATACCGGGAAGTCCGGTTGGAAGGCCGGCTGCAGGAAGTTGAGGATGCGGCTGTGGCAGGGCGCCAGACGGGAACCGATGCCCGAGAGGCCCACGCAGATGGTGTTCACCTCCACTTGCTTGAACCGCGCCGGTGCAGGGTGCTTGGAATTATTACCATCACCTACGAAATATTCCGTATTTATTTCATGCACATTGCCCTGTTGCACTTCACACGATCCATCTGCAAAGCCGACAATCCACAGAAATATTCCGCAATTTTTATTAAAATTATCTCACCGTCACCCAAGGAAAATTTTTTAAAATTAATCTAAGATCTTTTAAATTAAAATCAGCCTACCAAAATCAAACAAAATTTATACTCGTCCCAGTTAAAATTAAAATTTTAATCAAATCACGTATCCAAGAACTGTAAAAACCAGAAGCATGAACTAAAAACAGGACGCAGAGAATGAAAATGAATAGAGACCGACAAGTACTGATCGACTCAGTCAGAAATTCGGCCTACAAAAATTCAAATAAAACAGCTGATAATTATAATTTACAACTTTATCAGATTTAAAATAATCGTAGAAATTGAAAGATCAGCCAACAAAATTCGACAACGATATAGATATTAATTAAAATTTCAGATTTAATAAATTACAAATATTTATACCGATTAAACGTTAAAGATCAGCACAGAAAATTAATGCGGCGAAAAATCGGCATCAATCCCAAGAAAATCGCGAACTTACCAGCAGTGCCATTTTCCTCTGAATCTGGGGCGTGCTCTAAATAATCACTGCGAAAGAGCCCCAACTGCCACTGCTTCTCCACATCCACCTGCCGGTAAATCTCCAGCAAATTAGCGATAAACGGATCGACGGAGGCCGCCCCCGCCAGCGCCCCCTCAATAAAGCCGCGATCCAGCGCCACGCGGTGCATCAGCGCGTTAATACTGCCCTGGATCCCCCTCACCTCCTCCAGCATCCCCCGGTCCAGCACCGTGGGGAAGAGCGTCACCGGGACCGTCTTCAGTCCATCCGGCACCTGGGGATGGCGCATGAGGAGCCCCTGGGCGGTGGCGGCGTCCTTCATCAGCGCCTCGGCGTCCTGCAGCAGCCCGGGGTCCCGCTGCAGTTTCTCGATGCAGGCGCTGATCAGGGGGCGCGGATCAGGACCGGGGGGCCGGGGCGGGCGGATCGCCTGCTCCTTCATCGTCGGAGGGGGGCTGGTGGGGCGGGAGGGCGAAGGCGCCGTTGTTGATGCGCTCGAGGAAGGAGGCCAGCAGGCGGAAGTTGAGACGGTCGGTCTGCGAGGGTTCGCGGCAGGGTTCGTCGTTGGAGTTGGGGGTGGCGCTGGGGGTGCCGGGCAGGGAGTTGGAGGAGGCCCCGGAGGAGGAGGCGGAGGAGGGCGGCTGCTCGGGGGGCGTGTTGGGGGGGAGATGATGCAGGTTGAGATGGTCGGAATTAATGTTGTTGTCGACGGGAGGAGATTGCGAATGACTGTCGGGATGGTTGGTTTCGACCACCATTATATCAGACGGCCAGCATTCGCTGACTCATCGATTCCAGAACGATCTGATAACGTCAGCACTGGTCACGGGCAGGGCAGCGGAGTCAGTGGATCAGAGAGAGAGAGAGAGCACAATCAAATCTCCTTCGTCACGCGCGATTCTGCACGGTCATTCAACGACCTGACAGCAACGATGACCCGTGGCTTTCTCTCCTCGTGCAACAAATACCGGACGAAAAATTAATGGTCACCAGCTAACAAAGACGCTAATCTAATCTCTTATCAATCAAGCCAACCAGGTTCCTGGTTCCAGCTTCCAAGTTTTTGATTAAAGCCAGAAATCAAATGCAGCAATAAAATAATTTGAATTTCCCTCGTCAACAGTGGGCCACTGGCACTGGAAGCCAGTACAGTTGAGTACGTTCTGTGAATTCCATTGCAAACGGAACAAATGGAACTGCATACAGGGCAATTCCATTTCCCGATGCAGTGGAAGACTGGTGTTCTTGTTTATTCGCGAAGTGATGAGTCGTCACTCGTGGAAATTTTCGATCAGCTGTGGTTTTTTATTTTTACATTGCAGCAGATCTGGGTTATTCTCTTGAGATCTTATCAGTTTTTTTTGTGGCTTGCAGTTTTAAGTTGGCTTTCGGATTCCGTTCCGTCGATCGAGCTAGCGTAAACTTATACTGAGGAAGATGCTGCGCTGCGTGCAGTCCGCGCGACTGCATCCCGTCAGCTCGCTGCGCAGCGTGCAGTCGTTCCTGTGGAACTCTGATTCGTCCGTCTCCCGCTCGCTGGGCACCAGCCCGTCGCAGCAGGCGCTGCTGGACAAAGTTGCTGCCTTCCGGAAGGAGTCGTTGCGGTTGGCGTCGTCGGAGAAGAAGCAGAAATGCAGCGAGAAAGAAACGTTCGACCTGCACAGTCCGTGCGCGCCCAGCGTCAGCTACGAAGCGGGCTGGATGGACGGGCTGCGACGCGGCTTCGCTGGCAGCGTCGGCAGGTAGAGGAGATTCTACCTGTTTATCGTGCCGATGTGTTTGTGCGTTATCCGCTGCCTTTGTTGCGTAGGACTCCTCTGATACGTCTGAATAAACTCAGCGAAGAAACAGGTACGAAGTATAGTGTAGCGAATGGGAAGAAACTTGTTTCTGATTTCTGCAGTTTCTTTATGTTCTGGTTGTTTCTTCATCGTCTCATTTACTGGAGAAGCGCGATTATACTGCCTATCAGCTACTGTAATCTATTGGTTTAAATTTTCTGATTTATTATTTTTTATTTACTTTGCATTCCTTTATTTTCTTATTTAATTTAGTTCGGATTTTTTTGAGCCGTTTAGTTTTTCAGCTGATGAATTTCAAGCAGTTTTGATTCTCTTTTTATTAATTAATAATTTTGCTCGATATATCCGCGCTGTATATTGCCGAAATCTGAAATCTCCACATTAAAATAATGTTGAAATTCCAGAATTAATTGGGAATTAATTTGGACACTAGCTGTATGCTGTGATTCACGCAGCGTGTTATGAGCCGATGTACGAAGACTTTACGGGGCAGTAAACTGAGCTGAGGAGATTTTGCTGCGCACAGGTTGCGACATTCTGGCCAAAGCGGAGTACGCCAACGCCGGCGGATCGGTGAAAGATCGGGCCGCGCTGTTCCTGCTGCTGGACGCCATCGAGAAGGGTTTGTGAGCACGTTTACCAGACAGCGCTAATATAAGGGACTGTGGGATGACGGGAATTGTGCTTGTGGCCAGGACAGATCGGGCCCGGCGGCACCGTCGTCGAGGGCACCGCCGGCAACACCGGCATCGGACTGGCCCACGTCTGCCTGGCGCTCGGCCTCAAATGCGTCATCTACATGCCCAACAACCAGTCCGCCGTACGTCTTTAATTAGCTGCAATTTTATGTTCCATTATTTAAAATTAAATATTAGATAAACGTGTAAATAAATCTTAATGCACTTGATTATTTTACTAGTAACAGATTTGCTTCAAATGTATTTTTTCATTTCATTCCATTTAATAAGCAGGAATTTTGGTTGTCTAATTTTTAAATGTACTGAAAATAAATGTGTAAATAGCTCTTAATTTGCTAATTTTATTTTATTACTGGAAGAATAATGTTGAATTAATTCGGTATATTTATAACAGGAGAAGATTGACATCCTGCGGACGTTGGGCGCGGAAGTGACGACCGTCCCCGTGGTGCCGTGGTCGGACGAGAACAACTACAACCACCAGGCGCGCCGCTACGCCGAGAAGCTGGAGAACGCCGTGTGGACCAACCAGTTCGACAACACGGCCAACCGGCGCGCGCACCAGGAGACCACCGGGCCGGAGATCTGGAAGCAGACCTCCGGGAAGGTGGACGCCGTCGTCTTCGGCACCGGCACCGGCGGCACCATCTCCGGTATGTTCTTCAACCGCTCTGGTCGACGAATGTTTAATTCTGGGACCGTGTAATTAACAGGCGTGGGGACCTTCCTGAAGGAGCGCAGCCAGGACATCCAGGTCGTCCTGGCCGATCCGCAGGGCAGCGTCCTCTACAAGTGGTTCAAGGAGGGCAAGCTGGAGCGGACGGAGGGCGTGGGTGCCGGGGGGAGCATCACCGAGGGCATCGGTCAGGGGCGGGTGACCAAGAACCTGGAGGGGGCGCCCATCGATGACGCCATCGTCGTCACGGACGACGCCGTTATCAACTACGTAATATAATCATTCTAATGATTAATTTACTGTAATAATTTGCAATTACGTTATTGACGATTTATTTAGAAAATAATTAATATGAATTATTTTACCACTTCGTTAGAGAAGATTAACTGAAAGTATTTACTTAGAAAAATAATTAAAATAATTTACTGTACTACTGTGATTTTAAACGAGCTTTCAGAACGGATTATGCAAAAATTAATTTAGAAATGGCTACTTCAAGAAGTACGCTTAATTTAATTTAACGTATGACTGTGTACTAAATTTTCGGATTATTCAACAGCTAATCATTTAAAAATTGATTAAATATATAAATTCTAAAAAGGATTATTTGAATAATTAAAAAATACAACGATTAACGTAACTGTTGCAGACATTCCGGTTGCTGCACGAGGAGGGCTTCTTCTGCGGGGCCTCCACCGGCCTGAACGTGGCCGCCGCCGTGGAGGTGGCGCGCCGGCTGGGCCCGGGCAAGACCGTCGTGACGTGCCTGTGCGACACCGGCCACAAGTACTACAAGCGCCTCTTCAACCGCGAGGCCCTGACGAAGGCTCGTAAGTCGAAACGGAATGTTGACTGCTTATTTTGCGCTGTTGTCCAATGTCAGAGCGTGCTCACTGTTGCAGAATTACTGGATTACGTCCCGGAGAAGTACCGCGCAGCCCTGGCGTAAATGGAAGTTTATTTTGGCTTTCCATCTTTTTTTTACAGAGGACTATGAAGCTTTACGGAGATTTTATTACAGCAAGAGGCATTCGTTAGTTTTTACTCACCGGGAAAATTAATATCGTCCGGCTGTGGCTGGCAGATTAGCGTTTTATTGATTTTAAAAGGAATAAAAATTCATCGGAAGAATGATTTTGTACGCAGTGTGAAGGCTTTTATTCCCTCTTATTTTGCTTTACCTAAGAAAAAGTACACTGGTAACGTTTTAAAAGAAAATTACAAACTGCAGCAAACGTTGCCGGCAAAAGAAATCTCGGCTTACTGTAATTTGTATTTTGTAAGTTAGACAAGGTGACGCAAGGAATAAGAATGGGACCGTTGTACGTTGCACCGGCACCGGATAATCATAATTATTTTATTACAAGCAGTAATTGTTATTCACTGTAAATCTACACTGTTGTAAAATGTCAAAGTACAGATATTGTGATTAATATTTAATAGCATCGCACGAATAATTCCGTTTCTGTTTGCGTTAATATCACCGTAAAGTTCCAATGTGCTTGCTGGGCCTAATGGAAGCGGAAGCAAAATGGAATGGAATTGCCAACTACTGCTGTATTTCCGTAATTAGCTCAGCACTTTTCTGCAGCGTGCAGCGTGCTGAATTAGTTTTCCCGTTTTTCTTTCCTCGATGCAACGTTATTGAAACCTGTAATAAAGCAGTTCATCTGGCAAGTGTCTTTGTTAGAAACGTAGTGAATTTTCTCATCTGTTATCTACGGACGCGTACAGGATTACAGGGTGCAGGGAGCTGATCGGCAGGCAGTGTGCAGGATCGCCATCGCAGCCAAAATATTGCACTGAATCTCTGCGTTATTTCTAACTTCTTGGCTGATTTCGATATTCGGATACTCAGAATCTGGCTGATTTCGCTGTTAGCGCGACCGTGTTGGGCTGTTATCTGTAGCGCGAAAGCAGGGTATCTTTGTGCGTTGTTCGTGGTAAAGCGGGAAGATGGTGTTGGAGAGTACGATCGTCTGGTAAGGAGTGCGCACGAGGCGGAGAACTACGCTGCAGTGTCGCAGTGGTTTCTCGTATCAGGCACATTCTCGCGCAGTAGGGAAAACTGGCCATGGCCGCAATACGTGTGCGATTGGCTGTTTATTAGGTTTTTTAGTTTTTGAATCCGCCGAGCCAAAATAATACTTTGCACTTGTCAGGGCCAGGGAAGCAGGGAAGATCGAGCTGCTGGCTGTTTTTATCATTTAAAAATAAAAAATTATTTACTAATTTACAATTCCGCATATTTCTTTCTGTTCTGATTTTTTTAAATTTTTCTTCAGTTCATTTTAATTTTTTGTTCTTCGTTTTTTATTTAAATATTACTTTCTGATTTCTAAATTATGTGGTTTGTTTTTTTCGTGTGATTTAAAATTGTCTGATTTGTGTGTATCTTATTTTATTCATCGTCATTTGTTCTACTCGTACCACGGTACAAAATAATCTGTGTACACTGTACCGTGATTATTTTGTACCGTGCTCGTACTGTACTCGTATCTATAATTCTGTTTGGTTGGCAAGAATGGTGTTAATTGGCGTTTATTGTAAATGTTGATTTCCTTAGATTTTCTTCTTTTAGCGTCTGCGTAGAGACTTTGAGTGTAATTTATTTGCGTACAGTGGAAAGTGAAAAATGACTTTGTGTGTGTTTGGTGTATGTGTCTATTCTGTAGCGTGGACAACAGCGAGTACATGCGCAACGGCGACTACCTGCCGACGCGGCTGCACGCGCAGAACGAGGCCGTGGAGGCGGTGTGCAAGTCCAAGACGCGCTCCAACCCCGAGAACAACGTCGGCCTGGTCACCTTCAGCAAGTGAGTTGCATTTTCGCAATCTGAGACGGCACTGCTAGGGATCCGCTGGGAGACTGTTGACTGACTGTACTGTGTCCTTGTTATCCATCGCAGTGGCCGCGTCATCGTCACGCTGACCACCGACAAGGACAAGCTGCTGGCCAACCTCCAGCAGGTCACGCCGCAGGGCCTCCTCGACTTCCACACCGGCATCCGCGTCGCCCATGTAAGTCACGCCCAACCTATGAGATTTTGACTGCTGCCCAATAATCATGAATATTTTATATTTATTTTATCGTCAGCCTTTTATTTTGATCATTTTTATCTTTCGGACAGCGCTTCCCCCATCTTTCATTTTCTTGTACAATTTTCCTACAATTTCTCCTAAATCCTAGCAAAATTATACTAAAATCTTCAGCCATGAATTTACGGTGAAATTAAATTGTAATAACATTACAGAACTGAACTGAAAAAAAAAAAATACGATTAACTTCAGTAACTGTATAAAACTGCAGTCCAGCAATTGCTGTACAATTTGAAGGGAAATAAAATTAGATAAAATTGCAGTAAAATTACAAGTTGTGAAATAAGATGTAAGAGAATTGTTGTCTGTTTAGTTGGCGCTGAAGCACCGTCAAGGCCGCAACCACAAGATGCGCATCGTGGCCTTCGTGGGCAGTCCCGTCGCGGAGGATGAGAAGGAGGTAATGCTGGATGGCCTGGTTAGAATTCAGTGATTTTCCTTGTTGAACGGTGTGCTGTTGCAGCTGGTGCGTTTGGCCAAGCGGCTGAAGAAGGAGAAGGTCAACGTGGACGTGGTGGCCTTTGGCCAGGAGGTGCGTTCGTCTTTTTATTCTAAGCTGGAGGTTGTCCATATTGAACTGATTGCGGTGATTGCAGGGTGACAATTTGGAGAAGCTGAACCAGTTCGTCAACACTCTCAACGGCAAGGACGGCACTGGGTGCGTATCCACACAGATTGCACCGAAATTTTATTAAAATTTCATTTTATTGGAAATGCCTAAACTATTTAAATTTGCACATAATTTTCTGTCAATTTGATACTACAGTTTTAATTTTACTGTAACGTTATTTCGATTTAATACGGTATTTTTCTTGCAGTCTGATTTTACTGCAATTGTTTTTATTTAATCCTGTGCAGTAATTTTCTAATTTAATTTTTTTATAAGTTTATTCCGGTTTAATGTTGCCGTACATGCGTTGCTTATGATATGTAAATGTACTTTAATTTATATGAATTGTGGTAATGTTGTTCGTTGGTCCCGTGCAGTTCGCACATCGTGGTGATCCCGCCGGGTCCGCAGCTGGTGGAGGCGCTGCTGACGTCGCCGGTGATCCTCGGGGAGGACGGCGCCGGCGGCGGTCCCATGCCCGGCGGCTTCGACGGCTTCGGCATCGATCCCAACGACGATCCTGAGTTGGCGCTGGTTAGTCAGCTCACTTTCAGCAAAGCCTTTGCGTAATGTCATCGGATTATAATTTGTACATAATTTCCTCGATTATACTTCACCTGCAAATGTATTTTTATTGAATGCTCCAGTCACGAACTAATTTTCAAGGAAAGACAATAATTTTTGGCAGGCTCTGCGTGTGTCGATGGAGGAGCAGCGCGCCCGGCAGGAGCAGGAGCAGCGCGCGCAGGGTGAGGCTCAGGGCGGGCCGGCCGCGGCGGCCCCGGGCGCGACGAGCGCCGGGCAGGCGCAGGAGATGGAGGCCAGCGTCTTCGCTAATGTGGCGCAGGAGGCCGGGGCCGCCGCGGTGCCCGCACCGGGACCGGCGGCTGGCGGCCAGGACGTCAATTTCCACGCCATGACGGAGGAGGAGCAGCTGGCCTACGCCATGCAGATGTCCCTCCACGAGCTCGACGAACATCGTAAGTCGGCATCCATTTTTATCCACCGTAAAGCGGAAAATATATTAAAATTTGCAATAAAAATACGAAACAAAATTGCAGTAAAAATACAGGCAATATAAAACTCCCGTTTTTGTTGTTGTGGTGGTCTGATGCGATGTTTTACGCAGGTAAAGACGAGGCCATGGACACGGACGACGCCGAGGAGAAGCGTCCGCCGCCGGCGCAGTGATCCATCCGCTTCCCTCTCTTCCTCGCCGGCGCCGCCTGGGAACGGGCGGGCGTGTTTCTCCAAGTGTTGTTCGTTCAGTTTATCGGCGATCGGCGTGTCGCTTTGTACGGTTAACACGAGGATTTTGTGTACTTACATTTTGGAATAAATCGAATTAAATATCAAGACAGCGGTTTTTTGTGTAAGAATATTTCCTGTACGATTACTCCCTGCGTTTAGAGTAATTTCCTTTTCAGTAATAAAGTTTGGCCAAATTTCACTAATTTAATCTGTTAATCTGCTCATGTGGCATACAGGAATTATAGGAGTGGTAGTGTCATGGGCTATGTATATAGCCTCATGCAGTGTCCTCTTGCAGTTACGCTGGTACTGCTAGTGTCTTCTCTTAGCAAAACATTTGCACCGTTACAAAATATGCCGTGTTGTAATTACGAGGAAAGTCGGGCCAAACCAACTTCCGGTGAGAACAACTGGTGGCAAGTTTCAACCGCACCGATATCGCTTCCACTGGCGCCGTGTCAAACTGTCGTTAATGCCAGACGACTGCGCTTTTATTTTTAATTTTTCCCATATGAGTAGTTTTAGCTACTATATGTGCACAAGACTTTATTGTATAATCAATATTCAGTTAAAAAATACAACATAAAAAGCAACAAATCTCGTTTGATTTGTCATCTGACTGATCGGAGTGAAAATAAACCGTAAAGCACTAATAAAAACCGTAAAAAGTAAAGCACTAATAGAAACCATGCCATTCAAATTGATGGTATTGGAAGCCACTGGTGGAATCCCAGTACAGCCTGCGAGTTGACGGCTTTGCTTGGATTTTCATTTTTCATTTTCTGATTTCAGATTGCAGACATTTTTTCTTTTCCGAGATCCCCTTAGATTGTCCTCTTTTTATTCGGAAAACACGCTTTTCTCACGTTAATTCCACGGAAACTTGCATTTGTCGGGTTGGGAGACCTCACTGATCCGCAGTTGACTGTGCGCATCTGCACAGCCCGTGTACTTGCACTGACGGTGAGTCGGTGACTGGCAGCAGTGAAAGCCGTTTGGAACTTTGGCCTGTCGATTCCCATCCTGTGGTTTCTGACATTTTGCGGTGGTTCGGGTTGGGTAGGTTGGTGACAGGATTTGCATGGGTAAAGCCAAGTGTATCATCAGTATATCCTCTCTACAGAACTGGAAGGACGGGAAGAAAGAAGATAACGCAGCCGAGTTATGGGCGCTGGAGGGTGATGGAATCATAGACTGATCGAGCCTGCAACCAACCAAGCTACAACGTCTTCACTCCAACTCCCAGGTACTGTACGAAGTACCTCTTTTTCTTACCTGCAGTCCTGCAGAATGTACATTCTAGATAGATCAGCACTTTGATTCCCGTTAGATTCCAGATTTCCAGTGCTCTTGGATTTTAGTGTTTTGTATTTTGCATAAATTTGTTGAGGCATTGAAAATCGATAATTATGTGGAATAATATCCTACGTATTTGATGAAAAATAAGCTGTTAGCGATCTTCAGTTGATAATTGGAAAATCTATGGTGTAATAATTTAAAATGATTTAATAATTTAATATGTGGGATACGAACATAAGAGGTACTCTACAATATTAGATAATTTGTGCAATAATCATTTTAAGTAATTATCATTTTATTATCATTATCATTTTTTTATCATTTTATTTTAAGTAATCATTTTCTTTTTAGTACTTAGTTAGTGCTCTCATGTGATACTTATTAAAGGTAACTTTCAATTTTCAGTAATTACTAGTGACATAGTCTTTTTAATTATTTTATCAAACGGTGTAATGATTTAGTATAATGTTGTGCTTGTTACTTAATTTACAACTGTCAACTGTTCAGATTAATGGCGTAATTAAAAGGAGAAAAAAGCTGATTGTGGGATTAAATATGGTGAACGAATGGGTGGTTGGCGATTGATCGGATGCTGCTGCTTCTGATCCCCTGGGCTTGTTTAAATTAGCGAAATGTTGTTGGCGTTGAAATGCGCGAGGATGGGAAAACGGTCGCCGTCGTTGTTGCGGCTATAATTAGCGATGCGCCGTTTGGCTTGATTTATCCTCGCCAATTATTCATGTCAATCGGTTAATGATATCCATGCCGCGACATACTTCTTCGCGGCTTTTTAAAATCCTTAATCCCAACGGCCCGTAAACACTCTTGTTTGCCTACGTGCTAAGCGGGTAAACACCGCTATTTGTCCCGCAATTACGACTCCATTAATCTTCTAACTATTTATTTGTGTACAGTTTTTAATAAACTGTATAACTTTAAAGCTTAAGAAAATATTTAGCAGCAGTTGAATATTTAAGAAATAAAAACGTGATTAATTTTTAGGTTGGAATTTCTTTGAAAACGTTTGCAAAAATATGTAATTAACCGTGCAGTTAGAAGAATAATAAAATTAGTTAATTAATGATGGGCAGGAAGTCCGCAATGCCGCGGGAGGTTTGTTGATGAATCAGCGCGACAGTAAACGGTTTGTCTGCGTCTGGCTGTGCCGGTGTCTGTAGCTGCATCGGAAAAACGGTGTGATTTAGCTAACTGTAAGTCCAGCCAGTGCGCGTATCAGGTAATTTGATAAATTTCTGCGCCAGCGTGTTTACCTTGGACCTGCGCGGAGATTGTCCCGATTGCCTTATCAGCGCCGCTGGTTGCTGCAGTGCGCTGCGTGCCGATTAGCATGCGGTAATCGGGGACGGTGCAAATGCAGTCGTTTCGCGTTGGTCTTGCAGCTTGCAAGTTGTGTATGTATTGCGTTGGCACGCATACGCCTCCGGCTTCTCACTCGCGAGCACCGCGTTTCCTCGTTCATTATATAATCCTGCACTGTTGTCGAAGCGAGTTTTTCTGGATTTTATTGCACTGTTGCGAGGTACGAGCGTATTTTTTACTTTGTTATTACATTTTTAATGGATTTCGTCCGTGTTGTGCCTCATTTTTATAAGCTGTCATTTATCGTTAAAATGTTCATTTAAAATACGAGCGATTTGTTTCCGTGATTTTAGTGATTTTTCGAGTTTACAAAACTGTTTTTAAGTTGATTAATTTCAGCTGGAATTTCAGGGCGCCACAATCACTGTTTTCGCAGCTTTGAAAAATTATCGTCATGCTAAAAAAATTTATTTAAAAATTAATACGAGCAGTGTTTTGCCGTGATGTAAGGAAGGATTTCTCCAGTTTAAAGCCTTTTTTGAAGGCTACTTTACTCAATTTCTCAGGTTAATTTTTCAGTTTTATTCTTGAATTTTGTGGACGCGTGACAATCAGGTTTTCCGCAGTTTTGATGAATTGTCCATTGAGGTGGTTGTAGCTGTTGTTGGCAGGCGACAGTGCCACAATGCCGCAATTAATCATATCGGTGCATGGTAGTGAGTATGTTACAATTATTTGTAACCTGGAGGTGTTATGCACTCCACAACAAACGCTGCACACGTTCGTGTCGAGAAGCAGTCAAAACACCCACTTCTCGTTCTCTCAACGAGGATGACGCCGGTCCATCCTGCCTTACATAACGCAATAACAAATAGTAATAATCGAGTGTTGTGCTGTGCGGGCACTTTTCAAGTTGTCCCTTGTTCGCCGATTATGCGCTGCACCTGTCGCTCGCCTGCCGCACGCGTCCCGCGGCCACTGGCGCATTGTCATGCAGATTTCTCTTTGTTAGCATCTGACTGTCATAATTGCCGGTTGTAAGATGAGGAATGCCAGAATGCCGCATTTTTTTTATTGCAGTGTATGTCGATGAACAGCGTAGCAACGAGCAGATTGTGTAATTGTGTGTGGTACAGCCGTAGAGTACGCCTATGGCCTGGCCATCTGATTGGACGGGCGGAAGTGGATTTTCATGTTGCACTTCCGGTGGTTTTTATGGCGTTGATCAATGATCGCAGTATCGGTCAGCCGATCGCTGGCCCACGCATTTACCACTCCAAATGCGTAGACGTCGTTTGAACTGGAGTGAGTGCGAGAAATTCTGTCTTTCCATTAAAAAATTCTCAAAAATTTCTTATAGGTAATTTTAATTTTGTTTGAAAATTAATTAAGTACTTAAGTACATTTGTCACAAATTATGAACTGAATTTGCTGAATTTTAAAAATTTTTCGAATTAATTTTTTTGGTTTTATTTTTTTAGCTTTGAAATCAGCGCGTGAAATTCTGGAATATCTTTCTATTTGATTTAGATTTATTTGGAAATTATTAAAGCATGTTGATAGTTCAGTTTACAACCGAATGTGATTGAATTTGATTTGTTTTAGTATCGTTCTGTCTGTTTCCGCTCAGATTATTTTACCGGATTCATAATAAAGGCTAGAAATTTCCTCATAATAAATGCTTAACCGTTCAAGTAGTTTATTTGTATGATGGCGAAATGTTTCGGTTGGTGAGAAAATATTTGGCATTTTGGTGGTCCGTGTTCGGCGTTGACCCAGAAATGTGGCTGACATGTCAGCGGAGAAAAACGTCCCTGTTGCAAATGGTTCATTAGGAGGTTTTAAGCGGAGCGAATGGATAAATTTAGCCGTTTGTAAAGCAAACGATTGCGTCGGGGCCGGAATCGACAGGGCTCGGAAACTGTGGCGAGTTGGTTGTGTTATCAGGAATGCGATATGGATACTGTCGGCTAATAGTGCCATTTGAGAATTCCTTCCGCTACGCGTAGATTCAGTACAAGTACATGTACAGATACTGGCAGTGCAGCGCCGGCGCATTTCCTGTGCTCGTACTTGATTTTGCTGTACTTTGCTCGCTGGTTACGGCGATGCGGCGTTTGCAGGCTGGAGTGTGTGAATGGGCTGGAATTAACTGGTTTTATACCGGCAGCAATTGAGATTCATCGCCTGCGCAGCTAAACACAATTGGATGGCGCTGCTGCTCAACACGAGACATCTCGCTGTCTGTGACGTTTGAATTTCTTGAATAATCTTGTAAGAGATTTTATTTTCTTATTATGAGTGATATCTTTGTAAACCGGTGAGTTCCTGGTTTGCAAATAGGGATTTTTATTTTCCCTTTATCTTAAAATTAAAAATACAGCGCATACAATAAGCAGCAGTTTTTATTTTGGAGCATTTTTATTTTTCTTTACTTTATTTTTATTTTTCGCTCATATACAGTGATGATATACTGTTAAATTGCAACGGTGAATAGTTTCTGTTTTATCTGTTTTTCTTCTTGTCAGGTTTAAATGGATAATACACTATTGCTATATTTGGTTATTTTCTACAAGTTGGAAAATTGGATATAAATTCCAGAATGGAGTGCATAATGTATTTTACCGTAATTTTGTGGTTAAGATTCGCATGAACTGTGGAAAAAGTGCTATTTTTCATCGGAAACTCCTTCAAAATGTCTGTAACTGTACAACACAACGACTTGGTTAGTGATTCCTTATTCAGCAGAATTTAGGGATGAGTTAGTGCCGGTCCAGTGATTCCGTAGAGAAAACGCGGTGGGGAAATGTTTTGCTGTGCCGCAGCGTAGCCTGGATGAGGTTGATTGAGTGATGTGATTGTGAATTGAGTGCGTACGCACTACCGGTTCAATTCTGCGGCCGATGTGTTGCGAAGTATTTTCTGCTGGCAGCGTATGAGCGTAACGTAGGCCGTTACGTGGAATGTTTGCTTTCTGCGAGCCAGGACTGCCGCTTCCGGTCCTGCGCTGTCCCGCTGCCAGTTGCGCAGGTTGTTGCTTCTGACGCTGCCGCGCGGCAGCGGATGCGGGGCAGCAGCCAGCGCCAGTCCCGCCCACTTCCGCTGCAACGGCTGTGTATTGTAGAGTAGGAAGAGAGCCTATAACCGTTTGATCTGATCTTTCCTCTCGCTGTCGGCCTGTCACTGGCATATATACATACACCCGCGTATACTCTTATACCGATACGATCCTGCTTATCGATCGCCGCAACTCCCAGCGCTCCGCGTGTGCCTGAATATTTCCCTTTCTGATTTCCGCGTTATATGTATAAATAAATCATTTTGTTGGCAACATCTGCGCTTCGCAGATTGAATAAATAATTATTCTGCTTAATTTTAAAATATTAAAAACTGAACTACTGTAACCGGTGAAGAGCGAGGCGAGCAACGCAAGCGCTGCATCATCTCGTTTTAAAATGCGACGGGGAAGGATCTGCAGCGATTGAGGCTGGTATGTTGCTTGTTTAAGTGCGTTTCGCTGCAGCTTCACTGGCTTGTCGGACATGCTGCTGTCTTTGTCAACAGACGTGTTCCCGCAGTGAGCGCAGTGTAGTACACGCGTTTAGCAGCGACGAGAGTGTGTGTTGTATGCTGTGATTGGCAGCGGGGCCGGGCACGCCGTTGCCAGTGCATTTTTCTTTCCTGCCTAACAGACAGATGCACTGAATCCATCCTCAACGTATCCGCAGGTGCCGGCTGCTCTTTGCTCTTGTTGCAACTGGCAGATTCGCCGTGAATGGGCTCACCCGACTGTGTCGCGCAGGCGCTATTCCGTTTTACGCATCTTAATCAAATGTGCTGGCGCAGCAGCTCGTAATCTGATTTCTCTTTTATGCGCTGATTGATTCCGCGTTTTTCTAGCTTTAGTAGGAACCTGGAGTATTTTAGTGCCAATTATTTACTGGATGATTAAGTGGAATTTTATTATCGCGCGATTACACTTAAATGCCGATGCTTTTCCATTCTGACGGCAATCTGGTTGCAGTGCGGATGATCTTGTGAGTTGTCGATCATTGTCGGAGCCATGACGGAGCACATGAACGGGAAGGCCAACGGGCACCCGCCCCCAGGGGAGCGCTTCATGAGCGAGGATTTTGACCCCGAGGATCCCGAGTACGTGCGGCAGCTGCAGCGGCCGGCGGACGTGGCGGAGGATTTGGAAGAGATGAAGCGGCGCGAGCGCGTCACGGCGGTGCTCAAGTCGGCGGCCTTCCGCGACGAGCTGGAGGCCATCATCCAGGACGCCCTCAACACCGGCTGCAACCCCACGTCGCTGCTGGCGCTGCAGCAGATCTCCGAGCTGGTCCTGCCGCAGAACCGGTTCAACCAGGCCGGTCTCCTCAACAGTGCGCGCGCCCCGAGAGGTACGTCCTGTTTAATTAATTATTCACAAGAATTTTTCTACCATTTCTTCATATAATATGTTTCTGCTATTTTTTAATGATATATGTTTTCTCATTTTCTTAGCCACGTTCCTGAGTGTGTTTTTTTGCTATTTTTATCGGTCTTCTTGCTTAGGAATTATTAGATTTAATGATTTTAATCAATGCAGCTTGCAAATTAAATGAAGTAGGTAAATTATGAAATTAATCTGTACGAAGTTATTAGAATCGAGAAAAAATGGGATAGATAAATGGCGTCTTGTAGGCTTTTTTTTATTAATTTTTAGCCAGGTGAACACTCTTCACTGGGCGTTTAGTATCGCGGCAACGATTGAAATTGTTTTTTTCTAGTTTTTGCTGTTCTTATTTTCCTCGCAAGTTGATGGTAGAGAAAAACTTTTTCTTAATGAGAAATTTTTTGATTTGATGGGTCGAGCTTTTTAAGGAAATTCCTTGTATAAATTAGGAAAAAGCGTAGAGGACGAATGGGATAACTTCTGGCAGTTTTGCTTGTTGATTTTTGGTGGACTGATCATTGAGGGGCTTTTTTGCGATGGAATTTTTGTCGAAATCCTTTAAAAATTGCATTTCGATGGCAAGTTGCAACTGGGGGCCAATTCTCTTTTTGTCGCTGACCTTGCCTGCCTGATTGTATTAATTCGTTAAGCTGGAGGGAAGAGGAAAAAAGGAGAATATGTTGCTGTTAGAACGGGCTAGCGTGTTGCTGGCTCCCGGTTGCACAGGCGTCTGGCAGTTGGATGGCATTTGCGGGGAAAATCGATTTGCCGGGCAGGGAATGTAGGCCGGCAGTCTGTGTTCTGACGTGCGGGCCAGAACTTGCAAGGGGCTGCGTAGTGCGTCAGGGCGATTGTTTTAGGGAGGCTCACTCGTCAATGGGGCTTTGATAGCGGCGTTTATCGATCGGTTTGGTCCACTTCCAGCGAGATTCTTACTGCAGCAACACTGTCGCTTTCTGCGGCCAGCGCTTCCGCTGTAATGGCCATACTGCGGCTAAGTCAATTAATCAAAGACACTGTATCATTCATTTGGAGAGGCTTCATTTAGATTGGATTAACGATATCGCTGTCAGCTTCCACTTCTGCCTTTCTCCATGAATAAGCAGATAAACAATAGATCAGCAAATCAACGTAGCACAATTTAATTAGACATTTTCTTCTCCTGTTTTTCCGGCTTTGCCTTCGTTTTTTTTCTACAGTTTTCTTATTTGATTTCCAGAATATTCGAATTCAATATTTTAGTTTTAATTTTTTTAATTTCCTTTTTCTGCGGTACAAATACGTGCTCAGTTTTTGACAGTTCGTGATTTAATTAGCGGTTCTGTAACGACAGGGGAAGCGGATATGTATGCTTACTTAATATGAGGCTACTTATGGCCGCTGGATTACTTGTATTGCTGTTAGGAAATAATGGGGAATTGTGTCAGTGTGTCTTCGATTGGGTGTGAATTGATTACGGTGGCACAATGCAATTGCATCTCGCAGGTGCCGCTATCATTCCGATCGCCGACATCCGGGGCGTGGACTCGCTCAACTACACCAAGGGAGAGAAGCTGCTCCGCTGCAAGCTGGCCGCCCTCTACCGGCTCATCGACCTCCTGGGCTGGTCCGAGGGCATCTACAATCACGTCACGGTACGTTCCTTAAACTTTCCTACTTTGTACTTATTAGCAGGTACATTTTTTACCTGTTCATGCGTTTATTTATTTCCTAAAATACACTTTTTCAGTTTGAACATTTTTTTCTCGTTTTTTTCAATTTTGGAAATTCAGGTTTGTAATGCAGTTTACATTTTAAAAAAAAAAAACAGACTTAAATCAGTTGAAATCAATCAAGAGAAAAATCAGAATTGGTTTCCCGGTTGAAATTCCGCTGATATTTCGCGCTAGTAAAACAGTGATTTTGCGGATAAATCGGGGCGGTTTGTTGGCCGTGACCCTGGCGTGGCGTTTACACGCATTACGCTGTATTACGATTTACAGTTTACTCTATAAAGTTGGCGCAGCTGTTTGCGGGCTGTGGAATGGCCCGGGGGTCAGTAATCTATTTCGGGCCGCGAAACGGGCCTTTCAAGGAGCAATTTCACGCTCAAACTGCCGGCTAATGCGCCTGTTTGCACTGGCCAGCGGGATCATCTTTCGCTGGCAGTTTGTCTCGCTAGTCAGGGAGGAACGCGCATAAACAACCAGCACTTGTCGGCTGAGTGGACAGCGCTCATTATATCGCTGGCCAGTACCATTTTCATGTGTCCATTTCCATATCAAAACACTGCACTATTCTCATAACAATTTTATCGATTTTTCTGGCATTTGTTTGCGCAGAAACATGCCCAGATTTAATTTGTTGTGAAATGTGCAGTCAAATAAAAATTATTTTAAATAGAATGTTAATATTGCAGATATAATTAAGATGTTAGAATAAATTGGTAATAAATATATGATAAATGAATATTACAGATTACAGATTTAATTAGGATTTTAATAGAATTTATTTAGAATTTTATTAGAATTTACTGTTAATTTACTGTGAATTTACTGAGTAATTGAAATTTAATTAGAATTTCATTAGAGTTTAATTAGAATTTGTTAAGACTTTATTTAGAATTTTATTAGAATTTATTTAGATTTAATTAGAATTTAATTAGAATTTATTAAGAATTTAATTAGAATTTATTTATAATTGATTTACAATTTAATTAGGATTTACTTGGAATTTTTGTAAATAAATAACGGTGAGTGGCGGTTTAGGTGCGAGTGAGCCAGGAGCACGACCACTTCCTGATCAACCCCTTCGGCATGCTGTACAGCGAGGTGACGGCCTCCTCGCTGGTGAAGGTGCACCTCAACGGCGACATTGTCGACAACGGCAGCACCACGCTGGGGATTAATTTAGCCGGCTACCTGCTGCACTCGGCCATCCACGGCGCGCGGCCGGATCTCAAGTGCGTCATCCACTTCCACACGCCCGTCTGCGCCGCGGTGAGCCCCCTTTCTCCCTGCTCCTTGGTCGCCGGTGTTGTAACGATTATTGCGCAGGTGTCGAGCATGAAGTGCGGACTGCTGCCGATCAGCCAGGAGGCGGCCATCGTCGGCGAGGTGAGCTACCACGACTACGGCGGCATCCTGGTGGACGAGCGCGAACGCGATTTGATCATCCGCAACCTGGGCCCGTTCAACAAAGTGATGATCCTGCGCAACCACGGGGTGGTGGCGTGCGGCCAGAGCATCGAGGAGGCGCTCTTCTACGCCTACAAACTGCACGTCGCGTGTGAGACCCAGGTGCGTGTTTTAAGCGGGGTTTTTTTGACGTTCGGTGGATAAAAGAAGGATTTGTGCAGGTGAAAGCCATGGCCAGCGGCATCGACAACCTGACGATGATGAGCGAGGAGGCGCGGAAGCAGGCGCACCAGATCGCCAGCCGGGGCGGCGCCGGCGTCGACTCGGCGTCGCGCGGCGAGGGCCGGCGGCAGTGGAAGATCGGGGAGCTGGAGTTCGAGGCCTGGATGCGCTGGCTCGACGGAATGGTGCGTGTTTTGTCCATTTTCCCATTAGAGTTGGTCTTGAGGTTGTCTTTTGCAGGGCTACAAGACGGGGTATGTGTACCGCAGTCCGCTGGTGCGCGCCGACCAGTCGGGGAAGCCGCGCGCCAACCAGGACGTGGAGGTGCCGCCGACGGCCAGCTCCTTCGCCTACGGCTTCGACGACGACAAATTCGGGTGATTTATTCAGATTTAATTGGTTTGTCTCGCTGTTCTTTATATGTGGATGATTGCATTGGCAGGGCGTTGCTGAAGGAGCTGATGATCGAGCGGAAGAAGGCCGGCGACAAGGTGCGCTGGCTGAACACGCCCAACGCCTACCAGAAGGTGGAGATCCTCGAGACCGGCACCAACGAGCCCAAGAAGATCACCAAGGTCCGTCCATTAATTCATTAGTATTATTGAAATTATTATTCTGCATTTTATCTATTAATTTGCATTCTTGTCGGTGTGTATAGTGGGTGTCGGACCCGACGAGTCCGTCGCCGGGCGGCACGCCGATCCGCGTGGGCAACCTGCAGTTCTCGCCGGCCGGCACGAGCGCCAAGGAGTTCAAGCAGAAGCAGCAGCAGATGAAGGAGCGCCGCAACCAGGGCATCATCTCCAGCGGACCCGAGTCCCGCGTGCTGGAGGGACTCACCTGGGATGAAGCCGAGAAAATGCCCGTAAGAAGCTGTATATTCGACAGTTATATTAGCAAATAAATTGCTAAACAGAAATGACACGATAAACTAGCTAAATTGTGTGGTTGTTTTGCAGGACGCGCTGGTGAGCGGGCAGGGCGACCGGCTGATCACGGTGGGCGCCGTGTCCAAGGGCATCATCCGGCGCGACCAGCAGCACAACGTGGGCGCCTACAAGAGCCAGTACCAGCGCAACCCCTTCGACTCGGCCACGCCCGAGGAGGTGGACGCCTACCTGCTGGAGGTGGAGCAGAAGAAGCGCACTGGCCACCCCGACGACGGCTACGAGGTGCGCCTCAGCACGCCGCACGCCCAGGGCGGCCAACAGCAGCAGCAGCCGCGCGCACATTCCCCGCGGGCGGACGCCCACAGCGCCTCCGGCCCCGTCATCCCGCCGGCCGGCCACGGAACCCACGGCGGCCCCACCGGACGCCCGCGCACGCCGCCGGCGCCGCGCAGCGAAGGTAAGCGACCCCCCGGGGGTGGTGGTGCATGCGCCAGACCGTGGTTGAGTGCCGTGCCGTGCTTGTAGTGACGCCCAACTCCGCCTTCACCCGCTCCAAGTCGGACCGCTTCGGCAAAGGTAGGCGACCGGAAAAGGCTTGATTGGGGAATGTTTTTTGGTTGGCATGTGCATGGTTGTGTTGCCGTTTGGTTCTTCCTGATTTTGCGTGGTGTTTAGTGGACCGCGCGGGGACGTACCCCTTCCGGAAGGCGCCCCCGGGGTTGCGCACGGGTGCGTGGTGTTGTTTTGCTGTTTTTGCGTTGCTGTCGATGTGGCGCTTGAAGTGCCAGCTTTTTCTTTGTGTTGTTTAGACTCCCCGGGCAACGGTGAGCGCGGGCACGAGAGCGCCGACGAGGACTTGACCGGCAGCGAGCCGCAGTCGCCGGCCTCGCAGCGAGGGGTCAGCCCGCTTGTTTTTGGCCGTTTTATTCATTAAGGAAGGTGCTTATGTTCTGAATATGTGTGTTGAATGTGCAGATGAAGAAGTCGGACACGCTGGACTCGGGTGAGCTGGAGGGCGGGAAGAAGAAGAAGAAGAAGGGCTTCCGCATCCCCTCCTTCTCCTTGGGGCGGAAGAAGTCCCGCGACAGCACCTCCAGCAGCCCCCACGTCAACCACAACCCCACCGAGTCCGAATTGTGAATTCCGTGACGGACAGCGTTTGATTCAAAGACGGATGACTGCCGCGCCGACTGATTGAGTGAATTCAACGGTCGTTTGGTTCCTCTGCTTCCCTCTTGTCACTGGCGTCGATGCGATGCCATTCGATTGACTTTATCCCAGGCATTAAGAAAATAGAATAATTCACTAATGGGCAATTAATACGGACTGACAGATAGATGCTACATTTTGTTTTCTTTTTCTATGGATTTACACTAATTAATGTTTGATTTTGTGGGCGGGATTTACACTGCGTTCAAGGGAAATTGCTGGTTGTGCTTTTGCTGGTTGGTTGTTGTTTTGCTGTGTGCGTCAGTTCGGTTGGCTGTTTTACCGAGTATCTTTTGATTGTTGCGCGCTAAGTTACGGATCGGATAGATGGGCATTTGTTTCCGCTGATTCTGTCGGCGCTATAATTACGTACGAATAAACATCGCGCTTGAAGCGCAAATTCCTGCATCCGCTCATCCACCAATTTCTGCGAGTTTTTTTTTCATCTAATATTAATAATCTTTAATAAGTATCATGGTACGAGTAGAAACTATGCACCAGAAGTCCAGAACAAAACGGCGTTTACAAAAGAAACACTTCCTCTATGCTATCCTGATCGGGGATCGTACCCATTACAACAATCAACATTTCCATCTACATTTAATTTTATTGGCATATGATTTGCCTCGTAGATATAGTAAATTTAAATAAATTTAGTTAATATTTACAATTTAACGTGTATTAATTTATTTTGTATTTAATTTTCTTTTAATTTTTTGGCGTGATATTCTTATTTCGTTATTATTATATTTATTTCGTTAAAAATTTAATTTTTCCGGTTGTGCACTACACACACTGCAGAGTACAAACGCTAACACGGCTGCTATGAAATTTACACGGCCTGTCTGTTAGCGATAAATTGCGAGAAAATTGTATTTTAATTTAGGCAGATTATTTGAAGAGCAGAAATTAAAGTTTTCTGGGCAATGCGAGCAGGAAGGCCAACACTCAACAGACAGTATTACGCAGCGAAGGCGGCCGGCGTTTCCGCACAGGCCTGCCCGTGGCCCGTGACCTTTCAGTCCGTTTCAGACAGCCCGACGCCGCAGCAGCGGAACAGACGCAAATCATTTCTTACCGCCTGATTAAAACTTTGCCGAGTTATAACGCTATATGTCTAAAACCGATCTAACAGTGCACGTGTACAAAATGTCCGGCGTCCGCGCTTAATCAGCGCAATAAATAAATTACGGCGCCTTTTTATTCGGCACGTGAATGTGAATGCGCTCGCTTCTGGCCAGCTTGCACCGGCTTGAATTTGATTCGGGATTCACGCGAGTGCTTGGTCATCTGTTTACATTATGCCAGTTTTTCTAACGGACAAAGTGGAAGCGAAGAACCATGCCGCTGCTTGTAATATTAATATTGCGTTTATTAAGCGCGACGTCGGCCGACAATCACGCTTCCCCGACACCGGTTCCCAGCAATAGACCAGCGTGGGAAAAACGTATGGCGGCGGTCCTCTCTCGGTTATACGATCTATGCTCCACCGCCTCCATCCTCCCGAACCTCCTCCCGCTTTTCTTCCCGTCTTCCCGGGATGACCTCTTCCCGACAGCTGGCCCAGCACGCCACCGGCCTCATCGACACCGCATCGCCGAATTTTATTGCTATTTTAAGCAGCACCGCTCAAATCCGTGAGAGTTTGACGGCGTACAGTGTCGCCCGGCAACCGCCGTCGTTTCCGGCTGCGAGGACGTCTACGCCGGGATGCTGGACAGCCCGTACAGTAATGTATAATAACTAACTGTTAATTAACTACAGTAATGTATAATATCATTGAAGTCTCAATTTAGTGCTGCGATATCAAATTTATTGATTCCAGAGTTTTGATTTCAGACAATCTGGATACAGTGAGATGGACATGACCGAGCAACGCCACAAACGCTTAATGTACAGGATTCTCCGCCTCTATTTCCGTTCGACCCGCAGCTGCGCCGTCTGCACGAGCCACTCGTGGCGGTCGGCATGCGGCCGGAACCAGCACTCCACGCTGCCGTTGTCGATGCGAGTGACGCGGGGAAAGTGGAAATGACTCTGCGCGGTGTGTCCGGGCCGGTTGACAAACTTCCCGGCCTGTCGGCTCTGCGAGCCGGTAGCGCCGCACGGCAGCCGCGACGCGTACCGCTCCTCGGCGGGCGCCCACAGAACGCGGCCGTTGTGGCGCCAGATCACGTGCTGCCGCTGAAAATTGTCCAGCACGAGCTGCGCCACCGGCAGGCGCGCGGAGCAGACAAAGGTCACGGCGTCGCCCACCTTGACTGTCTGCGGCGCCATGGGCGGGTCGAAGACTTGCGCGGCCGCATGACCTTTGGCCAGAGGCTGTAGCGCTGCAGGGTCACCGTATCGCCGTACTGGTCGTACACGGATTCGTCCACACACATGAGCGCGCCGCTGGACTGCAGCGAGACGTTGGCGATGGTAAAGGTCAGGGTGTCGTTGTCGCGGCGGAAAGCGTACTGCTGCCCGTCCGACACCGGCAACGGTTGGCCATCCGTATAAACGGTCCGTTGCCGGTGCAGCCAGGATAGACTCCGCCAGTCACTGCCGGCTGGGACGCGGCAGGTGAAGGAGACGCTCTCGCCCAGTCGCGGACGCCGCACGATCTGCGCCGCAGCCTCTGAAGCGTTGTCCCCGGGGAACTGCAGCATCACCTGGCCGCCCTGGCGACGGTGGTCCAGTGCGTCGGGCAAAATATCCTTCCCTGCAACAACGCAACCTGATCTCGTGCCCTTTGTAAAGAAACTGCCAACGTTGTCAAAGACTCAAAACAGCGTATGCAACAAGTTGGAGGTACATGGCCACTCCTCTTATCAGTCACTCTTGTATAACATTCACTCGCATGCTGGTAGGTCTTCCGGCCTACCTCCTGGACATGATCCAAGTGAACGATAATACAATGCGCATTTTTACGGAAAACTTGCGCAAGCCGGCCCGGATCGAGGTTACGCGGGCCAGGGAGGTTATCGGAGAGTCGACTATGGAAATGCGGCTTAATCGTCTTCTTGATAAAATTCTTACTAATCCTAAAATTCTTGATGGCAGTTCTGTACCGGCTTGCAGGTTTCTACTCAAATCCGTTGATCTATCCTTGATGTTTTTTTTTATAGCATGAAAATGTTTTTGTCGACCAGACTGGAAGTGCCTTGGGGGGTGACTGCTCTTGTGCCGTAATAATATTAGTAGTAATATAATCCATGCGCTGAATTTCAAAGAAAGTCTCGGCTTTTTTGCTTTTATCGGTCTGGTCAGTACGTTCTAACTAAGCAGCTTAAAGCAAGAAAGAATAACACAGCCGAGGTCACTCTAGAACAAGCAGCTGCTGAACACATGCCTCCGCTGTCGACGTATAACGAATCTTTAGGTGCGCTCAGTGTTTTGAAGCGGTTTATCTAGATACTCCAAAGTTGCCGGGTTTAACTGACACAATTCGGGACATTTTGGCTGGAGAGCCGGTTCCTAACAAACGCACGCAAAATAACAGATTACTCTCGATCTTTTCTTTAAAAAATTATCACATCGACTGGTTGTTGTTGCGTATAATATGACTGACAATTTCAGAGAGGGACAACTGTGACCTTTCAGCGATCCACACTTGTTACTGTGGGCAAAATAAGGGTTCAGCCCCCAGCGGCCGTGCCCTGATAACGGCGCCCCATCGTAGCCTTTACAACATGCATCCTTGTGTGACATTTGCAAAGCCTGGAACTGGAACGGAAGGCGTATGTTGTAGAGAAGGGCACACCGGCAATTTGCTGACCGCTATCTTGCTGATCGACAACTTGCTGACGACCTGTGGCTGACCGACAAAATGTTGACCCGACAATTCGTTGGAACGACAACCCAACGATCGACAGCTTGCTGAACACCGACACTTTGCTGACGACATCAATATTCTGATGACCAGCAAAACATCGTCCCGAAACATCCTAAACACCCGAAGAGCATAAGAAACTCGGGAAGCAGAATTGTAGAAAAGGGAATGGTCGGTCAGCAATCTGTTGGTCAGCAAGTTGTGTTAATCAGCAACATGTCGGTCAGCATAACAGAGGTCAGTAAAATGCCGTGATAGTGTAGAGAAGCTGCACTGTACTTACACGATGGACCGGGGTGTGAACATGTAGAGCGGCCGGCCAGGCAGGCGCTGCCGGGACGCAGCGCCGCTGTCATGAAGAAAAACACACGAACGACACGCGCGATCCGTGCACTCCGCAGCAGTATGTCCATGTACTGTAGCCAGACTGCGTGCTGCGGACAGACAGAGTATGGTCGCTGCCGAAATGATGGGACATAATTACAATTATAATGTTGTCAAGCCATAGAGTCGAGAGGTACTCGTACTTGGCTGTTTTCTCAGTTCCGAGAACGCTGCGGATCAGAGCACTGTGGCGAAGTATTAACAACGGACAAAACAGAGATTTCGGTGTGCTTAATAAGAAGAACACAAGTCAATCTACCGGCACAACGCAGAAACTGGCGAGTGGTAGCGTGTTTTATTTCGTAGTGCCAACGCAGAAGGGTTGTCAAGGCAACGGCCGAGAAATTGGCCGGCTTTCCCCTCGGAGCCCTGCTGTTGCTGGTAACTGCACTGCAGCGATACGCCTAGATAATAATGTTCGCGCAATAAATGACCAGCGCAAAAAATGCATTACAGCGCTTTTTACGCGGCATGTGGATGCCCTTGCTTCTAGCCAGCTTCTTACTGCTTCCCCAATCGCGGCTGCCAGTGATCAATCGGTATAAACTACAGTATTATGGCAGTTTTTCTAACGGACAACGCGAAATCAAGCGATGAAACGGGCATATATCACTAGGGTAGTACTATTTACTTTGTTTATTAAGCGTTACATCGGCCGACAAGCCCGCTTCTCCCATAGCGGCTGCCGGTTCCCAGCAACAGCATAGCGTGGGAACAAGTATATCGGCGCTGATATCCCAGTTACCGGTACACGGTCCATCCTCCACCGCCTCCCTCCTCCACTTTCCTTCCCGTCTTCCCGGGATCATCTCTGACGCCGGCTGGCAAAACACGCCAGCGTCATCAACACGGCGTGGCCGAATTTTAATTCCTGCTGAGTACTGACAATTACTCCCATGAGTCCAATCCGTGACGGCTTGCCGGCGTACAGTGTCGCCTGCCAACCGCAACGGGCGACGGCACTCTCCGCCGTGCTCATAAGAAAAATTGGTCTGCATAAGAAAAATTACTAGAGTAGTAATAAATGATAATTTTTGCCCGAAAAGTGTCAAGAATGCTTCCTCTGTATCTGTATGTGTACTTGTGTGCCATGACTCATGAGCACCCCTTGCACACGTGCAGACTTTTGCGGAGTGTCCCATCGGCGCGGGCCGCTGCTGCAGTGGTGCTCCTGTTTGCCTTTGCTGTGCTGCACCCTTCCTCAGTGTCAGCCTGCCCTGCAGGCCGCTCTACAATTATTAAAGTCAACCGTCCAACATGTAAGTTTGTCCAGTTCTTGCTTTGTTCAGCTGGAGTATACGAGGTATTGGGCAGTGTCATAACAACAACGTACCATCAAGGAAATCAAATACACAATTTCCTTCCTGCTGATTAACGCCTTTCCAGTTGTCAAAGGAATTGTGTACAGCTTTGTCGTATCTCGCATATTGTGATTAGAACAAGCAGCTAAGTTGGGATTCTTCAGTGGATGATATTCTGCAAGCCGGCCTGGACTACCACCGCCAAGACGACCGGGTGACGCTGCGCTTTCCCGGGGAGAACGTTTCGGCCGAGCGCGCCATGGCGGGGATCGTGCGGCGCCCGGAACTCGGCGAGAACGCCTCCTTCACCTGCCGCGTCCCGACCGGAAGTGACTGGCGCAGCGTGACCTGGCTGCACCAAGACCGGACGGTCTTCGCTAAAGGTCACCCGTCCCCGGTGGCCGACGGGCAGCAGTACGTCTTCCGCCGCGACAACGACACCATGACCTTTGTCATTCTCAACGTGTCGCTGCAGTCCAGCGGCGCCGTGGTCTGTCTGGACGCCGCGATGCACGATCCCAACAGGGACCCCATCCTGCAGCGCTACAGCCTCTGGCCGAGCGTCCTGTTGGCCGCGGACGTCTTCGATCCGCCCATGGCGCCGCAGACCGTTCAGGAGGGCGAGCACGTCCGCTTCTTCTGCTCGCTCCGGCTGCCGGTGGCCCAGCGGGTCCTGGACCATCTCCTGCGGCAGCACGTGATCTGGCGCCACAACGGCCGCGTCCTGTGGGCGCCCGCCGAGGAGCGCTACGCGTCGCGGCTGCCAGCGGGCTGGACCGGCCCGGACACCTCCAAGGCCGGGGAGGTGGCCAACCGGTCCGGGGGCACCGCCCGCGGGGTCTTCCACTTCCACGAACCAGTCCAGGCCGACAGCGGCACCGTCGAGTGCTGGTTCCGGCCGCACGGTGGCCTCGACGAGTGGGTCGTGCAGTCGGCGCAGTTCCGTGTCCACCGGAAATAAGAGCGCGTTTCAACAACGCTGCGGCGTTAGCGATGCTAAACACGTGCATCGAAGAACAGCGCCATAACCTATCAAAAGACTAAAAATAGTATCTCTGTATTTGTATATGCGACTAATACGAGAACATGCCAAGCTTCGGTTGACTAAGCGCTTCTCTGCAGAAACTGGTAAAGAATTTCAATGTTACGTAATGAAATACGGTAATAATTGAGAAAAAGTTGTCATGGTCAATACCACGAATTATATCTGTACATAGTCGTCTGTGCAGTTCGAGCAGCAAGGTTAACAGACAACTAATGCTGGCGGAAGGAAGGTTGCCGGCGATTAATTTCCGCTGCAGAAAACGAAGCAGCCGTGCCTGTGGCCCGCGGCCTTGACGTTCGTTGCACAGACCACCAATCGGCAACAGCGGAACAAGCGCAAATCATTTATTACCGGCTAATTAAGCATTTTGCCAATTTACAATGGTCCACCAGTGCGCACAGACAATGATACCTACTCAAGCAGCGCCATAAATAAATGACTGCGCCTTTTATTCGCCATGTGAAGAAACTCGCTTCTAGCCGGCATTTACTTAATTGCTTCGCAAATCGCGAGAGCCGACTGCCGAGTGATCTGATTTACATTATGGCAGTTTTTCTAACGGACAACGTGCAAGCGAGGAACCATGCCGCTGCTTGTAATATTAATATTGCGTTTATTAAGCGCGACGTCGGCCGACAATCACGCTTCCCCGACTCCGGTTCCCAGCAATCGCTCATCGTGGGAAACAAACATGTCGGCGGTCCTTTCCCGGTTAGACGACCTCAATTCCACCGCCTCCGTCCTCCCGGACCTCCTCCCGCTTTTCTTCCCGTCTTCCCGGGATGACCTTTTCCGACACCTGGCCCAGCACGCCACCGGCCTCATCGACACGGCGTCGCCGAATTTTATTGCTATTTTAAACAGCACCGCTCAAATCCGTGACAGCCTGACGGCGTACACTGTCGCCCGACCACCACAACGGGCGGCGGTGCTAACCTCCGTCGTTTCCGGCTGCGAGGACGCTTATGCCGAGATTCTGGACAGTTTGGAAGTCAATCAGACGTTCCTTTTGGGTGTCCCGCTGGCCTTTCTCCATGTGGCGGCGTTACGTGAAAAACTAATCCAGGGCAGCGCGGTGGTGACGGCCGACAGCCAGAGGAATATTTCCGTCTGGTTGGCCACGTACTGGCAGTTTATTTATGACGGATACCTCATTATTTTTATTTGTATTTGTATTTTATTTTATTTTATTTTATTTTATTTTATTTTATTTTATTTTATTTTATTTTATTTTATTTTATTTTATTTTATTTTATTTTATTTTATTTTATTTTATTTTATTTTATTTTATTTTATTTTATTTTATTTTATTTTATTTTATTTTATTTTTTTATTATTAGAATTTCGCAGCTAAAAATAGAACGCTGGGTGCAAACCACCCTCCTCCAGGACATCTGCCACGCCCTCCTCACCGACACCCTCCAGCAGCGTCACCTCCTCAACCTCCAACAGGAAGACTGCTCGGACCCGGACTGGATGGACAGCCAACTGGAGCAGAAACAGCAGCAGCACTTCAACCGACTGCACTTCCGGATGCTGACTATCCTCTCTAACCTCTTCGTCCTGCACCGTCTCCTCCCGGGCTCCGAGACCCTCCCGCCCTATTCCGGCAACTTCCCCACGGCGGTGACCTTTCACCCGTTCGAGTCGCCGCCCAATCCGGTCAAGAAGAACAACACGCTGAGCATCAACAACTTCCGGTTGGCGTTGACAATGTCCGGAGCGTCGCCGGGGATGCCGGCGCCGTTGCGGAGCGGGTTGATGCTGATAAAAGGGAGCCCGGTGTTCGGGTTAACACACCGGAAGAAAGACTTTGCTGGGTCCGGAGCGGTCAGCCACTGGAAGGATGTCCTCGGTTATGACGTTCCTCTTCCGGTGACACCGTCGCCCATTGCAAAGAACGTCACCAAGGTCACCACAACCCCCGGAAAGGTCACCCGGAGGTGGTCGACGGTCACGACTACAACAGAGCCGACGACGACAGTCAGCCTGAACCCGTACGGACCCTGGGTGGTCCCGGCGTTTGTCACCCGAACGCCGGCAGCCCCGGTAACCACCGCTTTGGCGTCGGCGACCTCCCCAACTGTCCGCCGTGCTGTTGTCCGTCACGGGCAGTTTAACCTGCCGGATACGATTGCCATCACGGCCGACACGCGTCGGCAGCGCGACCGGATCTTGGAGAAGGAGATCAAACCGATCTGGGCCAATGTCTTCGGTACGCTGATCACTTCCGGAACGGCATATAAATTATCCTTGAAATAAATGTTTGTGTAAATGAAATAAATTCAGGTCGCGACGTGGCCGCCGGCTTCGGGATCTCCGTCACTGGCGACAGCCCCTTCGACCCCGCCACCACCCCCGAAGGCCAACAGCTGCGGCGGGTGGCCTACACCGTGGACGGGACCTCCACCGTCGACCTCAACTTCGACGTAGCCGCCGGCGCCTTCCACCGGCTGGCGCTGCTGGCCGGCCTTCCGAACCTATGGGGGGTGCTGGACATCAACGGCACCTGGGTCCCCAACACTCGGCGCCCTGTCTACACCGCTCCGCCGTCTACCTCCACCGCGGAACCCTACTACCGGCGCCCGACCACCACCGAGGCCGCGACGACCCCGGAGACCGTCGGAGGGACCAGCGAGCGGCCGCTGGTGAGTCTGGAGGACGTGGTGGTGGTCCGCGCCGACACCCGGCAACAGCGGGACCGCGTCCTAGAGGAGGAGATCCGGCCGGTGTGGCAGGGCGTCCTCGGGGCGGACGTCGGGGATTTTGAGCTGCAGGTGCAGAACGACACGCCCTACACGCCGGCCCGGGATAAGAAGGGGGTGGTGCTACGGCAGGTCACCTACCGGCTTAACGGAATTGCCGCGTCCACTTCCGCGTTCGAGCAGCTGGACGGGAACGCGCTGCTGGACAGCTTCCACCAGCAGGCCAAGGCGAGCGGTCTCCAGCATTTGTACGCTATCGGCGCTCGCGGTTTTAAATGCTGTCGACTGGTCTAGTTTTTCTTTTACTACAAATGATTTGGCTCTATATGAAAACTGCTGTTGTATGTTCAATGAACTATGTCCAACAAAGGTCACTTTATATATGTACGTTTGATAAAAGTCACTTTATATATGTACGTTTGATAAAGGTCACTTTATATATGCATGTCTGACAAAGGTCACCTTATATATGTACGTTTGATAAAGGTCACTTTATATACGTACGTTTGATAAAAGTCACTTTATATATGTATGTCGGACAAAGGTCACTTTATATATGTGCGTCGTTTACATGTACCTCGTTTTTATATGTATCTAAAACAGAAATGATTTCAGGCTATGTAAAAAAAGGCAAATAAACCAACGCGGTTGCACTACGGATACATATTATGTGATCAAAAAGTGCAGCATTAATTTACAATGTGTAATTATAGCCAGATGCGGGCATTGAAATAACTGGCTTTTGTGCGCTGCACGCGCCAATGCCGGCGCCGGTTTTGTGTTGTGGCGGGAGAATAGGGAGCGTTGCGCTGCTGTACATGATGCGCAGTGAGGCACGTCGGCGGAATGGTACGCCGGCTATTGTCAGCTGGCACGAAGCCAGCGAGAAGCCGCTCTTTTACTCCCCATCGCTGACTGCCGAGCGCCGGGACGGGATGGAAAATACAAGCTATACATGAATACATGCAATAAATGCACCATAAAGTCACTATGTATTTCTGTTAAATAAATATTTCTGATATAGCCTTATTTTCACCGTTATTCGAGTGATTTTATTAATAAGGCACTGAATTCGGGATCAAGTCTTAAATCTAAACTCATTTCAACAGTAATGGAAAATTAAAAATTTCTATTTCACACTGAATTATTTAAGCAAAAGCTTGAAATGTGTACATGCAGCATTTGGCTTTGCGATGTCAATCCTACCGCGATCGCGATCGTACATTATTATCAGCCGGTATGCAACGTAGTACTATACATCTTGGCGTTGCTGTATCTGGCGTCAGTTTAGCCGGCGAGCGTTGGCCCGGTCGCCTCGGCATGAGGCCATCCTCGCAGCAGGCATCCGTTTAGCGATAGCAGCCATCAAAAAGCAATCAATTGACGCCCAACAGATGCCGGCACAGGCACGTAAACAGCTCCCCTTAACCATGGGCTCTGCTCCACCATCTATCTATCCCATCATCCCTGCTCCCGAACGGCACTCCATCAACACCTCATTACATCACTCAACAGCCTCCCCCAACAATGCCGCCATTGTCCGGCCTTTCTTACAAGCAGTCACGTTAACAACTTAACATTCACGTTCTCGCAACCAACCAAGCACGCCACTGACGCCTTCATTTACGTGTATATAAACAGGATTCCCACGGTCACCAGTGCTGGGAACGGCTGATCGCCGGCGCCGCCAAGGACGCTGTTTCAGCACGTAACCGTCGACAAGTTGTTGCTGCTGCTGAAAAGACGATTTGAAGGCAGTGTAGCTTTAATTTCATGGGAATGGCCGCGGCCAACGAACAGAGTTAATTAGCGTTCTGGCTGCCGGCAAGGTCACTGGCGTTCGCCTGCCGCAGCGATCGAACGATGCCGGTTTTAGCTTAAACATCAAGTGCGGCTAAACAATAATAACTTAAGCAATTTTTTATATAATTTTCTTATTTGTTTTGCATATATATTTTTGTATATATATATTTTTATTTTTTTGCATTTATGTATATATATTTTTTATTGTCGTATATATATTTTATATTTTTGTTTATACATTTACACATTACTTTTTTCTTAAGTTGGTGGAAGTGTAAGCGGTATCGAGCGACGAAGAAGCTGAAAGAAATTGTCGGCGTAAACGGCGCCGACATTGATCGGTGTCGGTTGCGGCGTGGCTGCACACGGGGCGCTTTATGGAGCGCGGAGGTTAACAATACTTAATAGAATGCAGTGCATTGACGGCCGATTACGGGCTTTGACGGGCGCGATGTTTGCCTTTGATTGCCGCCAATCGGGCATTCAACGTCCCGCATTCAACGCGCCCGGACAACGGGAGACCGGCGCGTTAACATGTTTTATGTGTAGCGCATGTACAGCGACATTTACGCCGGTTCCTGTCGATCGCCGACAGTGCCCGACACGACAAATCACTCTCCAGTAATTCTTAACTGCAGCCGGTGTTCACCGGCACATTGCGGCGTTCAGTTTTTACGAGCCGGCGCAAAACAGCAGAGATAAATGAATAAACGTGAAAACAAGGACGCGAGACAGGTGTTACGTATTAAAATTCGTGGCGCATGGCGCGTTAATATTTCCCATATTAATTAATTATTGTGTTGGGCCGTGAATAATGAATAATGCAGCGGTTAGCGGTAGGGCATACAGATACATTGACAGCTGGCGGCGTTAAAAGTTGATTAGCGGCCGGCTGGCTTAATGGATATTAATGGGTATAGCCGGACGCCCGCGGTAGCGCTGCTGTATAGTGCGTCTATACGCTGTATGTACGCCGTGTGCCGGCGGAAGTTGGCGCAGCGTAACGCCTCCTGACAGGGACACACACGGCTTGTATAGAACAGCATTGCCAGCTCACGGGAATCCCGGCTCAGCTGCAGCCAGTTGATCTGTGATATTGCATACGCGCTGCAAAACGCCAGTCATATCTCGCAGCTACCATCTGTCTATCCGTAATCCCCATCCAGCCATGCTTTTATCGTTATGCCGCAACAGCGCTGGACGCGGATAAAATCTGGCGCTGTACAGTTAATTTCTCCTTAAAGTTTGACTACGCTTGCCAAGTGATTTGACGACTGACTTTTTGGACGCACATGTAACGCTTGCTGCCAGCATCATCATGTGGAGAATGCCGGTATCCGTCGGACACGGTTAATTAACGGCGCAGGTCCACTGGCATTATGGAGATGTGCACTTCACCAGTGTCTTAATGCCTTGTCCTGTCCTGTCTTGGGTGGCCCGAGACCTTGACCCTTGGAAATGCCCTGCTTCCGGCCATTCCCCGTGCGGCGCTGGCATTTCGTCCCGGCCGCACCGTTGACTGCACCGTCCGCCGTATCTGTGGGGCCATGGCACGCCTACTGCCTGCTGGCTCTCCTGATGACCGCCGCCGGCAGTCCGCCGCCCGCGGGCGACCACCGTTCATCTAACACGACGCCAGGTACGGCAGAATTATGTATACGCCGGTTATAGTGCCGTTTAGTATCTACGTCACAATGCCGGTTATTGATTTAGTGGTACGTAATAATACTATATTATTATATATATCAGAAAGTACTGTACCTACATAATTATGCATACAAGTACATGGGCGCGGATATTGCATAGAGTGATATAGACAATTCCATATCTTTTCATCCTTTGCTCATCACTAAAACGTTGGGATTTTATGACTGGGCTGTAAAGCAACTGATACAATCCGTTGGGTTGTTAAACTGGGGATTTAACTGGTGAGGAGCGTTCCATCGCTATTCTCAGTCAGCCTTTTAGCTTAGCTGCTGTCAAAGGAAATGCTACGTCTGTTGCATTTTTAGGTATTTATGTGTATACACAATACATTTATTTTACCTTTTATTCCGAGAGAAGATAGAGACTGTGCTTCTTTTTTCAATGTTTACATTTTAACTAGCAAGCAATTATGCCGGCGCTTGTGAGTGGTACGGGTCACTGGTACCGAGGTACTGAACTATTTACAATCAATATTATGTCATTTATTCATAAGAGTATTTTGTTATGAAGACGCCGGTAGCCCTGCGTTTAATTCGGCCGGCTGTTGCCTGCTGATAAACGGTTTCATTTATTTTACATGTGTATACAGTAGACTGTAGATTAATAACGGCTAGTTGAATTTCGTGTAATGTAAAGGAGCCTTTCGGTTACTTGGTTGGCGCCTGGCGGTGATGTTGCGTGGAACGTAATCCCTGCTTAATGGTTATGTTGGCCGGGACGCGGCTCGTGGTGATACCGGTATCTGTATACGCATACGCAGACGGGCCGAAAACTGCCTGTGCCCGGCAGGAAGATGTGACGTGGGGCACGGCCAGATGATCCAGATCCCGATGAAATTGTCGGAAAAGCTGGCGGATGTTGGGGATTTGATTTGGGCTTAATTCCTTGACATGTCATTTTTCAACAACCGCGATCCGAGATTGATCGCCAGTCTGCACAGGGGCGCCAACGTTTAACCGCGTTAGCCGGCCAATAGTTCCTGCACTTCCGACAGCTCATCAGGCCAGCCAACATGAACATGTACAGTGTTATACTTGTACACGTCTATTGACACTGCGCATGTACAAATATTGCTTCCGTGTCCACACACGCGACAACACCGCAATTAATAATGCCGCCTACCAAACATGACATTACAGATACGCCAATCCTCCTCAACGTCTTCGTGTCCATACCATTTTCTTGCCCTGATCAAATGAATAATCTAGCGGTACATTGTGCATAATTCAGGAAATTACAAGTGCGCAACTTCCAATGGTTTCTACTGATTTATTCCCGATTTTCTGATAAAAAATACCGCAAAGAAAATGACTTTGGTGAAATATGAAGTACGTTAGACATTATAAAGTACGGTATAATATAAAGTTATTATACAGTACGTTATATAAAGTGGTTTCTTAAGGAAAACCGGCTAATTGGAGGAATTAGGAAGTGTGTGTCTTGAAGCGTGCCCTGTACAGATATGATATTAGATAGATGCAATTACGCGCCATACGAGTCAAAGCGTAGATTTAGCGCAAGTACTCGTATTTCTACGTGTCGCAAATAATATGTAAGAAATTACTTACGACATGAGTATAAGCAGGCGCCGGTAGAAAACTAATTTTATCCCGGCGTGCGTTGCAGGGACAGCGAACGCTACACCCTCCGTCTTTGTGTCCGCAGCCGGCGTATTATGTGCCGCAGCACTCCCCGTCCACGGCGACGCAAACGCCGCTGCACTCTCACTATCGCCATCGCCACTGGCAGCAGTAACGACGGCCGCCAAAAATAGTCCGCACCCAGCAGCGTCGCAGACGCGGCCTGCCAAGAATCCCCACAACCCGTCCTCGCTGCTGCGGCTCTTCTCCATATCCCGCGATGTCGACCGGCATAATATTCCGCAGCCGACAAACCGGACCAGTGCCGCTGGCGCCAGCAACTCTACCAACCGGCGCAAACGCGGCGTGAACGCACGTGCGCCCGTGCTGGCCGACACCATGCTCACGGCGCCGCCGTCCTGGGCGGTCACCACGTCTGCCACCAACACCACAACAACATCAACAACAACAACGACAACAACAACAACAACCAAGACGCCGGTCAAGTACTACCACCATCCCGGTAAAAATCTCATTTAATTATGCGTCGTACCGGCAACATAATCGATATAGCCTGTTGCACAACCGGTCAAGCGTACAGCGTGTATATATACTCTCTACTGTGCTACAACGTCTTGAGGCAATATTTGCTCGGGAGCTCTTAGCTGAGCCAACAAATCCGCGCTGTCTCTTCCCTTCTTCACCACTGTTGACATCCGGTGTGCAGCTCGTTAGCCGTTGTCTGCCCCGGTCAATAACGCAGCTGTATAACGCGATTACTGCGTGTTCCGTTGTGACTAATGTTGTTTGCGTTGCAGTGGTCTTAACCGAGTTAAGCTGGGAAGTGATTGTCGCTGTCATCTTCGGGTAAGCCAACACACGCAACGCCATCGAAATGATACATTATGCCATAGCGTCATTCATGTATTCAAATTCACGCATTCGATTTTTACGTACTCGTAGAATAAAATCGCAACGGTAGAATAATTTATCTGTATAGTGTATATACAACAATTTAGCAATTTTTCTGTACATATAGTGCATATATATACAACAATGTTTTTCTCCGCTTACAAAATTTTTATCCCAATGAACAGCAGCAAATTTTTTTTGAAAGTTACTAATGTGCGCATTTAGAGAAAATGTGCAGAAATATATATAACAATTTCTGCTGCAATTGTTGTTGCTGTTATACAGATCGATGGGCGGAAGCCTGATCCTGACGATTGTGGTGTACTGCCTTTGTGGTCGACCGGAAGAGGGCCACTTGATCTGATTAGTGACGACGGTGTACACTGTTCATCCACGTCGTCAGCAACGGCAGTTGCCGGCTTCCTTCTTCTGGCAATCACGGCGTATATCTGTGCTCCACCGTCATGGACGGCGATTAATCAGGCGGCCGCTACCTAAAGTCACTCAGGCTTCCCCTACCGCCGACCAGATCCAAATGCAGATTAACCATCCTGCGCCCTCATCAGCGTCAGCGCACGCTGAACCTTAATGCCCCGTCAGCCCCATCGATCCGGCTGATTACCGGCGGGATCAATGGGGATCACGGCCGGGCCGGGGAGAGGGAGAGGCCGGTCGGGATGAAAGAGCAGGTCAAGCCGGGACACTTCCGTAACGGATTTAACAGCGAGTGTACCGGCTGACCGGCTGCTTCCGGCTGCTCTTATCGCCACTGAGGTCTATTCCGGCCCTTGACAGTTCCTAAGTACTTGATCTTGCGGCCGGGCTGAGCCAATCAGCGCTTCTTCAGCCACTCGATTATGTTGTTCTTTCCCGGGACACACCGGGCTTTTATTGTGATGACCAACTGCACCTGCTAACTGCGATGCACCGCTTGACTGTACTTACTGCTCTGACCTTTCTGATTTCTTTAGATCTGTACAGAATCTGAGTGTGACGTACAAAGCCAATAGCAAGTATAGCGCGTTTGGAGTGTTGTTTCTGTAGTAATAAAAACGTACGTTGTACTCCGCCGGTTTTTACCACAGATCCGCTTCTGCACTTGACTAATCATTAGCTAGTCAACTTGCAACGTTGTTGTAATTGGATTTCCTTCCTCTTTCGCATTTTTATTCATTTTGTGCAGAATTCTCCTTGTGTGACGATCTAAAAGCTTTCTTCCACAACTCAACGACGACGGTTACGGTAACATTATAACAGTATGTTGGACACTTTTATTAATTGTACCATTGGGCGTGTTTGTACGAGTTGTGCGTTGTCGGTTTAATTTGCCGGTGAGGGTCACGCGTAGCCTGCGCAAATCTGTGCATCGATGCTGCTGTATATTGCTTCCGCTTCCCATTAACACTGCTAAAGCACCGGAACAACCGTAACTACCGGACTGACTGCTAGAATGTCAATATTCAACGCAGCAGGAGCGCCGCTACAGAAGCACATGTTGTAGGCACTTTGCATAAATACATACCATATTACATCCAAGAAATAACGCCGGCCGGACCCAGACGAATCGCTGCAGGTGTGTGTAGTCTATTTGAATCCTCATTTAACCAACAGCAGCTATCATAAAGACGGCATAATAAAGCAATTACAAGAGGCGCAACAATGACCTTTACACAGCTTCATATATGTAACGGAACCGGAGCGGTACGGTTACGTGTTGATCGCTATATGCTACCAACTTCAAGTTGCAACATTGTCTATGTATACAAGCACGAAAACTTTGCTTTCGCACTTTACCAAACACTTTATTCAATTGTTTGATGGCGGGCTTTTTGTAGCGCGATGATTTATATTTAGTATTTACTGGCCGGAATGGGATACCGAGAAAGTAGTACGTATTTAGCAAGCGACCTCCAGCGAAACTCAGTCGATTCAGTGCTTGTTGGCTTGACCACAAACCCAGTATGCCATTACTATAGATGCTTAGCACAGTTAGCAGAGCGACTGGTTAGTTACAGTAAATTTAAAGAAAGCTAGCGATTTAAGCATTTTTTGACGATTTAGTACAAATAAGTGGGATCTGCATTCTGTTGTAAACTGGTAATGATAAGGCAAACAAGTCAAGTCAGTACCTTTCCCGCTGTATCCGACTACTTGTACTCTGTATATACGTTGAAACTGGCGAGTCTAATCATTTGTTTGTTGGATACAGTATCAACTGTATCACTGAATTCCGTCGCATCATGTCGACAACAACAATGCACCGTCTGCACATAACGTACACAGTTTTGCGGAGCTCTCCAGTCGCGCTCGTCACCGCTGCAGCTTTAATCCTGCTCGCGGTGCTGCGGTCCTGCACCGCTTGCCCTACAGCCCTGCTTGGTATAAAGTTCACCGGTCCATCACGTAAGTACCCGCTAGATAAGTGTCGCATCAGTGCAACTAGCAGTTTCGACTAGTATTCATTACGCCGAAGTCAATCCAAATCACACAAAGAAACAAGGAAGAACTACCACAGTTCGCGCGTATATGTATCCTGTAATTCGGCGCCTTACTATCCAGTAATTACACACTGTTACGTTAAACTACAACATACTGTACTAACCTAATACCCATGTTGCGCTGTTTGCAGTGAACGATATCCTACAAGACAATCGCCGACAAGGCGACCGGGTGCTGCTGCATTTCCCCGGGGTCAGCGCTTCGGCGGCTGCGGCGGGGATCGTGCGGCGTCCGCGACTAGGCGAGAGCGTCTTCTTCACCTGCCGCATCCCGGCCGGCAGCGACGGGCGGAGTCTGTCCTGGCTGCACCAAGAGCGCACCGTCTTCGACGAGGGCCAGCCGCTGCCGGTGTCGGACGGTCAGCAGTACGCCTTCCGCCGCGACAACGACACCATGACCTTTGTCATCGCCAACGTCTCGCTGCAGTCCAGCGGCGCGGTGGTCTGTCTGGACGCCGCGGCGAGCGCCGGTCCCGTCCTGGAGCGCTACAGTCTCCTAACAAGGGTCACGCAGGCCGCGGACGTCTTCGACCAGCCCCTGGTGAACCACACCGTCAAGGAGGGTGACGCCGTGACCTTTCGGTGTTCGGTGCGGCTGCCGGTGCCCAACCGGTTCTGGACAATTTGCTGGAGGAGCACGTGATCTGGCGGTTTAACGAGCGCGTCCTGTGGGCGCCTGATGAGGAGGTGTACGCGTCGCGCATGCCGGCTGGTCAGACCTGCCAGAGCATCTCGGCCGGGCGCTTTATCAACCGTCACGGACAGTCGGCCCACTTCACGTTCCGCCTGCCGCGCGCCACCATGGCCGACAACGGGAACGTCGAATGCTGGTTCCGGCCGCATGTCGGCGTCCACGAGTGGGTCGTTCAGAGGGCGCAACTCCGTGTCGAAGTTTGACGATCAGCGGTTTATTTATGTGGCGTTAGACGGTTATCCGGACTGTTCACTTTACCGGCACAAACATTTTTACAGCTTTGAGCAAGGACGTGTGACACTCGTGTATACGCGCATAAAGGTCATGGCACTGCAGAAAAGAAAAATGGATAGCAAGCACGCAATGACATTCCGCTCCTGTAAAAGCGCCGGTCGGGGTTCAAGTATTCATTAAGTTCCCGTAATTTCGTTGAATGGTGTCCCACGGCGTGTTTTGTCATTTAGTCTTCGTCATGTTAACGTTGCACCGTGTATTTAGGTCAACAAGTCGCCTACTGTTACGATGGCAACCAGTACCAAGCCTATTCCGTACGTTTGTAAACAATAATAAAAGCACCATTAAGGCATGTACACCGTACTTCCATGAACCGCCAGAAATGCGTCTGTGTCGTTAGTAAATGGCGTGGTTAATCAGCAGCGCTCTCCTCCTCGTCTGCTCCGGCACCGCCGCGTCCTGCTCCACAGCCAGAAGCGGCGTCAGTGACTTGAGCGTGCCGCAGTACTTGCTGGACAGCGCCAGCGCAACCACCCCTGCGCCCGACAGAAATCAGGAGCCGGCATACCAGTGCTTCTACCAGCGCGACTCCACCGCCTACTGCCAGGAGATGGCGCGGTGTCGCGGCGTACGGCGCAGCTTCAGAGTCCCGCTGGCAACGAATCTCAGCTTCACTGGCTACGCCTGCCCGGCTGCGCCCTTCACCCGGCTCCCGTTTTCCGCCAAGAGCGGTACGCCCAACGCTGTCTTCTCTTAATCAACCCGACCGGGAGTTGCAGCCAGTAGACAGTCGCTTTTTGCAGGCATCGCCACTACCGGTTTCGCCGCGTGGCTGCTGCCGTCCACCCTGGGAACGGCCGCCGTCGCCTCGGACCTGATCTTCGTCTGCCACTTCCACACCCACCGGACGCCGGCCCAGCAGTCTTTCACCTGCGCGGGACCTGTCGATTGTAGCATCCGGGATTCGAACGGGATGCTTTGTGCGGGTGTCCTAGCCTGGTTCGGCGCCTGGACCGGTGACCTGCAGTTAGGTATACCTACGAAGGCGCAACACTGCCTCTATATACTGCGCTGACGCTTCCTGCTGTGACGTAGGTTTGTGGGGCGTGGTCATGAGTGAGACTATGGAGTGACGCTGGCAATTGTCCAGCGAGCTGCGGCCCCCGTGTTTTCGTCAAGGGTTCGGCCATCGGCGCGCAGTTGACTTCTCTGGCCGCAAACGATTAAGCTGCGTCGGAGGCAGAACACCCACGGTCACCTGCCAACGTATCTGTACACTATACGCTACTTTAATACTTATTAAAAACTAGTGATACCGGATACGTATAACGACACTTATTAAAGTGACCATTATTTACATTTTACATACAGTTACAGTTACAGTTACAGTTAATGTTGTCAGTTGGTACACTGCTGAATGCTGCTGTAGAGCATTTCCTCTTGAATCTCCGGTGATTTTATGCGTCTAGACGGAAATGCTCGTTTTTGCACTTCTACTCTAGACTTTTAACAGGGTTGCAATTGTCAGCTCGATTTGTTATTGTACACTTAAAAACAAACGAACAAACGTCGCGTTTATAAATTGATGTGGTGTTTCCTGGTGTGCAACCGTACTCTTCCGATCATAATGTATTCTCTTGTCTGCGTTTTGGATGATTCATCGTTTGAAGTGCAGCGTGACGGTCGTGTCGCGTCGCGGTTTAAGCATTTGCAAAAAACAGTACAGGTAACAGCCGGGCGGTATCGAAATATCTGTTTGTGAAGCGCCCGTGACCTTTGGAAACGGAAGTATCTGCAAATGCTGAATGCTGCTTACGGCATACCGAGGTAAGAAACCGCTCCGTGTTGAGGTCTACCGGAAGAGGTAGATAAAAACATGGAACTGGGCGTGTCTAGAGAAAGGTCATGACCAACACAAGGTACCAGTTCTGTTGACATTTGCACGCGGTTTCTTTCGCGAGATTCCCTCCAGCGCCAAAATTAACCTATTCAGTTGGCACTGCCGCGTTTTCTCGGCTGGGATCGCGGAAATTGTAAGTATAATCCTTGGACAGATAGCCAGCTAGTTGGGCCAGATAGTCAACGTGCCAAGTCGGCAGCCAGGTGTCGGTGAGGCGTTGTCCGCTGCGGCGCTGCGCCATGACCAGCAGCCAGTCGGCAAAATAGTAGCGCGTGACGTTGGCGATGTAGCGGAATTTGTCCAACGCGTAGTGCTGCGGCCAGGGATTCAGCGTGTAATTGCCACAGGTCAGCGCGTCGGGCAGGAGGGCGGGGTAGTATTTATGCGGGTCCGGGTAGGGCAGGCGCGTGCGTTGTTGGTACCACGCCCACAGATTGCCCATACTAGCGCAACCGCATTTCGGATCCAGACACAACGGATTGTACTCCAGCCGCAAGTACGGTCGCCCGGATGGAGAAGTTACACTAGCCAAAAGGTCATCGCTGATTTGTTCCAGCTGGTTGCCGGGAAGATCCAACGTTTGCAGGCGGGGCAGGACGAAGTGGCTGCTTAAGGAGATTTCGCGGATTTCGTCCACTTCCAGACTAATTGCCTACAAAAGTGATATCAATATATCACAAATGTAAGTGCAAACTGCCTTTCAAGGCTGGTCGACTGCTTGACTGCATAATCTGGCAATATTTTGCTTCATATACAGAGATTTGTATATGTACTGACTGATGACTTGCTTCATATTTAAGGATTGTACATATTGATGACCTTTATGTATATCATTATATTAAAGCAGAGCTGTCTGTGCGTCACACTCCCGCCTCCAAATCTTCCTGATTGGGCAGAACCCGCCTTACGGCTTTTGAGCTTTCCATCTTTTGATACCTATTTCTTTAATCGTTTGTCCTTTCTAAGCTTTTAAACCTTTGCACCGTAGCAAACTTTCAATAAAAACTTTAATGGGCAATAGCCACCACGATAACAATAACTGCAAGCGCCGGTACACTACTTAATAGTTAAAATTTAAACATTAAAAAAGCAACCAAAATCTCGATCTTCTCGTGGGTTAAAAGGTAACGTGCTCAAAACTGCCGTAGCATTTCCTTTTACAACGGCGAGACTAAAACGTTGCTTAATGAAAGCAGTAGAACGCGCTTCTCCAGTTAAGTCTCGAATTTTACGGCCCATGAAATGCAGCAATTCACTGAAAGCGGGGCCAAATACTCCCAACGTCTCAATCACTAAAGGATAAAAAAAGTTTCCATTTTCCACAAATGAATATGTCCGGCGCTTGGCATTCTCTGCGAGCTGAGCCACGTATCCAGCTTTCCTCGAGCTGCCGGTGACATGAGAGTCTGCGACCGTGCACCAACTGGTTACATCCCACACCAGTGGTTTGCCATGGCGGACTGGAATCAGCGTCATCCCGTCGGGTCTTTTCCGTCCTTGCTCGATAAGCCGGTCGGTTCTAGTTGACAGGAAAACCGGCGCTTTCGCAACAATTTTAGCAATACTGTTCATTTCTTGGTGCCGCGCCCATCGTCCTTTGGTTGACTTATTGCAGGACAACCCGTGGTGTCCGTTAGTTTCCACTTGCTTGCCGCATGCAATACAGTTGTGCGCCACTACCACTGGCAATCCAAACCGCAATGCGACACCGATTCGGACATCATCATCTCTAAGGAATGTTCCCAGACATGGAGCAGGCAACGCATTCAACCAGGCTCCCGAGTCTTTGCTTAGTGCAGCCAGCAACACAGCCCTGTTACGTTCGTTTCCTTCTGTACTCGACATCAACATGGAAATGTCCCGCTCAATCATTGGCGCATCCCACGCGTATTGAAATTTCCGAATAAAATCTGGTGGGGTTTCGCACTGCGTCTGCTGTAACCAGGACTCCAAAGCTGCTTCCGTTAGACACTTTTCAGTCGGCTGGTAGAATTCAGAGACGATAGGCAGCACAGAGTACACCGATGCCAAATAGGCACAAACAGCTAGTGTCTCTATGCGGCGCGTCCCCAAACCTCCCCGTCGTACTGGAAGTGACATCTGAGTCCACTGTACTTCGGATATCTGTACATTAACCAACCGCTCAACTCCCAACCGTAGCATATCGTCATATTCTTTTAGCAACTGATGATGTTCATAACAACGGGAAGTGCGTAAACCGTATAGCACTTTCGGGACGCTGAGACAGTTCTTGAGGAGAAAAGGCTGTAATGAGCAGGCAGTTTCTCCAAGCGATGTACGAATTTTTTAAGTTGCTCGGTTTTACTGGTCAAAAATCCTGCACATGCTGACGACGTCATTGGAGCTCCCAGCAAGGTAAAATTGTCTGCTTTGAGCTGTATCATGTTTGGCCAGTTGCTCAGCAGGCTTATGCGAATAAATGATTCATCTACTTCATTCGTCACAACTGGGAAGAATTCGCATTTGCTAAAATTCAGTTCCAGGCCCAACTTTGCCGCTCGTTCTTGTATTCGCTTAATGGCCGCTATTACTTTTTTCAAACTTTCATAATTAGCTAAATCTACCAATCTGCCAAAACAGCCAAAACTACCAGATGAGCCTTAACTACCGGATCATCCAGAACTACGAGATCAGCCAGGGCTGCCAGATCAGCCAGAACTACCAGATCAGCCAGAACTGCCCAATCAGTCTAAACTACCAGATCAGTCAGAACTGCCAAATCAGTCTAAACTACCAGATCAGCCTGACCTACCGAATCATCCAGAACCATCCAAAACTTAAGCACCTGTACGAAATTGCCTGGATAGCCAGATCAGCCAGATCCTCCCTTTAGCATTAGTGCTAAGCTTTCAAATTCTTAGTACCCGTACGATGATCAGTCCAAATATTCAGACCATCCAGATTACACCTTTAGTTTTAGTACTTACTAAGCTTACGAAACCTTAAGAACCCGACTTGACGCCTTCCAGCTTTTTATAACTGGAGGCCACGCGGTCAATCACTACTTAGTGATTGACTTACGTCTTTCGAAACCAAAAGGTGCGTGTGCGGGATCCACCATTTAAAGCCTTTTGGTCTCCGAAAGCCACGCGTGCGGTACCCAAACTTTTAAGCCGTTTGAAACCATGGGCTGCGTCAGCGCGGCGCGTAAGCGCCGCGCGTCCTGCTTGTACAGGATTATATGTATTCATATATTATAAGGATTATATATACGTATATAAGGATTATACATACGTATGACCTTAATTACACATATATAAAGATACCTTATACATATTAAGTACAAGATCTGTACTACGCGCGGCGCCCCATAGTTTTGAGATCTCTATAACCATAAAACTTTTGGAAAAACGGACAACGCCATTAGATCCGGGATAGTTCAGAAGTGGCCGGCATGTGTTTTTTTTATGAAAATATCGAGCCGGTATCAAGCCGGCATCAAGACCAAATTGATCCAACCCATCTTAAAGGTCACCTTGAAACTTAGAAATATTTGCCTAGATACAATACAAAATACCAGTTGACATAATTATCACACTAATTAAAACTGAAAAATAAAAAAATTATTGTACTTATTCAAACACTCGCGTTATTCGAACATTGCTGCCGGTGTTGCCGAGCTTGAAACACGTTTAAAATCAACCGATATAAAATGTAAAAATATCAAATATAAAATCAATACGAAAAATCACTGGACGAGTGAGTGACCGAAACACTATCACCGATTACTGAGCGGAATCTCTAGATGAGTGGGTGACCGAGCTACCACCACTGACCAGTAAGAAAAATCACTAGACAAGTGAGTGACCGAAACACCATTACTGCCCACTGAGCGGAATTTCTAGGTGAGTGAGTCATCGAGCGGGCTTTGCTCTTGCTCACCTAACGGGCTCTGTGCACTGGACAGTAGTTGTAGCAGGGTCACATCCTCACCTAGCGATTTTTCTCCTTACCTAGCGATATTTCTTACTGGACAGGTTGAGCTCGGTCAGTCACTCACCTAGTGATTGAGTGCGTCAAAAAATCGCTAGGTGAGTACGTGACCGAGCTACCACCACTGTCCAGTGCCCAGAACCCGTTAGGTGAAAGAGTACCGAGATACCACTACTGTCCAGTGCACAAACTCCGTTAAGTGATCTAGTGACTGAGCTACCACTACTGTCTAGTGCATAGATCCCGTTAGGTAGATGGGTGACCGAGCTACCAATACTGTCCAGTGCATAGATCCCGTTAGGTAGATGGGTGACCGAGCTACCAATACTGCCCAGTGCACGAACTCCGTTAAGTGATCTAGTGACCGAGCTAGCACTACTGTCCAGCGCACAAACTCCGTTAAGTGATCTAGTGACCGAGTTACCAGTACTGTCCTTTGCATAGATCCCGTTAGGTAGGTGGGTGACCGAGCTACCAAAGCTATCCAGTGCACAAAGCCCGTTAGGTGAACGTATGACCAAACTGCAATATTACTGAGCAAAATAGAGCAGGGCCTGCTAAGTTCTTAATGGGTGACCTATCTAGCACCACTGTCCAGTCTTAGCGTCCTTTTAGTTTGTAATGTGATACTCTCGTGGGTGATTAGATTCGGATGGTCTTTCGCTAAGAAAATTTAACAAAAAATGATCTGTAAAGTCAAAGTAATTGCGTTCGACTGCACGAAACCAAAACATCCATTTTTTTATAAAATTTTTGTTATCGGGCTCTTCAGATTTATCCGTTCTAAGTTAACAATCCGTAAACGGGCCAAGGAGTTTAGAACCCAAGAAACGCGGAGGCGAAGCCGAGGCTGTTTCTTGTATATATATATGATACCTTATACATATATAAGGATTATATGTACTGATGACCTATATGTACAAAAGTATATATGCTGTCTTCTTTCCGCTGCTTTTCTTAAGAAAACGCTTTCCGTCATACCGTCAAGCTGCCAGCCAGCGGCTTCCACACCGACCAATCCAGACGTGTCAGATTATTTTCGCTGATGGAGACGCGACTTAATTTTGCTGCCGGTGCGGATAAATTTCCCGACAAGGGCAAGGGCGTCAACGCTTGGAAAGTGTCCAGGGCGATGCTGGACAGCTGGTTGCGTTGCAAACTAAGGCAATCCAGCCGTCCGAAGCCGGCCAGCGTGTCGCGCGTTAACACCGGCAGATAAATATCCCACAGCAGCAGCGAGGTCACTTGGGCTTTTACATTGACCAGGAAGCGCTGCAGAGGAAACGGCTGATTATCCGGTGCTACCCAGATGTTGAAGAGTCCCACACGCCAGACACGCGGCAAGCGGGGCAGCGGCACGAAGGTGTTGAGTAAGCAGCTAGCATCGCAGTTCTGCCTATCCGAGCCGATTGTCAGGTACCCGATACTGCTGTTAATCTGGCTGACATTGTAGCTGACGGCTTTCTTGTCGCAGCGGCAGCGCGACCACTCCGAGGCGGGACTGCAGGCTGGCAAGACGAAGCGGAAGCAGGTGTCCGTGCGACCCGGATAACCACCGTCTGATACCGGCTCGCTGGCTGAAATAATCGGCAGCAGGAAAAACGCAATAGTTATTATTGATTGCTGAAGAGAGTGCATTATGGAAATACTGTTGACGATATTGCTTCTGATGCGAGTCAGTACTTTACTCGCTCTGTTGGTACAATATTAATGCGCCTGGCGCCACCCCGACAATGCTGTCTTTAAGTCTGATGATGCGGATACGAACGACAGAATGATGATTTATCCACCTTCCACGAACACTAAAGCAGGTTTCGAGAAAACCGCCACGAGTGCTATTTGCCTGCGCGTACCAGCTGCAAGGAAAACATACTGTATTAATTACTGTAACTACTGCATTTGGGTAGCCAATTTATTATCAGTCTGCAAGATATTAACTATCTGTAAGTAACTATCTGTAAGCTGTTAACCGCAGCTTTAAGAAACAACGTCACGTTTATAATTATTTCAAATTCCGACGAGGTGTCTTGGCGTGCAACCGTAGTCCGTAGTCTTTCTGATCATCGTATTTTCTCGGCTGCTTTTTGGCTGATTCATCGTTTGAACTGAACACAACGGTCGCGTTGCTTTGCGGGCAGAACGGTTCAGACGAATAGTGCCGAGAACAGTCAAGCAATTAAAAAATAATTAGCAGTTATTTCGTCGTCGCTAGCTTGCACACGTGGAATCCGTATAAATCACCGTTGAATGGCCAGCTGTCGCAGCATCCGGTTGGTGCATCGACAGCGTTGCCGGCATGACGAATCATTCATTCGCTGCGGCACGGATTGACGGTGTGCACTCGCTGTTTTAGAAACTACTTATTATCAACTTCGTGTCCCTGACGCTGCTGTGTGCCGCACTGTTCTGTGGCTACATCAGCTCGTTCGCAGTTCGCTTATAGTTTATTCAACTCGGACTACCCGGGCTACTCGTCCATCTACGCTGTGCCAGGCTGTCATCCCGATCCGGATGGACAGCGCTGCCAGTGCGACACAGCATCCTACAACGCCAACGCCATTCCCCGCGACGTCGACGACTTGACCGTGGGCGAGGCGTCGTCGGCGCATCATCCCCATCCCCGCTGCTCACCCACCACCGTCGTCCCGCTGCCGGCTCGCTCGCAGATATCCCAAGTGAGCCTCCTCAACATCCGGCTGGCCCCGGACGATCCGCCCTTTCCCCTGCAGTGCTTCCTGGCCATAAAGTCCAAAGTCAACTCAATTCAGATTCATAGCACGTTCCCGTAATTTTGAAAATTTTTAACATTTTCGAAACTTATTTTAAAATCGGAAAAAAATACTTGCAGTGGGTATGGCGGGAATCGTGCGGAGCCCGCAACAGAACGAGACCGTCTCCTCCACCTGCCGCGTCCCTGTCGGCAGCGATTGGCAGCGTCTATCCTGGCTGCACCAAGAGCGCACCGTCTTCGCCAAAGGTCAATTGTTGCCGGTGTCGGACGGACAGCAGTACGCCTTCCGCCGCGACAACGTCACCATGACCTTTGTCATCACCAACATGTCGCTGCAGCCCAGCGGTGCTTTGTCTGGACGCCTCAGGGTGCACGGCTCCCGTCCTGCAGCGCTACGCTGTATGGTCAAAGGTCATGCAAGTCACGCAGGTCTTCGAGCCACCCGTTGGGACTTCACACCGGCAAGGAGGGCGACGCCGCCACCTCGGCTGCGGCTGCCGGTTAGATAATTTGCTTAAGGAGCACGTTATCTAGCGGCTCAGCGATCGTATTTTGTGGACGCTCGAGGAGGAAGTGTACGGTGCGCGGTGGCCGGGCCAACGTCGGACCGTCTCGGTCGGTGGTTTCTCAACCTTCGCGGACAGTCGGCCCACTTCGCCTTTCGTCTCCCGCGCGCAAGCATGGCTGACGCCGGGAACATCGAGTGCTGGTTCGGGCTGCACGTCGGCAGTGGTGTAAGACATTGAGCCTAGTGTAATAATACAGCTTAGGACGAAATGGTCGCATACCCAACATCTCCACATTCAGTACGTATGCAGCGCAGTGCACTGTACGACTGAGTTCAAAATATCCGTTTCGTACAAGTGCACTGCACCGCTTGCGTACAGAATGCTGGGTATGGGGCTATGCGACCATTTAGTCCTACATTGTATGGTCGTCTGATAGTACGGACCTTTATGTCCACGTTTAACAAATTCCTCGTTGCTAGGATACCAACTAACCCGACGCTAACTTCTGTAAACTTAAGGCCGACGTCGTCAAAGTTGACTCCGTTAATGCTGCACTTAGAATATCTCAAGTGCATGTGCGCGTTCACTAACCACGTATACAGATATAGTCAGCAATCGAGCATGCTTTGGCTAATCCACACCGCTCTCGTCCTCATCCTATCCGACTCCGCCGCGTCCTGCTCTGGATCCACAGCCACAACCGGCGACCAGCGGGACGTGCAGGTGACGCAATACGGACTGCACGGGACGCGATCCACCACCACATCCGGCGTCCAGCAGGACGTGCATGTGCCGCAGTATTTACTGGACATCCTGATCACTGCGCCGGTGCCAGTGATTGTGGGCGGGAGAAAGCATAAACCGGCGCCGGCGGACCTGGCCTACCAGTTTCTACCAGCGCGACTCCACAGCCTACTGCCAGGAGATGGCGCGGTGTCCGGGCGCACTACGCGGCCAAGTGCCGCTGCCGGAGGACCGCAGCTTCTCCGGCTACGTCTGTCCCCCCGCGCCCTTCACCCGCCTCCCGTACTACGCTAGAAGCGGTACGTCGAGAACTGACCCGAGCGTCGAGAACTGACCCGAGTAGTGTGTGCGTTGTCTGCAGGCATCGCCACTGCCGGTTTCGCCGAGCGGCTGCGGCCGTCCACACCGGGGGCGACCGCCGTCGCCGCGGACCTGAGCTTCGTCTGCCACTTCTACATCCACCGGACGCCGGACCGGCAGTCCTTCAGCTGCGCGGACCCCACCAACTGCCGCATCCAGGGCCTGCACGGGACGCCCGGTGCGCCTACGGCTTGTCCTGGTCCGGCGCCTGGACCGGTGATCTGCAGTTAGGTACGTACGAACACTCCCTAATATTATATCGGTCAGATAACGGCTCCGCTTCGGACTGCGTGCACCGCTAATGCTGTACGTTGTGCAGGTTTGTGGGGGATGGTTAGCACTGAGGCATTCGCTTGAGCCGCAGAGTTGATCCAAGCCGGCTGGCAGCGGCGACTAAGGCACAGGGGCGGTGTGTGTTCCACGTGTTGAGCTTCTGTCAATGGTTGTGTTGTCGGCAGACTCGACGGACAATCAGGTCACTGCCGAAATCAAAAGAGTCTAAAAATAATTATTTGAACATCTGTGCAGCAATAATATAAGAAATTATTCAGAATAATTTGTTATTTGTGTAGATGAAGGTCTTCGCTGTTTTTTTTTCGCTTCACTGGATCGCAAACAATATACAGTGCATCTTGGGAACGTACATTACTGTGTTAGTGTTCGTTGTCTGGACACCAATTTCGGTCGCTCTACATGCAGGTGTGTGTGTCTCGAGGAGGGGGTCACCTAATGAGAACGTGACGTAATTCCCATCGGGAGAAAAGGAAGAGGATAGGTTATACTTATACGTAATGGATTGTTAACACAGCTAAAGGTCAGTGTGAACAGTGCCACTGTCGTTATATTAAGCGCTCTGTTCCCGTGCAAACTTAGTGCTGGCAAGTGGCAACCAACATGCCGGTTTTACCGTCACACTTTTCCTCCGCAGAAACTGCAGCTGCGATTACTGTTGGCCTGGCAACAATAATCATAAGGACAAGTTACAATTTCGACGTAGCTGGACGACAAATATAACTGCGCAATCTTTTTCCAGTTAATTAATAACTAATTTCAAAGATAGATGCTGATTGTAGCAGTTTAACCGTTACATTAGCAAGGTAAAAACTTACGGAGGTTTTAATTGGTTTTTTATTTACATAGTTCATAGGTGCTACCTCAAGTAGAAATGGAATTTAACTGTACAAGTATGCCGCATCGTAGTATCTGCAGCGGGGATACTTGGTCTCTATACTTGCGCACGTGCCGATTTTTGCGGACTGTTAGCATTGGATTGGCGCTGGTAACTGCTACAGTTTTCTTCCTACTAGCTACGCTACAACCTTCCGCAGCCTGCCCGGCAGGACGTTCTTCCCGCATCAAAGTCAACCGTCCATTATGTAATCTGATCGTTCGATTTCCTAAATAAACGACGAAATGACGTTGGGATCTTTGCAGTGAGCGATATTCTGCAAGACGGCCTGAATAACCGACGACAGGACGACCGGGTGCTGCTGCATTTCCCCGGGGTCAACGCTTCGGCGAGTGCGGCGGGGATCGTGCGGAGTCCGCAACTGGGCGGGAACGTCTCCTTCACCTGCCGCGTCCCGGCCGGCAGCGACTGGCGGAGTCTGTCCTGGTTGCACCAAGAGCGCACCGTCTTCGCCAAAGGTCACCCGCTGCCGGTATCCGACGGACAGCAGTACGCCTTCCGCCGCGACAACAACACCATGACCTTTAGCATCGCCAACGTGTCACTGCAGTCCAGCGGCGCCGTGGTCTGTCTGGACGCTGATGTCCGCGACCAATACGGCGCCGACCCCGTCCTGCAGCGCTACAGCCTCTGGCCAAAGGTCATGTCGGCCGCGGACGTCTTCGACCCGCCCATGGCGCCACAAACCGTCAAAGAAGGCGACACCGCCAAGTTCCTGTGCGCGGTGCGGCTGCCGGTGGCGCAGCCCGTGCTGGACAACTTCCCGCAGCAGCACTTCATCTGGCGGCTGAATCAACGGGTGCTGTGGGCGCCTACCGAGGAAGTGTACGCGTCACGGCTGCCGCCGGGTGGGACGGGCCAGCAGCTGATCCAGGCTGCTCGGTTTGGCAACAACCTGCCCGGAGAAACCGCGCCCTTCACCTTCCGCTTGCCGAACGCCACACAGGCCGACACCGGCACCATGGAATGCTGGTTCCGGCCGCACGTCGGCATCCATGAGTGGGTCGTGCAGTCAGCCCAGCTGCGCGTGGAAGCCAGGGGGAGCTAAGCGGAAATGAATCGCAACGGGACCATGAATTGCAGCACGTACATTGTCAGGATCAGCGCGTGTCGCGGACGCGTACAGGAAGGTCGAGTGAATGCTCCAGAAGAGCATCTGATTGTTTTGCGGACTGTCCCGCATCGTGCGCCCGGCGTCGAGGTCCGGGGAGGCGGTAGAACCGGCAGTCGGTGCCGGCGGATGCTGTGGTTAACGGGCGATTGTCAGACTGGAACATAGTGCTGCTGTTAGCAGGGAACACCAGATACACGTTACCCACGTAATGTAACTGCTGAGAACCAGCACTGTACCGCGGTGGCGCTGTCCATTCGAGGACAGAGCGATTGTCGGTTAAAGAACAGTTAGCAAGCTAAGTGCAGTTAAATTCGTGGCAAATTCCCTGTACTGCTTTGTTAAACGTCGGCTCCACGGTGCCACGGAGTCGTGCTGACGATCTGATACGTTCAGTTTGCCGATTTATTCCTCTACCGTTTTCGTTTAAGTCTACAGTTAGATAAGTCTACAATTCAGATTTTCATTTCCTTTGTGAAACCCACTAACGATGCCTCCATCCACGAGAAGCAAGAAGACAGCCAAGAAACCGCGTCGTGCTGTCGGAAAACCTCGTGGAACAGCGCCCGCGAAGCGCTTGAAGAGCGTCATCGTTCGCCCTGAGCCTGCCGAAGTTCAGTTGTTGGAGCCCACTCTCCAGTCCATTTTTCAGCAGCAGCAAAAACACCAGCAACAGATGGACTCGTTGATTGCCATTGTAAAAACCAGCCACCGCAGGCCGCCCGGCCGCTTTCGCCGTCATCTAATTTGCGGATCCAGCTTGGCGACGATTTCGGAAGAATCGTGCACCAGGTGGACTCCACAAGCAAGGCAGACAATGGAAAAAAGGCGAAGCGTCGGAAGCGAGGTAAGGAAAGTGTTACCTCATCCTCCGAACAGGGTAGCGACGATGAGAGCTTGCCAGAAGACAGTGCAGTACTGCAGCGCCATGGCAACCGCCCCGATATGTTTGGCCATTCGGGACAACCTTCTACGCAGCCATTTGTCTCGGACCAGACAAATCACCAGCTCCCGGCCATACCGGATAAAAGCTGCGGAAGAAACTGCTGGACCTCACTGAATACGTGGATTTTGACTTGCTGCTGCGACGCAACAGAGTGGAAAAGCCCAAGAAATTGCAGTCAAATCTAAGCTTTGTGGATGGGAAGATGACCATTACCCCGGAAGACGGTAAAATCAGCATTGATTCTTTTTCATCGTGGGCAGGTGCATTTTCTGTGTTCTCGGAATATCGCATCACTGTCGCCCCGCAGTTAAGCGCTAAATTTTTCAAGTATTTGGCTATTATTGCGTCGTATGCCGAGCGTGGGGTCCCGACCGCAAACTGGCCGGAGTACGACAGGCAGTTCCGTGCATTCATGACCAGCCACCCGCGGGAGTATGAACTATGGGCGCATCAGCATGAGGACACATACATCGACTGCATCCAGAATCCGCTCCGCAACACCACGGATGCTCCTCCACGTCACGAAAAAGAACGCACAGATGCTGGTAGTCGTCAAGATAAAAACCGGAAAGCGGACGACAAGTGTCGCAACTGTGGTATGCCTGGGCATTTTATTAAGAGCTGCCCGCTACCGCGTAAAGGACAGCCGGGGTACGGGCAGCCCTTTCGGACCGCTTCCGCCGCGGACGGAGAAATCTGCCGTAACTTCAATTTCGGCGGCTGCACCACTCCTTGCAAGGCCGGCCGGCAACACTCCTGTTCGCGATGCGGGGAGTCGAACCACCGCGCAGTTAACTGCACCAAAGTTGGTACCTGAGCTGACAGTGCCGGCGAGAGCGACTACACCACTGCGCACCACCGCTTTCGCCGAACTGCTCACTGAGTATCCTGATGCGTCAGTAGTGTCGTTTATACTGGACACGCTGGCACACGGTGCGCATATTTTCTATGATGGACCGCAGAAAGAACGGTACACTCCCAATGCGGCAACCGCTAAGACCCACAACGCCGCCGTTACTGAATACATCACGAAAGAAGTGGAGAAAGGTCACAGCGTCGGACCGTTCTTATCACCACCTTTACCCCACTTTGTTACGAATTCTCTCGGTGCGCGGCTGAAGAAGGACGGCACTGTAAGAGTCATCATGGATTTATCGCAGCCCACCGGGGACAGCGTGAACGATGCCATTGACGTCAATAAGCTTCCGTTGGAATACTGCTCCGTCGACGATGCTGTTGCCATCTTGAGCAGCTTGGGCCGGGGCGCGTTGATGGCGAAAATGGACGTCAAGTCAGCATTCCGCCTGATTCCGGTGCGGCGCGATCTTTGGAATCTGCTCGGGTATCGCTGGAACGGACAGTACTACTTCGACGTGGTACTTCCGTTTGGGCTACGATCTTCTCCTTACATCTTTGAGCAATTCGCAAAGATTATTGACTGGGCAGTGCGCAGAAGAAGCGGTCTAAGCTCAATGCTTCACTACGTGGATGATTATTTTTTGCCGGAAAGCCCGGCAGTGTCGAGTGCAGCACGTGCATGAGCACCATGTCGCAAATATGCAGTGAGCTGGGGGTCCCTTTGGCGCACGACAAGACCGAAGGACCCGCTACTCAGCTGATATTCTTGGGCATCCTGATCGACTCTGTGAGACAAACCCTTAGTCTCCCAACCGGAAAGCAAAATGAGATACAAGCGGCTCTTGAAGAATGGTCATCTCAGCGTTTCTGCACCCGGCAACAGCTTCAAAGTCTGCTCGGAGTCCTGCAGTTTGCATCGAAGTGCGTACCAGCAAGTCGTCTTTTTACTCGCCGGATGATCATGCTGTTATCTACTCACCGGAACACCAAAATGATCCCCTTAAACTCCGATTTTCACAAGGATCTGGGCTGGTGGCGTGAGTTTCTGCCGACATGGAACGGCACCGCATCCTTTTTACAGCCGGACTGGACGCGGTCAGATGTGCTGCACCTGTACACGGACGCCTCAGCAACACATGGCCTCGGCGCTTATTGTCAGGGGGCGTGGTTTCAGCTCCACTGGCAACTGTGGATAACTGAACTGCAGCCGTGCATTGAGTATCTTGAGATGGTACCGATACTGCTGAGCGTGATCGTCTGGGGAAAGAAGCTGGCCGGCTTGAAAGTTGTCTTCCATTGCGACAATGCCGGCGCCACGCACGCTTGGGAAAACCTCAGATCAACTAACCGCGGGGTGCTGGATATCATGCGTCGCTTAGTTAAAGCCGCAGCAGTCGCGAACATGACGTTAACGCTTAAGCATATTGCCGGAATTAATAATGAAATAGCTGATGCGCTCTCTCGTTTCCAGCAAAGCCGCTTCCGACGACTAGCGCCACAGGCAGAGCTACATCCGGTGGACTGTCCCGACATCTTTCCGGATCTCAGGGCAGCCCTCTGCCATCCCCAGAGCTGAATGAGTTGCTACAGGCTCATATTGCTGAATCTACCCGAGCCACGTACAATGCTGCATTCAACAAGTTCCAGCAATATTGCGCGGTTAGATCGGAGGCATCCCTGCCCGCTAAGCCGGCAACTGTTGCGGAATTTGTAGCGAAATTATACGCAGATAGTAAATGTTATCGGACAGCCACGGTTTACCTTGCCGGCATCCGGAATCGCCACCGTGAATTTAATGAAGCAAGCCCCACGGACAACGACACCGTTCTTAGGGCTCTGGAAGGCTATCGCCGTCTGGCAGTGCCACAAAAGACCGGCGGCTCCCGGTGACACTGGCGCACATGCGATATCTGAAGGACGCTTTGAGAGTGGCCCGCATATCAGAGTACGAACAGTCACTGTACTGGACGACGTTCACTTTCCTGTTCTTCGGCTTCTTCCGCATTGGAGAAATAACAGCAGCCGCTACTAACCGTTTTGACCCACGGCGGACTTTGTTATGGGGGGACATAGTGGATGTTGGCCACCGCCTAACGGTGCAGCTGAAGCTCACAAAGACGGACCAGACGGGGCAGGGTAGTTCTGTCGCGCTGACGGCGACTGGACGTTCAGTCTGCCCCGTGCAGGCTTACCGGAATTACCGTGCTCGCGTGCCCGAGCCTGCGAACGAGCGGCCGCTGTTGCAGCGCGAAGACGGCAAGTTCGTGACAAGGGCAGACGTGGAGAAGTGCCTCTTTCGCCTTCTCACGGATCACCCGGAGAGACCGGATCAGCACGCACAGTTTCCGCATTGGTGCGGCAACTACGGCCGCGGCCAATAACGTGCCTGACCATGCCATCCAACTGGCCGGACGCTGGCGGAGCAACTGTTACACCCGCTACATTCGCCACGCTGGGCCACCCGTGCCACTGAATCCTTACCGGACCGGATAGATTGTTTGGGGCAGTCGGGCGGAAGTGGGGATATCGGAGACTCGAACCGGTGAGGTCATCACCTGCACCTTCGATCTCGCGTATGCCGCCGCGCCGTCGACCCGTTCTTCCCGCAAACGCCCAACTCCGCTGCCGCTCGAGTGTACGGAATTTCCACAAGAATTTAAAGAACAGTTAGCAAGCTAAGTGCAGTTAAATTCGTGGCAAATTCCCTGTACTGCTTTGTTAAACGTCGGCTCGGCCCACTTTCTTTGTTGCGCATGAGAACGTTTAATGTTGCCGCCGGCCGTGCACACGGCCCGATTTTTCTGTTGCTCGCCTTCTGATCAGTCGTGCTGACGATCTGATACGTTCAGTTTGCCGATTTATTCCTCTACCGTTTTCGTTTACCACCCGCCCACCCTACATGGTGGACTTTGTTGTTATTGCTTTCGCAACTGTTATGTTACTCAATGCAATAAACGGGGGCAGTCGGGCGGAAGTGGGGATATCGGAGACTCGAACCGGTGAGGTCATCACCTGCACCTTCGATCTCGCGTATGCCGCCGCGCCGTCGACCCGTTCTTCCCGCAAACGCCCAACTCCGCTGCCGCTCGAGTGTACGGAATTTCCACAAGAATTTAATGTCGTACTTAACGAATACAGTGCTAGCATCATAAGCAGCCGCTTGTTTCTCCGCTTCCGCTACCACGCTGACCACCTTGGTCATGGCATAATAAATTGTCATAATGTACAATAATTGACTCAACCCTTTTGGATTTTTCAAGCAAGTACGAGGCTCAAGCCGGCTAGCAGTCGGTTTATTCACTTGCAGATGTTAGAGAAGTATAATGTACAAACGCGAGTCATTTAAGGGAAGTGGGCCGGTACATGGTAGCAAATACGTGGACATACACGAAAACTTACACTTTCGCGCACTCCCAAACACATTTTTGTTTCGGTTTCTGACATTCTGTAGCCAGACGATTTGTATACACCAGTGTGAAAACCGTTTGTGCGCGCAACACCCGGTTCGGAAGTTATGGCTGTTACAACATTCCAAAAGGTTTAAATGCATTCCGGTGTACCAAAAGTATCATTTATATGGACCGATCTCCCTCAAGTTACGCACGTAAATGCACATAACCACGAAAAACGTTTTTACACCGATCCACTGTTCTAACATGTTTTCAAATTTTAAAATGAATTTCAAAAATGTTAAAATTCATTTTAAAATCTGAAAAAGAATCATGGAAGTCGGGATCGATGTAAGAACGCTCTTCATGGACATGCGCATTTACGTGCATAACTTGAGGGAGATCTGGTCCATACTGAGACTTTGGGTGCACCGAAATGCATTTAAACTTTTTGGAATTTCTAACAGCCATAACTCTCGAACCGGATGTTGCGCGCACAAACGGTTTTCACACCAGTGTACACAAATCTTCTGGCTATAGAATGGCATAAAACGAAACAGAAAATTAATGTGTTTGGGAGTGCGCGAAAGTGTGTTTTCGTGCATGTACACGAATTTGGTACCAGGTACCGGCCCACTTCCCTTAAGTACACTGTACTAATATTTCTGCGCTGCTACCATGGAGGAATTTTCTGTTTAGACCGTTTTCAGCGTTATATACTGCAAATTTCTTAACCAGTCGGCAGTAAATAATTTGCGTCTGTGGCGCTGGACGCGGCAGCGCCGTCGAACGTCAATTTGTCGTTGACTACAGTATTATTCAACAAACATACAGTAAGTAACTCGGCACCGGAAGCAGCGTAGTTACTGGTAAAAAACATACATACGGGCACGAAAATGAGCGAGAATTAATCCAGAAACAAACATAACGCTTCTCTAACAAGCGCGGACGAATAAAAACCCTCTCCGAACCAACCGGCAGTTATCACAAGAATTGTTAAAAAAATTACAACGGAAGAAACTCTCCTTCTTGATTAATGAAAACATCCTTGACCCTATCAGCGTTCCTCCTTGTCCTTGTCAATCTTGCCGGCGTTGCTGGAGGTGGAGCGACTGAGCGCCGGCGTGAGGGGCCGCGGCGGCGGCGGCTCGCGGAGGTGCTCGTTCATGAGCGTCAGCTCCAGCTCGCTGTTGGCGAAGAGCGGCGTCTGCCCGACGGAGGGGGCGCGCGGCCGGCGCGGGGGCGCGGGGGGCGGCGTGGAGGGGGCGCTGCGGGCAGTGCGCTCCATCACCTCCACCAGACTGCTGATGGAGCCGGCGCGCGTGCCCGGCGTGCTGTGGCAGCGGCGTTCCGCGCGGTGCTTGCTGCGGTGCTCCGTGATGAGGTTGTAGCACCAGCGCAGCAGGTGCACGTTGATCAGCAGCTTCGTCGTCAGCAGACTGCGCCACACCAATTAATTATTATCCCATTTTTTATTAACAATGACTTATTATTATCCATTTTTTATCATCAACTTGAGCACCGGATAACCAGCTAAACAAATTTTGTTAATTCACGCTATCTTGAAAATAATTTCAATTTAATTATAAAACGAAAGCAGACTCCGAAAAAAATTTATGGCATCTTTTTCGACCAATTTTTTTGCGTTTACGCACTGCAATGCTTTAAATAAAAATTCCCCGATTATTTTCCCTTTATTATTATTTATTGTTGCAGTTTTCATAGCGAAAACTCATTTAATTCTATAATTTTCGTTGATGAGAGTATTTAAACAGAAATCAGTAAGTTTTTAATAAAAATTTATCGTACGAATCATTAAAAAATGTATATAAAATGTATATTTGGAAATGATTGCAAACTGTCGTCAGAAAATCGGAAATTGTGGATGTTTTTTCTAATGCCGGCCTACCATACGTAGCCGAGGCCGAGGAGGAGCCAGTCGCGGACGTCGTCGAAGCGGAAGCTCTGGTAGACGATGCGGACGACGATGATGGCCAGCGGGATGGGCACGAAGCCCATGCGCCGCACCACCGAGTCGCTCTGGTCCGCGAACTTCTGCAAGGTGGCTTAATTACTCAATTATTCAGCAACACGATGCCAGGATAGAGAGTCTCACGTTGTTATCCAGGTGGCTGGTGGCGAAGTCGTAGGCCAGACTGTACGTGTAGTCCTGGTACACCGACATGCTGATCTCGTTAAACTTGGTGATGAAGGCGTGCTTCGTCCAGTCCACCACCACCTCCGCCACGATGATCAGCAACGCGTCCGGCAGGCACGCCCAGAAATTATCTGCAATTAACCAGCAAACTACAAATACTGCAACCAACAAATAAATTCATAACGGAAAACGATAAACTAGTCAACAACAAAAAATAGAAAATAATTTATCAAATAAATTAACCGTGGCAAAAAAATAAATTAATCCGTATCACAACAGAAATAATTTAGAAAATAAATTCGTCATGGAAAGTAATAAATTAACCAGTAATATAATTACAGAAATAATTTGAAAATAAATTCGCAATGGGAAATAATAAATTAATAAATAAAAGAAATGGACTGGAAAATAAATTCATACTGGGAATAACAATTACTGTATCAATCACAAAATAAATAAAATACACACTACACAGTATCGTATAACACAGAATAATCCTAAGGGAAATGCGGCTTCGGTGCTGGGCACGATGGAAGGGCTGGAGAAGCTGAACGAAATTTTTCTGTTATAGTTCAGTGTTTTTCTTATGTTTATGTATTGCGTTTTTGATTTGACCAATAAAGTGTAAACGTTAATGGAAATTCGGAAAATAACTAATCATGCAGAACAAAAATAATATTAATAAAATAATAAAAGATATCTGAACAGGAAAATAAATTCTTCAGGGAAAATCATAAATTAGTAAACAAGAAAAATAACAGCAAAAAATAGAGATAAGTTCTTAATTGAAACCAACCCATTTTCCAGCCGAGCTCCGTCATGTTGCGGATGACCACCATCAGCAGCAACACGATGAACTGGAAGCGCTCGCGCACGTCACTACAGGAGATCTGGTACAGGTTCTTCTTCTCGAACTTCTTGAACACACTGCCCTTGATCTCCACAAACTACAAAACCACTGCCATCAAATCAGAATCCCACCACTGTCACATGCAACAACCTACGTTGTTGGAGAGGAGAATGACGAGGAGCGCGCGGTTCTGTGAGTTCATGGCGATGTTCAGCGTGGTGATCTGCACGAGGACCACCAAGGAATGCACCACTACAACAACCAAACAATTACGCGCGATCCGTAAAGAAAGAGAAGGAAAATACACTTACTGACATAGAGGAGCGCGGTGATGATCTGCGGGATGATGCCCAGCTGGCTGATGGTCTTGTAGCCCGGCCGGTCCTTGCCGGCGGGGGAGGCCGTCCAGAAGAGGGACTCCAGGATGTCCTGCCCGAAGGAGGAGCACAGCCGGTCCGCCACCTGCCAATTAACGCTGATAATGCTTCCTTCTGACGCAGAATGATTAATCGGCTTACCTCGAGCATGTTGAACATGATGTAGAGCTTGACGACGGCCTGGCCGCGCAGAAAGTGATACATGACGGAGAGGTCCAGCCAGGTGAAGAGCCAGACGCCGAGGAAGATGAAGGAGCCCTTGATCATCTCGCAGATGCAGGTGGTGGGGTACAGACGCCGCGGATTGTCGGCGGACTGCGGCGGGAGGCGGCGCCGGCGCAGCCAGGCCACGTGCAGGAGACTGCGGAAGAGCCTGCCCACCAGCAGCAGCACGTGCCACCAGGCGATGCACAGCCGGATGGGGAAGATGGTGAACACGTACAGGAAGGCGTCCGCGCACTGGATTGTACCCAGCGACATCACCTGCCATCACATCAACCATGCTTAAGAGACATGGCAAATTAATCAAGCATATTTCAGTAACTACTTCTGTCGGCGTGGACAACAAGGGCAAAAATTAACAAATAATCAAATGGCAATTAAAAAATAAGAATTTACAGAAGGCAAATAAAAATAATAAACAAGCCCTCTGAAGTGAAATCTGTAATTTGTTAATTTCTAGGTAATTAAATAAGAAATGCAGACTGAGCAAAAGCTGAGAAAAACTAGAAATAAACAAACATTACAAGAAGCGAAGAGAAATTAGAAAGCAAAGCGAAGCAAAATTGCAAAAAAAAACAAATACAAATTAAGAAATAAAATTAGAAATAAACAAACAGCAAATAAAAGATAAGGAAGACCATATTAGATTTTCAAAAAACTAATATTTAGCACATAACAAGCAAATCAAAATTGGAAAATTCAGGAATACCTTTTCTACTTCGAAGGGGACGGAAAGGAAGGTCTGAATACGGCGGCGCTTCTCCGCCATCCGCTCCTTGTCCTCGCGTTGTCCCTGGTCTCGCCGGCAAGACCGCACCACGTAATCCCAAAAACTCCCTGAAAAAACCCCCGTCAAGCGACAAAACCACTAAATCAGTCTAACAAATAATCATCTGCGAAACCATCCTATTCATTAATTTAATATTTACCTGATTTATCTTACCATTATTTTAAAAATTCAGCATGACTCGAAGGCTTACCCTGCTGCAGAGGAAAGTCCCCTGTTTTGAAATTCTCCGCCACCGGAACGCCACCCATCACAGCATCGAAATCCGCGGGATACCCCCGTCCCGCGCCCTCCCGCCCCTCCCGGCACCCCGATTCCGTCCTTATCCGCGCCCGCCCCCGTCGCCCCTCGTCTCCCCCGCGATTCCTCCCGAGATCCTCCTCCATCAACGCCGGAACAGCGAAATCCACGGAAACTGGCGCGCCTCCGCGAACCTCCTTAGCGAGCTTCTTCCTTGACTGCGCGGCATTCTCCTCGTCCCCGGCGTTCTGCGTCTTGAGGACATTGCGTAGACGCCGCTCCAGGCTACTGGCGGAGAGGAGCTCGGAGTCGGTTTGGTGCAGGGAAGACGCGTTATCGTCATCGGAATACGGAGAAGCATGCGTGTGCGAACTCTGCCAACTCCTGCGCCGTTGTTGTGTGCTGTTACACTCCCCTCCCTGCATCGATGCACTGCTTCTCCTAGCGTCAACCTTGGCATGCTGATGCGATACATGCTGGCAGGAAGCGCAAACGGCGAAGCGGGGCTGGTTGTTCTCGTTGTCCGCTTCCTCGTCCGCGTCCTCCAGCGCCAGATCGTCGTCTTCCACGCACACGTCCTCCACGCTCACCGACATTCTCACTGCCTTCACAACCAATTACACCAAATTTCACATGCAGTCCCTTTCCAGCAATGATTCTGCAACCTTAAAATGTCAACTAAATTATTCTACAAAAATCCCAACATTTGCAAATCTATTCTCAATGATCAGAGTTTTTAGAATTTTGATATTTTTTGAATTTCACGTTATAGCATGTTGTGATGTTTGTGACAGTTTGTCTCTCTTCTCTCTCGTTCCAGCATCCACAACTCCATCACACGGAATTTTCAAAATGGAATTGGAATCGGATGTAACATAGCACACAAGCGAACCGGTCGATTTGATCGCTTCCATTGAGCCAGTTAACTGTAATGGAGTTCCCAACCCGTAACACGCCGTCAAGTGTTGACATCGCGGAAATACAAGCGCGTGTGTGATCGGGATCGAAGAAGCATCACAGTGCGTGTGGACTGTGGAGTACTACGTTGATTCACGAATTTATGCTAACAAATTAAGTTTAATTGGAATCTGTTAATTTACGTCCTTCTTCTTTTAATTTATTGGATGATGGTTATTATTAATCATCGGTGAACGGTGTGTTGGGCGCGGATGACAGATGGTGGGGGATTGGAAATGGCATGATTATTTATTATTGGCGAAGATTGAGTGCGTTGCATCTGTCACGTTGCGAGTGTTGCGATCCGTTCAACGATCTGAGTGCTGCGCAGTTGGCAGTATAATTGAGCCAGCGCCAGACGGCAACGTTGACAATCATAATTGTCCAAAGTGGAGCGTGCCAGTAGCGGGTGTGTGCGTTGGTTGATCTTGAAGGTTGTCGAGTGCAGTTGGAGCGATGCAGCAGGAATCTACAACCTGTCGCATTCCCTAATCAGGCTAATCTGCATCCTCTCCGGGGTTTTGTATTTTCTGGACGCCGTGGCTGAGTGTCTTCTTGCAGGTACGTGGTCTGTTCGTGATGGCATTCCGCTGGCTACGAAAAATTGCGAAAAAGCGTTACTCAGATCAAGTTTTGGGATGCCAGTACACTGAGTACAGTATGATAATTTTGGAAATATTAATAGTGGCCCCGGGGCGTTATTGTGGTTTGTTGGAGAGTTGGGAGAAATTGTGCTGATTTCGAAATTTTCCATTGGGGATTATCTGCCGTTGCAGTTCCTGATGCATAGCATGGTGCTTCTATCCATACTGTTGGTTCTCGTAATAATTGTAATTTTCAGCTGGGCTGTAATTTGCACCGAGCGCGAAGCGCGAGGTGCTGCAATTAACTGATCGTCAAGAGCATAAATTTGTCTGACGCCACGAAGAGCGTACGTAACACTTTTCCAATTCCACAATCCCAATACCATTTCCCAGTGGTATTAGCGCTCGCGCTCGTGCAATAATGTGGTTAACAACCACCGCTAGTTTATTCCTAACAGCTAACAGTTCAGCAATAAAACTGCTGGCTTTGGTTAACCCGTTAACATTCGCAGTTCTTCTTCGATTTCCGCAGCATTTTTACGCGTCGTACAAGCAGATCGGTTGGTGTGTTAAAATTTGCTTCTGGAACTTGGAATGGTTTCTTCAACTTTCTTGTGATTTTCCAAATTTCATTTAAGTAAGTAATAAGTGCAGCTAGTGCAGAAGAAGCCATTTTTTTGTGGCGAAAATCAAGAGGAAGAGAACTGGGAATTTTCCAGACTGTTAATAATTATGATATCTGCATTACGCTGCCGTATCGAGCGGTTGCAATTACTCCAGGCGTCGGAAGTCGTTGAATTTTCTTCATTTAAAATTTTCCGTTTAGATATTTTCGTGAATCATAAATGATGCTAAACAGGAAAGATATTCCTCCAGGAAAACAGGTCACTCTAAAGGAAATCGCTAGTGTATGTTAGGAGCTGTGCGACTTGAAGCGAGCCTGTGCGCTTTCCACGCTAATTAATTAATAGTCCACCAGTCCGATTAATGCAATTTATTTGCAATCTTGTACAGGCAGATGCAATTTACACATAAGTCCGATTAATTATTGTTAATACGTAGTTGTGCCGGTTTGCAGCTGGGGAATTGCGGCTATATTTTTGTTGGGGAAAAGCGTTTGCTGTGTAAAATAGTGTTGGTAGAATGATGAACGTGAGGCGTTGTTGGTTGGTTGTGGTTACTGGTTACATGATTTCCCGGAAGAGCGCAGTACGGGCCTGTTGACGCGGGGGTGCGGGAGTGTAAACAGGACGTGGAAATGAATCCGCGCTGTGTGCGTATACTTTACAGTTAGTGCCTGTACAGGCACACTCTGCACGGCCGCAATCAGCCCGCTAGGCCGTGTTTGTCTTGTCGTGCGGCGATAATTGCCAGCTGCCGCCAGCCGAGCCGCTTCCGCTCGCCGCCATTGGCCGCCGCCTGCATCCCGTCCCCGCCCCCTGAGCATGCGCCGGACTGGACGCCACGGCGCGCACACCGTAATAACCCCGCCGCTTAATCAAACCCTCCGCTTAAAACAATCCCCGCATGATCGCATCCCCGGCGTCCTTTTTATTGCTCCTGCTCGCGCTGTTTGACGACCGAGCATTCTTGTAATTAAACCAGTCGCTTCGTCATTCGATCATTTTGATGCAGCCCCAATGACTGGCCAGTCAATTACCGGCCCGGCTGCTGCTTATATTACGCCGCGATACGCTGGCCGTTGCTGCGACTTGCGCCCGCCGGCCTCCGAGATGATGCCAGCTGGCCTCCTGCCGCTCGCGTCGTAAACGCGAAAAATCATTTCTGATCAGACGGATCGGCCTGTGCTTTTTTTCCGTATCGTCATTTGCACCGCAGAGTTTTTTATTGGCGAAATCTCGGTCAGTTTTAATGCGTTCTGCAACGTGATGACTGCGCTGATTGCCAATCAGCAGAAATTCCATCATGATGGCCATTTCATTATAAAAATGCAATTTAATCCGCTCAGTCTTTCCGGTTAATGTTGACTGACAGTGCGGCGTAGTGATTTGAATTTAAGGTAATTATTAATTTAATATTTAATCAACTTTTAACTTTACTAAATTAATGATTATTTTTGTGGATACATTTGAAGGAGTTTTTTTGTTAAAAATAAATGTGTGCTGGAAGATTGATTCCTGTATGCTAACGAACGAGAAAAGGCAGAGAACTGAGCTCTTTAATCATTTGTAATGCAATGAAGTCAACGGCTGCGGGAAAAAATTAGCCTAAAATCAGTGGTGATTAATTCAGTGAGCGCGCGCGTGTAGATGGAACTTTGTTTAAGATGATCAGACTGCGTCGTTGTATGCGATTGAGGAGAGGGGAAATGGATGGGCATTCTAAGTTGATTTGACCCGATGAATAGGGAATAAAATGCGCGCATGTGTTCCCCTCTTCCCTTCCCGGTTCCCGCGGCCGGCGCAGTAATCCAATTGTGCAGGGAGAGAGCGAGCGAGTGCAGCCAGCAGTCGGCGTGGATGAACAGTAGAAATTGATGCTTTTCCGCATGCTGCACCCATCTGTCCGCTGTAGCACTCACTGTGCCACTTTCCGTACTTTGTATGCGTTTCTAATTTCGATTTTGTGCTACTCAGATTATTTTTGGTTAGAGTTTAATTGGAATAATCGGAATTAAATTTTATTTTACAGTGAGCGTGGAGGGATTTTAACTGGCGTGGAAATCATCTGTATCTGTTGGATTGAAATTTCGTTGTTACGGGAGATGTGACGGTGTGGAGTGTGGATTAATCTCACCGGGATCTGAGTGCTGAGGATGCCGGCCGCCCGCATGAGCGCCCAGGCCGTGCCGCAGAATCCCCCGGGAGCGCCGGCCCCCGGCGCCCAGGGCCCGCGGGCGCTGCTGGACGCCGAGCAGCGCCAGAACGCCGGCATCACCTGCCGCGATGTCTGCTGGCTCTTCTGCTGTCCGCCCTGGCCTTCTTCCATTGCTGGTCAGTCTATCAATCAACTTTCCTCTTAATTTTGCTGCTGTATTTTTAGTTAGAAATGGCATCGTCGAAAGCGCATCAGTTTTTGAAAACGAGCATTTATTTTCTTCGTTTATTTTAATGGAAATTAACTTGTTTATCTTATTGAAATTATGAAATTTTTTCTATTGGAAGTGGCATCATCAGTTAATTATATAAAAATAAAAAGTGTATCAATTAATTATATAAAAACGTGAAGTTAATTTCCTTAATTATTTTAATGGAAATTCCCATTTTGGAAATTGTGTCTGATTTATTAATTTTTTTTAATGGAAATAATAATGGAATATCCTTCATTTTTTGCTGTATTTTCAGCGTGGAAAGCGCTTCAGTTATAAAGGACGTGTAATTATTTTTCTAATTTATTTTAATGGAAATAATTCGCTGAAAGTGTATCGGTTTACGGAAGCCTTTTTGCAAAGTAATAGCATCGTCTCTTCCGCGGACAATCGCGCTATTCACAGCGGCGTTCGTTGCGTATTGTTGTCGGAAAAGAAATTTGTGTGTAGTCGGCTGATTTCGTCACGCCGCTGTGTGACTGTGTGGGTCGATAGCCAGTGTTTGTGCTGCGTTGTGCGGGGCATTGTTGACGTGTTGACGGTGTTTTGTGGTGCATGTTGTCGTTGGCAAACAGCGCTGACGGTGGCGTCTGTCAAGAGGGAAAGAAACGTTTCAATTTCCCTCCGTTCAGCACATAATCCGCGTGTCATGTTGTTAGCGCCGTCCCGGAAGCGTATTAGATTAATGAGAGCATCTTGACATATTTTTCAGTGAGGATACAATTTAATTTTTAATTTCCCTGGCAATTTCTCAGCGGGTTGCTGCAACCGCTAATGGATTAATCATTAGCCGCTTAGGTAATTCAGCGAACGGGAAAATTCATCCGGTTGAAAAAAGGAAGAGTGCGGCAAATGGTTTCGCGGAAAGATTAAGTGCAGAAGTAGTGTCAACAGAGACACGGCAGCCGGCCGATTAAAGGGGTTAGTTGGCTGGATGGGGTCGGAAGGGATGGGGTTTCTTTTGAGTGGGATGAGAATGGGATGATGGGCCCGGGAGCGCAGCGGCGATAAAGCGCTCGCATACTCGTGAGGAATTACGGATTCGACGAAGGATGAAGCGCTGTGCAAGCGGCTCAGCGGCCTCAACCGCGCATCCGCGTTCTTTGACATTGCACGCGAGAAAAACGTTCCACACCACTTGCTCCCGGGGGAGTGCCGGCGTAGTGCGCTTTTTATGCTGTACAACTAGAGCGGAAGTCATAGAAAAACCTGGCTGTTCCTTTTCACTGATCAGTGCTTGAGAATTTTCGCACTATTTCACGTTCGATTTACGTCCCAGTTTCCTCTGCATCATGTTGCTTTTGCATGAGTCAGGTTTCAACGTCGCATTTAGAAATTGCATAATTTTTAAGAACTTCCTCTTAATTTTTTGAATAGAAGTATTGCAGAGAAAAGTAATTTTTTATAGCGAAAATCAACAAGGGAAAGAATGGGAATTTTGGAACAATTCTAGCTAAAATTAGCATTAGGCTGAATCACCGAGCGGTTACGATTGCTTCCAGCGTCGGAAGTGCCGGAATTTTTTTATTTGAAATTTCCAGCTGGGAGATTTTCGTTAAACGTACATGGTGTTCGATAGAAAAGTGTTTTCCACAGAAGTACAAGTTATTTTGAAGGAAATCGCTCATGCGCGTTAGGAGCTATGCGTCTTGAAGCTCCTCCCAGGCAGTCAAAATAGCACTTTCGACAAACAGTCAGATATATCGTGACTTGTTTAGTAATAATGAATTTGCGTGCATTGCAGCCAAACTAGCGTTCGTCCCCCCGGAAGCCAGCTACAAGTTCGTGCCCGTGGTCACTCCCGGCGAGTGCGAGGCCTCCTCGGCGTCGGTGGGCGGGAGTGGGCCGCGGGAGCGCTTCCGCATCGTCTTAAACGACCCACTGGACTGGCACTTTGTCCCCTCGCAACTAGAGGCCGTGGAGGCGTTCTACGCGCGCAGCGCCAAGGGCCAGCAGATCGCCTGCATGTACATGCGCAGCTGCAGCCCGGAGGCGCGCTTCACCATGCTCTTCAGCCACGGGAACGCCGTTGATCTCGGACAGATGTGCAGTTTCTACTGGGCGCTCGGCAAGCGGCTGGGCGTCAACATCTTCAGCTACGACTACTCGGGCTACGGGGTGGGTGGCCGGGCGACAGACGGTCCCTTTGATACAGATTAGCAAAGGTTTGTCGTTGGTATAGGTGAGCACGGGCACGCCGTCGGAGAAGAACGTGTACGCCGACGTGGAGGCCGCCTGGCGCGAGCTGCAGACGCGCTACGGGATCAAAGCGGAGAACGTGATCCTGTACGGCCAGAGCATCGGCACCGTGGCCGCCGTGGACCTGGCCGCCAAGGAGCGCTTCGGTGGGGTCATTCTCCACGGGACGCTGGCCTCGGGGCTGCGCGTCGCCTTCCCCGAGACGCGCCGCAACTGGTTCTTCGACGTCTTCAAAAGGTACCTCTTGAAACTTATTTACTAATTTTTTACGTAGTTAAATTTAATTGAATTGATAAAATAATCCTAGGACGTCTTATATAACCATAATCCGGCTTAAAATACTAAAATATCTTTTTATTTTATAATAAATTAAATTAGAATAAATAATTGAAAGAATATTATTGTGACTTTTAAATATTCGAATGCATATCGAGCAATGGTTCCCGGTAGACAAGGACTGCGCCTGTGTAGGCGCAGTCCGTATTATTCTACTGCTGGAAGGCAGTATTGTGTAATGGACGACCGACGAAGTGCTCCCTTCAGGCCATTTGAATGCCGTGATGGCTAGTCAAAAGATCAATCGATTAGCTGCTTGTCAAAACACATCCATCCCTCCTCTCCCGCGATAACAGGATGTCAAGTGGCTGCACTAAATCAACGCAGCCATAATACAGAATACACTCGCCCTGCGCACTCTCACCCGGCCACTTGCCCACCGGAATTAACTCTGATACACTCCCTCCCACCATCACTCCATCCCAGAAAATCCCGTACACATTTTTTTCCAAAAATTTATTATTTCTTTTCCTGGAATTTTTTATTAATTCTTCCTATACCATTTGGCTGTCTGGAAAGCGCTTCGAGATGCACTGCTTCCAACGCACAAGAGTGATTTTCTTGAGAGTAACCTGTATTCCCGTGCGATTCATTTTCCTGTTGAATATAGTTTATGTTTCACGAAAATATATAAAACTGAACAATTTAGATGAAGGCAATTCAGGGACTTCCGGCGCATGAAACAATTAATGCTAATTTACCTTGACAGTTTTTCAAAATTCCTGTGCTTTTACTTTCTGATTTTCGCTTGAAAAAATACTTCCCCTGCAATAACGTTATGTAAGAAAAATCGGAATAAGTTATAAGGAAGCATCCTTCAGGTAAAAGCTAAATTATGGCTACATAATGTGTGCGAAAAAGTGCTTGTTTCGTGTTGAGAGTAAAGTAAAGCTTATTTCGGCGGTGTATAATGGTGTGAAATGTGTTAATTTATAGCATTGACAAGGCGGAGCGGATCCACTCGCGGACGCTGGTGATCCACGGGAGCGAGGACGAGGTGATCCCGGTGGCGCACGGCATCTCGATCTACGAGCGCCTGCCGGCCGCCGTGGACCCGCTCTTCATCGAGGGCGCCGGCCACAACGACGTGGAGCTCTTCGCGCAGTATTACGACCGCCTCAAGCGCTTCATCAACGACGAACTGCGCCAGGCCCCACTGGACGCCCCGGGACCGGCGGCCCCCGAGGTCCTCCCCACGCTGTAGCGGTTGTCCCGTTCGTTCCCTGGGGAGCCGTTAAAGCGCACCCCGTGGGCGGTTGACTTGATGCTTTCGGTTTTTCTTACTCTCCATGTTTGTTGGTTAATTGGCGTTGATTTCTGAACGGATGGATGGATGCATGATCCGACCAGTTGAGGTTCTGGCTGTTTGCTTGATGATTGGTTGGGCCGAGTTAATTTCTCTGGGTGGCGGGTGGTGCGTTGACGATGCGGCGGTGTACACGCGTCGCTCGGCGCCGCTGGCTGTGTTCTCTGCGGACCAGGTTGCGCTGCGCTGGACTGGTTGGTTTTCCATTAAATTATCAGTATGACCAGATACGTCGTACAACTGATCGCCAAAATGTCGATAAATATATGTACGTATGTAGGACTAGGAGATTGCAGGAAATCATCGCCGACAAAAACCTGATCACTTCTCGTACGGTCGTTCGGTTGGCCAGCTATAGCAAGTGAGCGAATGGGCGATGGACGTTCCGTTGGACAATCGTCAATTAAACATTTCCCAAACCGATTTTCTTCCGGGCTTCTTTTTTACCTGTTTAGGAAGATCGCACCCTTTGCAGGATACCTGAAATTTTTAAAAAAATGTTGAGCCGTTTTTTTAGCAATGGCGTCGTTAAAAAGAGTGACGACGCACTTAGGCCACGCCACGCCACGCGAGCCACTGCACTACACTACACCACGATATCTGCAGTCACCGCCACACAAGTGCGGCTCGGCTGTCTGACTTCAAATAGTTTGATGAATTTCTTTGTTTCTTAAAAATTAAACCTTTGTCTTGAACACGATCACACAAGAAAAATTATCAGGAGGATACATGCAGGACAGGCACGGTGGCATACTGTCTGCTCGATACAGTATTCCACCGAAAAAAAACATATTCCGAAAAACCGAACAGTAGTGTACATACGGGTACTGTACGGTACCGGCATATACAAATATTAATATGCGCGACTAATAAGTACGTATAATTTTACCCAGATGTCAACCGTCATGCACATTGTACAATACAGCTGGATCAAACTGTAACTTTCCAGTAGAAGATAATAAAATTATAAAATTCAAAATTCCGCTGCCCCCAAAACCATATGTACAATACTGTTCACGATTACCTATGCGGTACGTATTGCCGGTGTGCGTATATGAAGACACGCTTTAGTATGCTTTTTCTAAGTACCGGTAACTAATAATATTTATTCAGACTGGCAATACAGTACAAAAGGCTTAATGTTCCTATAAAAGTAAAGGTATACTGATTATGCAGCCTCGGGCAACCTAAGAAAATGTACATGTACAACCGTGCAGATAGTACATACAATAACAGATATGAACACCTATCCGAAAACATGAACAAAAAATAAACAGCTACAACGCTTCGCAGTAAGAGGTGAACATCCGAGAAGGTTCAATTCTATTGAGGGTTGTTCCTGGTGGTGCGGTTCCCTCAATGGCCGCGTTCGGGGCGTTCCAAGGCTGCATGTTTATGCTAATCCCAAATGCACCTTTTCTGCCGGAAGACCAAGACACGACCGTATAGACGACGTTTTTCGCCGGGCACTTAGTTCCGCTGGCATTATAATTGGCATCCCAGCGCGAACGGAACTCAGAGGCATGCACCACGAAAACGACACACGCCTGGACGAAGTCCACAGTTCCACGATAACGACATTTGGCAACAAAGAACCAGCAATAAGCCATTAACCGAAACGACAAAAAATTACCAGGACTGAACATATGGGATACATATCGATGGACGAATAGCTGCAAACCGCAGTAAACAGCACTGTTAACCAACAGATCCACGAGGTCTTTCGTCGAGCAGTGGATTGCCTTTCAGTTCGCGACGCAGCCTTACCAGGGCACATACCGAGGCTATAAATTCAGAAAAATCTTATTTTTTGCAGGAAGGTAGAACAACTATGTAAGATGCTTAAAAAAATTATTTCATGTGCCATGGCCAATGGGCGTGGTCAAAACAAAAGTTAAAAGTTAATCCTACACTGCGCTGTAGCCTATAGGAAATATCTCCAGATTGTGTTTAGAACTTTAGATGCAGGACCGGTTCTCAGTCTCACTGCTCTTAACTTTAATTTTGTAGTTGTGTTTGTGTGAGGAATTTTTCGACTATTACAAATTCTAGGTAACACGCGCGTACCGATCTATCCCGACTTAAACAACTTAAAGCATGCGTTGCACACCATTTCGCATGCAGGCGGCTGAACTGGGAATGCTTCTGTGTGTTATGACTTTACAAGTTCCCCGTAATAATCGAAAAATTGCTTACACGAATCAAAGTAAATCGTTTCATCGTTTCTACTGAAAACGTACAGATAAATATAAAGTATGCTTAGACAAATACATATTCTGTACGAGTTAGCTGCCTTCGCTGCCAGATTGTCCAGTAACGTTATGTTATGAGTCTCATAGCGTATGATGCGGTGCATTTCCTATAGGCTACAGCACGGTGTAGGATCAACTTTGAAATTTTGTTTTGGCTACGCCCATTGGCCATGGCACATGAAATAATTTTTTTAAACATCCTACATAGTTGTTCTACCTTTCTGCCAAAAATAAGATTTTTCTGAATTTATAGCCTCGGTATGTGCCCTGGTTAGTGCCGTGAGAATGAAGGACTGGCTGGTGATTTGTGTTCATAGTAGTCCTTCAAACGGTAGTGGACGAATCCTCCGACGGTATATCCAACCAGTGCTCCCACAATGGTCCCCACATTCCACGCAGCAACGATCCCCGCTTTCCCAGCTGCAGCGTCCAGTTGCAACTTACGCGATTCCAGTTTCCCGACAACCACGCCGTCCACTCCACCCGCAATTCCGCCACTGATAAACCCGAAGAACCGAGCTTCCAGATTTTCCATCCCATGGAAGAAAGTCACGAATCCCCAACCAAAACCTGCCGTCACCCCTAGTGTTCCACCGATAATCATTCCAGACCGCTCCATTAAGCGACATCTGACAGCCTGGCTTAAGCTCATGCTGGCAAACGATTACTGTACACAAATTTTACGACGGCAAAAGCTACCGTAGAAATAGCACGCTAATGATAATTATAATGACCTAACAAGTTAACAGAGACGAATTTCAGAAAACAGTTTTGGAAAATGCAGAATAAGGTCTAAAATATGATAAGTTACTGTAATGATAAATCGCCACATTGGTTTGTTAGCCAGTATTAAACTGCCTTGCGATGGGGGGAGTACCGATCCTCGATAGAACAAAATCTAAGAAAGAAGATTCGTAATACCAAGTACTTACGTATTGCATCAGCAATCAGCAGCAAGTGCCGTATACCGAAATGTACCGGTGTTTTGGCGTCATAATTTACCGTGCCTTGCATTGTTCTTGTCATTAAACATGCCGTGAACTTCCGTTGTTATGTTCAGTAATTGTGTTACGTCAGTAAGACCGTCCACGACCGCGCCGTTGCCGGTCGTGCCACCACCCAGCTACTGAACGTGCTAGGAAAGATGATCCAGCAGCAGTCAGGCGAACCGCGAGCACTAGAGTTTCTGCGTCAACGGATCAGCATCGAAATACAGCGGGGAAACACAGCATCTATAATGGGAACAGCACCACCGGCGGCGAATTTAGACGAAATATTCTCTGTCATTCGCCCGCCTGTGTTTGTAGATGTTGTGTAACTCGCTTGTGTTTTAGTTTCTCACGATTTACGTAAAAAGTGCGAAAAATTTTGTTGCTACTGACGCGAATAAAAAACAGGTAGGTTTTATTGCTCTGTGAAACAAAACAAATGCACTAAAAAAAAAAAATAAAATAGTTGCAGCACTTTGCAGTAAGGACTAAGGAGGAGAGCATCCGAGAACGTTAAATTCCATTTAGCTTTATTCCTGGTGGTGCGCTTTCCTCGACAGTGGCCGCGTTCCAACGCTGCATGCGTTTGCTAATCCAATTGCACTTTTCCTGTCGGAAGAAGGCCAAGACACGACCGTATCAACGCCGTTTAGCGCCCTTGGTTCCGCTGGCAACTGGCACCCCAGGGAGCACGGAACGCACAGGAATCATGCATGCACCACGAAAACGACACACGCCTGGACGGAGTCCACATACAGTATAGTCCCACGATATTAAACGACATTTCAACACATAGGGAAACAAACTAGTAGTAAGCCAACCCAAACCCCCCAAAAAAAAGTACTAGGACCGACCGAACATACACGATGCATATCGATTGGCGAATAACTGCCAAGCGCAGTAAACAACCTTGCTAACGAACCAGCTACGTGGCTTGGCTGCCAACTGGCGACGCAGCCTTAGTGCCATGAGACTGCAGGACTCGCTGGTGGAGTGACTGGTTGCTGGTCGTAGTAGTCCTTCAAACGGTAGTGGACGAATCCCCCGACGACATAACCAGTCAGTGCGCCGGCAATCGTCCCCGCATTCCACGCACGAATGATCCCCGTTTGCCCCGCGACAGCGCTCAGCTGCAGCTTGCGCGCTTCGCCTCTCCCGACCACCACGCCGCCCACTCCCCCGGCCATTCCGCCGGTAATAAACCCCAGGCCCCGCGCTTTCGTGTTTCTCCTCTCATCCCAGAAACTGACGCATCCCCAGACGAAACCCGCCGTAGCGCCGATTTTCCCCCCGATAATCGTTCCACAACGCTCGATGAAGCGAAGGCTCAGGCACATGCTAGCACACGATCACACCGGTTTCGCGACTTCAAAACCTACCGTACACATAGAACACTAACGATAATGACGTAACGGAAACAAACTTCACAAGAAAAAGTTTGCGGAACATGCAGTAAGTCACTAAGCAGTATTCAACTGTAAAGTGTGAAGTGTGAAGCACGAGAAAAGAATGATGAAATATGATCATCAAATGACGAATCGCTCATTTGTTGGTTATTCAACACGACCGTAACTGCCTTGCGATGGGCGGCAGTAATTATCATTTTATGATACTAGATTTAAGATGTGAAAATAATACTTATCATTCACGAATGTTATCTCGTCTAAACCAGATTATAATCTGTACGGCAACACTTTCACCGACTAATTAATTTTCATTACTAGTCGTTGTGTAACTTCTAACACTAGTTATAATACTGTATTACGAACCAGGCGTTTCTAATGTTCCATCATTCGATCACTCTATTAAATTTTGTTATAATTATATTTACCTGCAAATCTGTACTTGTATATCCTGCCTACTCTAGAACTTCATCTTTGCTGGTTCCCTGTATTAACGTATGTACAACGGATCTGTAGCGTATCCTTCTGTGCAACCGGCATGTAAACTGTAGTGAAGTTGAACGGTGACTGTATAATACAGATAACCCTCGCGTATCCTCCTTAGGTTTTCTGGGCGGTAATTTTAATCATTGAATAAAATGGGTGTACAGTGTACACAGGGGATACCGCAGGTCCGCAGGCATATGGCCGGATCCCGTAACGACGACAAAAGAAAAATTATTAAAAGGATATCTGTACACGTGGGATACCGTGGGATTTAGAGGCTGCAGTTCCAAGAAAAAACACCGTCCCGAACCGAAACGACGCTGCTTGTACGGCGAAACTCGTCCACATTTGTTCGGCTATTCCCGAAAACCCTAGTTCTAATTACGCAGTATGCGATTGCGCCGTGGACGTTATACGCTTACATACATATATCTGATGTACACTACACATATACATATAATTATATATTTTATATTGCATTTTACAGGCACCTCCGTTCACCTGCTTTCGATAGCTTTCGTACCATCATCTTCTTCATTGCCGGCAAGATATACCAAATTTTACCAGTTAATGCCCACCGTTATGTGCAGTGCAGTACAGCAGCATAAAATTACGTATAGATATAACATTTTTAGCTATAAAACGCGTACGGAGAATCTTTGCTCAATAGTTATTTCCATTCGTAAATTTAATATCACTGCAATACCCGTATTCCGTAATTCCGTACCACAGCAGTGTGCGAGTGGCCGGTATGCGTACATACAGTATAACATGCACTTTTCACCGGAAAAAATATAAGTAATAACTCAGATGCAGCACATTACATGCAGTAGCCAGTGAACATCAGACGACATTAATTTTGATCCCAAGTTTTCTTCCTGGTGATGCAGTAGCCGTAATTAACATTAATACAGTAAGTACCTGGTATACGAATACCTTGTATGCAGGGCTAGCTACGCATGCAATGCAAACTGCCGCGCATGTACCGGTGTTTACAAACAGGTGCCAAATCAGGCCTGATCCGCGCCGCACAGTTCCGCCCACCACTGTACACAAAAGCACGTACATACTCGTACGCATGCCGTCATTGAACACAGGTACATCGGCGTACGAGTAGATCCCTTTCGTACACCTGCACTAGTCGCGCATGCACTCGTACGTCTAACGTCGGCATCGAGCGAATGTACGGTATTATGCAGCCACTGGATTTGTTCATCCGTTTTATCCATCCGTTTTTCATCTACCCGGCTACACAACATACACAATCGGCATCCGTCCGGTTCCCTTCGATTGCATTCCCTCCGACTGCAATCATTCCCGCCGATCATGAAGCCGGAGATTAAACAAATGTTGCCCCAGCGCCAATTGACGGCCGGAATGTTTACTCGCCACAAGTGAGCAGTATCTCTGTATACAGACTGTATAGCCCGGTATCCGCTGCCGGTCTAATGCACTCTAATTACCGCTTCCTTATCCGCTCTACCTGTTCCCTTTCCACCGCTCCCATTGGCCGCCGCCAGCGCATACATCTCAAGAACAAAATGTATCTGTTGTGTACACTGTACACGCATCGATTAGCCTGACTGTGTGAACATTGGGAGAACGGCAGTCAGCTGAGGTTGATGTTGATGCGGCAGGACAGTGTCGCGCTACCGGCACAACACGCTAATGCACCATAATTCCCCGCGATAGATAATTCACTCCTTCTGCGCAGCATCTTCACTCTACTTCTGCATCAGGGATGCCGGCGAGTAAATGCGGCGTGCTGGTGTCGATGGACGAGGATAATCCGGCGTTAGCACTGCGGCCTGACCCAATTCGCCTGCCCGCCGCCCCGCACGACCCTAATCCCCTCCCGCTCAACCTGGCTAACCGCTACAGCGCCGCCAAGCAAGCGCGCCGGGTGGGCTACACCAGCGACTACCGCGAGGACACCGGAGGGTCCCCGACGCCGGGGCTGGTCAGTGCGGAGGGCGGCCGGATGTATAACGGCGTCCGCCACGGGAAGCGGGCCGTGGGGGAGCAGGGCGCGGAGGGCGACGGCGCCAAGGAGGGCCGGAAGGAGGCGCCGACGAGTGGGACGCTGGAGCGGGAACGGGTCACGTACAGCAGGAGCAGCAGTCCGCCCGGCAGCGGGATGGGCATGGGCCTGGAGGCCTTCGTCGGCGCCGTCGCCGAACACCAAGAGGTCAGTCGGCACACGGAAGTTGCATCTGTTTTTCTAGCGGTACTTGGACTTTTCTCAACAGCCACTTGCGCAGCTGCGCTATATTTATACATATACATTTTTATGTGTATTATTAATTTTATATGTTTATTACGCTATGTATTTTTGTATGTTGGTATATTCGCACATTTTGGGCACTTGATTTCCCAGGTATTCCGATTTCCTGAAGGTATAAAGGTTTCAAAAAATTATTAATAGTGGTTGTACATATAGATAATCTTCACTTTGCATAATACATATAACATTTACACATAAAATGTACACAATCATTACATTTTTGTACATAATCAATTATGCACAAAAGTTAAACGAAAGTCAGGACAATGTAAAACAGTTATTTTGGGAATTTTCTACCTTCAGAAATCACCACGTGGTGATCAGCTGTAAATTGATAGCGCGAGTAATCGGTTGGTGGGGAAAGTTCAGGTACTAATTAACCAACTCCTAGGAAAATTTATTGCTTGTCACATACCGGTAATTGCTGTTAACAGATAAAACCACATATTCGTACTCGCTGTGTAATTTTTTTATAAATGATTTATTTAACATTCGCTTGTATATTTGAATTTTGTTATTATAAAAGGCCTGCAAATATACATGTACATGATATATAAATGTACATAAACAAAGACATGTACAATATAATTTTTGTGGTCTGTGCCGGTTGGTTAAACGAGCTGGGAAGCTTGTTGTCAAAAGACGTATAAAAGCGCGCATTGAGTTGTCCCTGATAAACAAGCCAGCTTACAAAAGAGGGACTGTTGTGAAATGAGCGAGGTGTATTCCGTCGGTGACAGGCGTAGAATGGTCTGAAAGCGCCTGGTTAGCTAGAGCGCAGGTATAAGCCGGTGGAGTGCGGGGGCTGCCGCGTTCGGCCCGGATGCGGATGCAGCGGGACGAGCGTGATGGATCGATAGTTTTAATTATCGAGCAGGTCTGTTGCTACTTTGCGTAGGCATTTCCTCTCCCGCTCTTCCACACAACCGCTCCGCGCTGTCACTGTCAGCGCAGGTAAGCAGTGACTCCCGCTGTTGCAGCGGCGGATGAAGGACAGGATGCAATAATGCGGATTACGCCCGCGTCGATAATGGCCCGGTGGGGACGGGTCGGGATAGAGCGCGGGATGCACGGGAATGAGACAGTTAATGCGGCCTTGTTTTCGGGTCAATTCCCGCTCCGCCAGGTACATCTGCACGCGCACTTAACGCAGCCAGCCAGCGCCATGTGGCGCTAATCACGAGAGGCACTGTGCCGGTTCAGCGCGCGCCCACACCGGCCACCCACCGGCTTTTCTTCCCGTCTTTCATCCCCTTGCGCACACCGACATCCGGGGCATATATGCCGGCAACCGAAGGCAGCTAATTGTGGCCGGCCGCTAATTGCACCGGCATATACAACCGGGAGTAATTATCAATCATTTTTATATATGCATGTACCGGCAATTTCGATACCAGGAGATGTATACCGGTACTGTATACTGTATATAAATTGATTTTCTGTATATCGATAGCGCTTCTTGTGCAGCTTCTCTTATATTTTATTGGCTATCGATAAATAAACATCGTACGTCATTTTTGATATGAGATGATACATGCCCATAAATATGTGAAAGGTCAACTTGGCGACAGATAAACAGCGTGGCTGAAGAGGCTCGTAAAGGGAAATAACACTGAACTGGGCGCCGAATGGCTGTTGTAGGCAGTTCAACAAAGTAGCGACAGGTGAATGGCGCATGGGAGCGTAAATTGTTTTTACTGCCGGCGGAAGACCGCGCCGGCATTGTCCCGACCGCTAAGGTAAATGTTGTCTTTACCGCCGGTCCCAACACTGCAGCAGACGCGGCAGTGTTGCCATAACATCTTCCGTTATTGCGCGCGCGCTCTCACCATACGCAAAGCAGCGTACAGATAGTGTACGCTGTGGTACATATACACATAAAGCCAGTTTATTGCCGGTTCAACCAGAAATTCAACCAAATTCCCTGGCAATATGCATGTACGTCTCACTATACGTACGTACATGAAACTAATTTTACCGCTGAGCAATGACACACAAACGCATAATATGAAGAACACAATTAGACTCCATTTATACCCGCCCTTTTTTTTAGTTATTTAAGTATTATTTATTTTTTAGTTATTTATTTATCTATTACTTTTTCTGTTCCTTTAAATGCATTTTTATGGATATACACGAGCGAGGGGTGCTGTATTTAGTTTAATTTGCTAAATTAAATTATGCGATTAAACTGCAGGTGCGGACGCTTTTCATCAGTGGCTTGCCGATGGACGTCAAAGGCCGGGAACTGTACCTGCTCTTCCGCGGCTACGAGGCACGTAATTATACAGTCATTTTAACGCTGCATTTAACTTATTTACATTCTCCTTATCGCCGTCTTGCAGTTTGTTTCTCTTTTTCACACATATTCTCCTTGAGCAGGGTTACGAGAATTCCATGCTGAAGGCCACCGGGAAGATCGGCAAATCCGTATCGGTGAGCGACAGCGTCCATCGTAAACAGGCGCTGCCAGCGCCCAGTTCTGTAGAATAATCAAAATGTATGCTTAACGTAATACAATATTGATTACGACCTGATATTATTTGATGAGCACGGGGTATCCATGCGCGAAATGTACACCGGGGAATAGGATAGCACGTGCTGACACCACGCTGTTGTTGTGCCTTCAGCCCGTGGGATTCGTGACCTTTTCCAGTCGCGCTCTGGCGGAGATTGCGCGCCAGGATTTGCAGGTGGGTGTATTTGCACGGCTGGCAATTATTTTCGTTGTATCAACATAGCTTTGACAATTCTTAATGCATTGCCGCCTTACACCGGCGTTCGGCAGCTATATATATATATATATAGCATATAAAATTAACAATGATGAGCTTTATATGTAATTTGACCTTTATTAAGATATATATCATTATGGCCTTTGTATATGTTCTGAATGCTATTCTATAGAGCATATCATATTAAATTATTTCTTCGGCATATATGATTCCATAATTCTACATAAATTTGCTATGTATAAATAAACTACGTGCAGTCGGTGCAGATATTACCGGTATATGAATTATTCATATTCCTCTTTCTCAGGGCATCCGCTTCGACCCCGACGCACCACAGACATTGCGCCTAGAGTTCGCCAAGAGCAACACCAAAGTGCCCAAACCTAAAGCACCGACCGCCACCGTCCTCGCCCCGCCCACCAACGGCTGCCACAACGTCAACAACACCAGCAACGTGTTCCTCGGCCCGCATTTTCCCGGTGCGTAGATTTTGTCCAGCCGGCTGTACTTTGATTTCTAATGGAGTGGTCGTTAAAGGTGGATATCCCACCGGTTGCGAGGCGGCCGCCCTCGGGTGCGAGAACGTCAACTGGCCGCCGTGGTCGCTGCAGCACTTGGCGGCGCTGCACATGTACCAGTCGGCCGCGTCGGCGCCCGCCGCCGCTGCTCCCGCGGGCGGCGAGTACCTGAGCGCCGAGCAGCTGGCCGGCGTCCTGCACAGCGGCGCCGGGTCGTTCCCGCCGGCGACCAACTACTTTCACTCGCTCACCAACCACGTAAGCTCCCGTTATTTCTCACCCTCTGCCGATAAATCCAATGCGGCGTGTGTTGCAGCTTGCCGGCACCGTCCCGTCCCCGCTGAACCTGTCGTCCCCCGTCAACCCGGCCCTCCTCACCACCGCCCTCCCGTTGGGCGCCAATCCGCCCTGCAATACGCTCTTCGTGGCCAACCTGGGCGCCAACGCCTCCGACCTGGAGGTGCGCCACCTCTTCGCCAGGTAGGCCTATACCGCTGCCCACCGCCCGCAGGCGGCAGGCTGCTAAGACACTCTTGGTTCTCGTAGTTGTCCGGGCTTCAGCCGGTGCCGGGTGAGCAGCAAGGCCATGCTGGGCGCCGCCGCCGGCAGCCTGCAGAACGGCCATCCTGCGCCGGGCGCCGTGGCTTTCGTGGATTTCGTGGATATCCGCTGTGCCAGCAACGCCCTGCTGGCGCTGCAGGGCGTCAAGCTCTCCAGCTCCCCGGCCAACGGCCAGGGCATCCGCATCGAGTTCGCCAAGCAGAAGATGGTCGATGTAAGACACGCATATAAAAATAAATAAAAAATATCCTTTTATAAAAATTCCTTATTTATGTGCAGATGACCTAAGGTAATGCGCAATACGCTCATCCGTCCCCATTTCACGCCGGTTCCAGCAGTCGGTGGCGCCGCCTTGCGCCCAGTGTATATACAGAATGAAATGGCGATTTAACAGTGACCTTTCAACGTTAACCTGAACAGTCTCAAAACCGGTGATCTGATCCGCCTCCTCAAACTATTGCATCAAAGTTCTCATTGCTGGAATAGCAGGAATCAACTAATTTAGCGCTCTGATCTGGTTTTAATTGCCGACAGTATTTATATCTAATATTCCGGTAAAATAATAATTATAACGTACAAACTTGAATCGCTGCTGTGTTTATGATCTGAATTTATGATCTGAATTAAGTCTCATGCTCAGTTGATCAAACGATGACCGGCTGTGTAGATAATACTAGTGGTGACCTTTAACTATGACAATAAAATTAAAGAATCACCCATATGCATGCTGTGCACATAACCAGATTTAATAATTTTGTTGTATCTAATTCAATAATTTTATTGTCGTTGTATTTCAGCTTCGTTGTAAGCTGAAATACCGGCGATGAAATATCACATCCGCAAAGCGATTTAAAGGCAAAAATACAGAAGCCTTAAGCACTGTACAGGCTGGCGACATTTAAGTGTAATTAAATGTTAGATCACAGTTGGTAGTCTGCCACAGACGCCACTTAGAAAATGACTGCCCGCTGGCGTACAAAATTCCCCGGTGATGCGACCGACCGGAACCGAAACGCGGATTCGGCGCACGTTTACGCGTTCTCCAGGGCCTCACTGGTGACCACGCCCCACAAACCTACAAAGCACATGATTAACTCGAAGTACCTATACGAAGTATTCTCCGAAATTGTTTTGCGTACCTAATTGCAAATCACCGGTCCACACGCCGAACCACGGCGCGCCGGCGGAGCAGGACGTCCCGTGCAGTCCCGGGGTGCGGCAGTCGATGGGCGGGGCGCAGCTGAAGGACTGCTCCCCCGGCGTAGAATGCGCGAAGAAGTGGCAGACGAACAACAGCTCCGCGGAGCCGGCGGCCGGTTTCGACAAGAGCCCGGCGAAACCGCGCGACGCGATGCCTAAGAGAAACCTTTTCAACTTCCGGTTAAGAGAAGAACATTCCCGGACGTACCGCTCTTGACGTGGTACTTGAGGCGGGTGAGGGGCGCGGCGGGACAGGCGTAGCCGGTGTAGGTACGATTCCCCGGCAGCGGCAACTGGCTGCGTTGGACGCCGCGGCACCGCTCCATCTTCTGGCAGTAGGCGGTTAAATCGCGCTGGTAGAAGCACTGGTACGTCGGCGTCTCCTCCGCCGGTTCGCGCTCGCCGTCGGGGATATTCACCGGCGCAATGGTGGTCGGAGGGAGACTGGTCGAAATGCGGTTAAGCGGCCGCTGCGTTGTCGGCGCCGGCGGCGGTGGTGTCGGCTGCGCGCCGCTGCTCAGGAAATAATACGGCACGCTTAAATCCAAATACACCGGCTTGTTGGTTTTACCTTTGCCGTTGGCATGAGCGGTGACGGACAGGACGAGGAGGACAGCGCTGCGGATCAGCCAAATCATTGTCGATAATTTTATAACAGTCGTATATATGATTGTATATATAAGGCTAATATTTATGCACGTATAGCGAGTAAATACAAGCCGAATTTTTATTAACGCGCGTACCCACTGGTGGCGCTCTACGTGCAGCTTTTGGTTAATTTATAGAAAAGCTGCCGAACACGTCCAAATGACGCGCAGAGTGTGTAGATCATCGGCGAGATAGGTGCTTAATCACCACGCCGGTCTTAGATCAGATGTTGCCGGTGTACAGTGTCCGTAAAGCGCCGACGCCATGTGGACGCAGCCGGAAATTTCCTCCGACGCCGGCTGGTCATTGCCGGCAACGCCGTTATCGCGATGGATAGGCATCTAGCCGCGACACGCACAACAGCCGGCATGGCCATACAAAAACGACAACATGACGCGATTTCCCTGTTATCAGCGCATCGACAGCTCCCTTAGCGGGAATCGGTCAGTTCCGGATCGAAGCTGGCTGTACATGTTGTACAGTATAATATAAGGAGTCTCTTAATTAATATACGGTATAGAAATTGATCCAGTCAGCTGCGCTGTCCAAAGTGCCAGTGTAATTTGCAGTTGTACTAGAATTAGGATTATTCAACTCACCGGTCGTCTGCTTATTACTTACTTTTTTTACTGCTGATTGCTGAATGATGCACAGTTTTTATAGTGTTGTGTCGTTGGTGAGCAGTCTGCTGCTGCTGCGCCTCAATCTACCGCTGGCGCTGGCCCACGCTGACACGCACAGCACCGGAAACGAGGTGGACGCGGGCGCGGACGAAGGTCAGTGGGTTCGTTGCCGGTGTGACCTTTTCCGACCTGACCGGCTCTTTTTTTGCAGACCAGTTCTCGCTGTTCGAAGGCGACATTGCCGGCTACCAGCCAACGGTGAGCATTTCACGCCGTATCAATTAACAACTTGCTTAATCAATTTTCCGTCGAAACAGGAAGGCGCACTGTACAGCGGCGTAACCAAGGGCGAGAACTTGTGGCCGGACCGGACGATTCCCTACGAAATATCCAACGTCTACTGTGAGTAGCCATTCCTCGTGTTTGTAAGCGTTCTTGCAATGTACCGCTGATTAATACTGTTCATTAACGTTGTTGCAGCGGCGAAGGACAAGCAGACAATCCTCAACGCCATTCACGACTTCCAGCAGAAGACCTGCATCCGCTTCCGGCCCAAACAGGCCGGCGACGAGTACTCCATCTACATCGACCACATGCGATCCGGGTACGTCAACGTATCGCTTATTTATTCACTCAATAATGGCTACAATAATTTCAGCAATTAATTACTTATCAATTACTTTTAATTACCCGATTTTTTTCTCGAAAACCGGTCGACCAGTTTCTTTTCAGTTACACTTTCTAGGGTAATTCGCTGACGAAAAAGCCGAATCCAGTGTTTAATTTCTCCTGTTCTGATTGGTCCAATTTTTTCCCAGGTGTTTCGCTTTCTGGGGCCGGCAGACGCACAGCCAGCTGCGCTACCACAACCGCGGCACCGGCCTGCGCAACCAGCAGCTGGTCAATCTGCAGAGAAGTAGGCGGCTTTTAATTAAACTCCTCGCCGAACGTATGATTTACCGCGCGCTGATTTTTTTCTGTACGTATGTATAATTGCAGACGGCTGCTTAGGACACGGCACAATCCAGCACGAACTGATGCACACCGTCGGCTTTTTACACGAGCAATCCAGGAAAGACCGCGATGACTACGTGGACATCCTCTGGCAGAACATCCAACCCGGTACAATTCATTTTATTAATGCATAAAATACAATTAAACTTTTAACAAATATTACTAATTATTATATTATATACACGTATATTATATGCATATATAATAACAAATATGTATATATTATGTATATATAATTATATATATTTAAAAATAATTAATTGTATATTAATAACATGTAATAAAATATATTTATTAATAAAAATTTATTATAATAATTTAAGCAGTTACTTCATAATAATCTAGAAACAAGTTGCCGGCGTTAATTAATAACGGCATGACCTTTAGGTAAGGACGACCAGTTCCGGAAGCAGTCGGACTCGGACGCGCAGGGCACGCCGTACGACTTCGGCTCGGTGATGCACTACCACAAGGACGCCTTCTCCCGCAAGGCGGGCCAGCTCGACACCATCCGGCCCAAAGCCAAATTCCACGGGAAGACGCTGGGCCAACGCCACGGCCTCAGCCCAGTCGACGTGCAGAAGATCAACCGGCTATATAAATGCCAGGCCGCGCCGTCGCCCTCGCCGTCTCCCGCACCCGCACCGGCGCCCGCCCCAACGCCGGCCCCCAGCGGCGGCAAAGGTAGCGGTACCCGCTACACGGTGCAGTCCGGCGACACCCTCACAAAAATCGCCGCCAAATTCGGCAAAACCTGGCGGCAGATCGCCAGGGATAATGGTATTACGGATCCGGATTATCTCCATGAAGGACAGGTCTTGCTTATTAAATAAGCCGCCGGAAGGGGACGCCGCTTCTCAGTTATGATTTTACTCTGTGATACGATACGCTAGCTTGTTGGTTTTTACAAATTATTTAATTCTGTGGTACAGGGAATACATGTAGACTGTAGTTATTTTTATATTTTTGTATACTTATCCTTCGATTGTGTGCAAATTGAAGTTCACTAATTATTTTGCTTCTTTTGTTCGAGAATTAGAAATACAAAAAAAACAGCATTAATCTAATACTTTGATTTGAAAAATACATGTGTTAATTTTTATATACAATAAATTGTACAAATTATTTGTTGTTTTAGTTCGGTAAGAACATGTACAGTATTTCGAAGTACTGATTTTTGCACAGACAAATGCACAATAAATTCTACAAATCATTTAACACTGGTGCGGCAAATACATGAAATTGTATTAAGTATTAACTGTACACAAATAAATCTGGCATGAAAAACAGTAATATAAAATCAATTCAGCATTATCAGTTATGTATATAAGAATAAAACGAATTATTACTGATATCAAAAACCTTTATGTGTTAATACTTTGAACAGTTATACAATTAATTAGAAATTCGTGAAAGCAAAAATACGTATCGATTCCTTGTAAAACCATTTAATTCCTATGATTTCCGGTGGCGGTGTTTCATTTCACATGAAAATCTGGAATTTGGGGAGGCGCGTCTGGATGGCGCGCGGGTCGGGCGCCAGCCGGGAAAAGTCCCCCTCATTGTCGTGGCCGAGGAGGCGGGGCTTGGGTGAGGCGCGGATGGGGCTCTGCGAGCGGGGCGTCACTTCGTTGGGGAAGGAGTATTTGAAGGCGAGGATCGCCAGTTTGGACAAGCCGGACGGCTGGCCTCCCGCAGCGCCAGCGGATGCCGCGGATGCCGGCGCGGTATCCGTGTCATTCAGTCTAAAAATACGGCCATTCAATTGCGAGATAATGGAATCATCAAAATAAGCCTTTCATGGCGCCGGCAGGGAGACAAGTGAGCAGCCGGCGATCGATGCGCCGCGGACGTGGCAGCACGCAATTTATTATATTAGAGAAATTCAATTACTCCGCACTCGGTCACACGCACTGCCAATCGCCGGCTCGTAAAACCGCCAAAGGTCACGCGTAATGCGATCGCTTTACGAGGCGCTAATAGCACGTGCCCGCGCCATCAAAACGCATCGCAAATTCTCCAAAAACATATACAAATACGTACAAAATAAAAAAATATTAATTCAAAAAATTATAAAAAATAAAATAATATAAAACAAAACATACATATATATAAAAATGTATATATATTGAGAAAATATATATAAAATAAAACAAATATATACTGGGAAATATCTAAAAATAATTTTAAAAAAATTGAGAAACCATAAGAAAAACATTTAAATAAATAATAAAAAAATATATTTTGAGGCACTTACAGTTTCAGCATAATGAGGAGGCGGTTCCGTAGCGGATGCGCGGAGAACGGCGCCAAGACGTTATTGACTGCGGCGGTGACGTGGTCGCGGTCGGCCGGCGCCACGTCCGGACAGCTCTCGTTCAGCGCCGCCAGGAAACACCGCACCCGCTCCTCCTCGGCGGTCTGGCAGTGCAGCAGCGCCCGCTGCAAACACACGTCGACGTCCGTCCGCACCTTGGCCGGCGAGCACCACAAATCGGCAATGGGGCCGAAGACGCCGGGGACGGTGACGCGGCGGAAGGCCAGGCGCTGACTGACGGCCATCAGCGGCTGCAGCCCGGCGAAGTGGAGGGCGGGGCGGTGGGGGTCGGGGGCCAGGGGGCGCCACCAGGTGCACTGCTTGAGGACGAGCAGCGGCAGGCGGATGTTCTTGCAGCGCAGACACTGCTGCACCGCCACCTCCAGGGCCGGGTTCAGGTTGCCTAAGAGGGTAAAGGTCACGGTGTGGGGGGTGACCGCGTGGTCGAGGATGGTGACCAGCTGGTGCAGGCCGTCCTTCTGCTCCTGCTTGCGGCTGTGGCTCGGCACGCTGGTGGCACGGCTGACGTCCACGGCGATGTGCGGCGACGGCCAGTGCTCCTGCAGGCAGTCCCGCCACAGCCGGCAGACCCTGCGCAGATATATGTTTACCATGTCGTCTCGCGTTCCCTAATTCAATTAAATCAACCAGGCACGGAACGCGCACATACCGCATTCGACGATTGCATGCCGTTTACTTATCTATATAATGCATGTACACAAATATAAACGTGCTGAGTTTATATAATTATACACAAATATTCTTACGTAATACTCGTACCATCATCGCGTGATACACTCTCCGTACATTGAGAATTGAGATGATAATAATATTAGAAAAGCGTTTAACTGCTGTGCGTACGCATTTGAGTTTAGTGATTAATTACAGTAATCAAGTGGTTACACCGGGCAATCGGTTAAATACAAACCGTTTAAGTATGGTTGTACCATTACTTTAATTAAATAGGTGGTCGCGGAAATTTAATTAATATAAAACCGGCAAATATTTGTTTAAGTAATCAGTAATTAAAGAGTCATTATAGTGGTTTATTCGGCATCAGCCACATCGCAGATTGTATGTATAGTACACTGAATAAAATTATTAAATTAATAATAATGATCAAAAAAAATTCGTCAAAATATTTAATATTCCTTAAAATATTTTTTTATTAAGTTGGTGCTGCAATCAGAAAGTTACTATAAGCCTTATAAATAATAATAATGCATTATTATTATTTCAATTATTAGTCATTAGTACAGTAAGTGACTACTCCAGTAAATCGAGTTAAAGCCGTTTTTTTTTATAAATTATTTCTTAATTAAGCGGCTTGCTCCATATAAAATGACGAATCGATTAAATATTTATTTGATTATTTTCAGATTACGGATACGATCGAGGATATCCCGGTGGATCGCGTCAACATAAATAATTTAAATATTCATTTTAAGTACCGTTAAAAATAAATCGTGTTTATATACAGAAAGTATCTGTCCGATAGTTAACCGGTTATTCCAGACAATCGTGATTCGTGGATGTATATCGCAAATATACCCTTAATAATTATGTTTTACTGCCGTTTATGCCGGCAGATATCGCTACTCCGCTGTCTGCTAATTAAATTAAAATATTTTATTTATAATCAGACCAGTATCTGTAAATCCTGTAAATCCTGCAGTAGCGGTTGTTTAATCACTAATCAGCAATTTATGCCGGGTGAAATTAATGAGTGTTGCGCGTGATTAATTGAATCCCTATAAATACCGTGTTGTCGCAACATAATCCCCTCTGCCCGGAAGTCAACGTGATGCTTATACGGGGAAATGATTAATTACTTGTTTACCGCATATATACACGTACCGCATGGCGCTGACGACGCTGTGGATATCCTCGACGTGCGCCAGGACGCGGCGCTGCATGGCGGCCGGCAGCGCGGCCAGCCCGGCGCCGTCCTCGCCGGAGTTGCTGCGGCTGTGCAGGACCCGCGGCGGCCGACTGCGCAGCGCTTCCGGTGAGCCGTGAACCCCGCCGCGCAGCGCCACCTGCACCAGCTCGCGCAGCTCCGACTCCGACAGCGAATGCTCCGTGTATTCCCGGTAGAAAAAATGCACCCGCTCGCGCTCCACGCGGATCCGCACCACCGACCGCTCCCCGTGGGTGTTCTTGTATCCCATCAGCGCGTCCAGCAGCTTCTCCATATTGATCTTCTCCGCGTCCTGCCACGGATCCAGATGCACGGCGCGTTTTTTATACCGCCAGCGCGCCGATTTAATCGACTGCATGACGCGCACCGGGTCGGCGATGCCGGGGACGCCGGCGTCGGTGGGAGCCAGCAGGCGGACCTGCTGCGGATGGACGAAGCGGCGGAGGTGGTCGTGCAGCGTCTGGACGTAGAGTAAACTCCCGACGAACAACACCCGCGCCGGCTGGAACACGTAGGGCGCGCCGGAGTCGGCGCGGACGGCGGCCAGCAGCGCCGTGTCCGGCGTGATGGTGTCCCGCGGGACGGCGCAGTGCGCCCACACCCGGTCGGCCGGGATCCACTCCGGCGGGGTGTGCGGGCACTTCCGGTCCACCAGGATGCGGTGGCTGGGCACGTCGATGTCGCAGAGGTAGCCCAGGGTGTACCGGCCCCCCTCGACGTCCTCCACCAGGACGGGGTCACGGTTCGGGCCGAAGATCTGGCGTGGGAGGACGGTGTCGGGTGCCGGCGTGGGGGAATGGAGGTCGGCGTCGCTGATCTCCTTGCTGCGGGAGCGCAGGAGGATGAGGGATTTCCAGGGGGAGCTGAACCAGCGGTCGATGCGTTCGCGCCGGCTACTAGCCGTCAGGAGGTTGTGGTTCTCCGCCGACATGGTCGGACAGCGAGATGACCTCGGGAGGAACGTGGAAAGTGCCACGGCGGAGAAATGGAAAATTAATTCCCGGGAAAAGGTTACCGCGGTAAAAGTCAGCCGGGATTAATGCGAGATTATGAAGGTCGGCTGGGAAGAGCGCAGCGCGCAGCAGCAGCTACATGCCCCGCGGAAGTGAACGGCGGCGGATGGGAATGTGCGCAATCCGCGGATAGATCGATAGATAATACGTCGGCAGCGGATTAGACGCTGCGGCTAAAGTGCCGCTAACAGCGTTAGCTGTTTACCGGCATTAACCGCCGCTCTCGTTCAATCCACTGCGCCGGCAATCCGTCACTGCGATTGTGTGCCGGTTAATGGAGCGTCGTAATCCCAGTGTATAGGCGCGTGCGGCGGCCGCTAAGCGCATTACATCCAGCCGATTCCAGCTGACTTCGTGCCGGCAACAATGCGGCTGTGCAGCTGCAAAGGTCAGCGGGCGTCATTAACTGCGCCGGCCGCACAATGGTCTGTACAGTGTTTTTCTGTGCGGAGCGGCCGCTGAAGAGCGCAGTTGATGGAAGACAGTGGAAAGCGGTGGTGACAGGTCGGCTAATGAGGCGGGGGCGCGGCAGGGGACCCTATAGGCTAGAGGAAGACCTAGCAGCACTGGCATGTGCGCCCTCACGCGTGAAGGACGCGCCACAGTTAATCGGGCCGAATTATAACCGCTTGATTAACAACCGCTTGATTTTTTTGACGGTTGCTTCAATACGCATATCGCCTAACGCACAGGACAGTTTTCCCTTATAACAACTTATATTCCCGCGGAAATCATTTTCCTGCCTAACATAATTTACGTATCACGAAAATCTCCAAGCAAAAAGCCTTAAATGAACGAAATTCACGGACTTTCGGCGCATACCGCAATTGCACCCGCCCGGTGCGGCGGCGCAACTTCAACTTATCTTGCAATTTTTTAAAAAATTCCTTTTTCATTTTTGTTATAAAGAAATTATTTTTTCTGCACTACTTGTATAAGCAAAATTAATAATAAATTTAAAAAAAACGTTCTAGGTTGTAAATGCGTTGGCTGGAGCCATACAGCGCCACATAGAAAAATGCGGCGTAAATCGAGCGTGAAATAGTGCGCGTATTAATTTGGCCGCTGTCTAGCGCAGTTGCACGCGCTTGATTAAGCGGCAGATTCCCGGCTGACTCACACCGGCCGTTTTTAGCCTTTTCTACCGCGAACCGGAAGTTAATTGCCGGCACCGTATATATAACTGGAAATTAAGCGAAGCGGAAGCCGGTCAACAACGGCACGGAGATTGCCATCAATCAAGATGGCGCAATATCTGTATATACGCGCTTATCACTCCGCCTAACGAGTCCGGTAATGCCGCGGAAATTGACGACAATTCCGGACTGCGCAGGTACTGCGCACGCGCTGTAATCGCTTATTGAAGTATATAAAAGAAAACCGGCACTCGAGCACGGCGATTCAATTAAGCCGCTTGCGTCCAGCGCATTCCATTGACAACCGGCGTCGCTAATCCTCAGATAAACCAATTTCCCGGCAGTCTTTCTTTCCGGCTGGATGGAGACCAAAGCGCTCTTGTGCGTAATGCTCATCAGCAGTCTCATCATGGTCAGTTAACGCGCAAAGCCGGCTTAATCGATATATAAAGCTTTTCTCATTTTTTCTTAGGTTTTCTTATGCTTTCTTATGTCTTCTTATGTTTTCTATAGAGCTGCTACTGCGCCTGCCGGCACCGCCACGGGACTTCCGGTGCGGGATCATCGGGACAGACGCAGGCCACTAAATACACCGTCGAGGAGAAGGACACGCTCTTCAAGATCGCCAAGAAATTCGGCAAAGACTGGCGGGATATCGCCCGGATCAACGGGCTCACCAATCCCGACCGCATCTATCCCGGTGACGAACTGACCATTCCCAGCTAATTACTTGCCTTACTGGACTACATAATGGAAGATTCGTTTTCTTGCGGAATAACGCTAATAAAAATAATAATCTTTATATTAATTAATACAAACAATAATCTTTATTTTTATTTATCAGCGGTTTTATTTATGCGACACATGCATTGTGCACTTTCTTGATAGAATGTGATCTCTGTTTATTTATACAGAAAAATTATACATACAGTTTGTAATAAATAAACACTTCTTGAGGGCTTGAATAAACTGTATCCGCTCTGCGTAAAACAAACAGAACCAGTTAATTATGCACGTACGTACTGATTACATTAACAGTTAAAATAAACAAATTTGCTTTGGTAGTGTAATCTGCTTTGGTTTATCAATAAATACTGTAGCGGAAATAAAATAAATAAATGCTTTGGCGAGCTGTCACTTTCCTGCAAGCATACATATAAATAGTCGACACATCCGGTAAGGCGAATAATGGGACATGTCCGGTATTCTGTACTCGTACACGCCCTAGAAGGACGGCAACCCCGGCAGCATACATATGGTGCGGCGGGACTGCGGCACGGCGATATTCCAGGTGCCCTCCGTCTGGAAGGTGATGCTGTGCGCCCGCGGCAGCGCGCGTCCCTGGCTGCGGCCGCTGGAGGGCACTTCGCCGGGATACGAGTAGCGGAAGGCGTGCGCGGCTAAACGGGACAGTGCCGGCTGGTGCACGAGGGCACGCGGCTGACACGGCCGCGTGTCGTTCAACCTACACAGCAACGATTGAATGCCGGATGTATAAGAAATCTAAGAAACCCAAGAATTCTAAGAAAAAATTTAGAAAAAATGAAAAAAAATCTGGGCAAAATTTACGAAAAGTCTGGAAAAATCTGGGAACCGGAGAACAATCTAGGAAGTCTAAGAAACCTAAGAAATCGTTGGTTTTCAGAACAATGTACACAAATCATTTAGCTTTAGAATGACATAAAATATTACAAAATAGTGATTCGGAGTGCGCGAAAGCGAAATCTTTTAGTGCATGCATCCCATTTTTGACGCTATGTACCGGGCCATTTTCCTTAATGTAAGAAAAATTTTAAAAAGTTAAGAAAGGCTGAAGAAAAAATTAAGCACAAATCTAGGAAAAATTTAGGAAAAATTTGGAAAAAAAAGGGAGAAAATCCGGCAGTATCAGGGAAAAATATGGGAGAAACCGGGGAAAAATCCGGCAAAAATTTGGCAAAAATCTAGGAGATCTAAGAAGCCTAAGAAGTCTAAGAAATACGTACAGCGCCAGCATGAGGAAGAGCCGGCTGCGAAAGGGATGTCCGGCACACGCCGCCAGCGCATCACACGCAGCGCTGATGACTTCCCACTCGCCGCTACTCAGCTCCGGGCAGTTGTCATTCAGGATGTGCAGGAAGCGCACCAGCCGCTGCTCGGCGCTGTCCATGCAGTCCACTTCCGCCCGGCGCACATGCACATCCACGTCGGTGCGCACGCGGGCCGGCGAGCACCACAGCCCGGCGATGGGCCCGAACAGTCCCGGAAAGGTCACCTCCTGCAGCCGCAACGTCTGGCAGACGCGCATCAACTGGCTGAGATTGGCCAGCTCCAGCGATTGCTCCGGCTGGTTCTGCGTGAGGGGGCGCCAGCAGGAGGACTTCTTGAGGATGATGAGCGGCAGGCGGATGTTGCGGGCGGTGAGGAAGTGGACGACGGTCAGCTCCGTTGCCGGGTTGATGTCGCCGATGAGGGTCAAGGAGACGGTGGCCTCGTTGACGCTGTTGTCCAGCAGGTTGACCAGGTGCGGTAGGTTGTACTTTTCGTCCGGCTTCCGGCTTCCTGTTGCCGTTACCGTTTTGTTCAGGTCGACGGCCACGTGGTTGGCGCGCCGGTTGCGGGTCAGGGCTTCGTGCCAGCCGCGGCACACCCTAAAGTAATAATGATACATATATATGTTATTGACAAATTTATAATAATTATTCTTTTTTATTAATTATTTATAATTTATTTAATTTAAATTTTAAAAAATTAGTTAAAATTTATCATAATTATTCTTTTTAATTATTTAGTTAAAAATTTATTTGTTTAATTTTTTTATTTATTTATTATTTGTTATTTTATTTATACTATACTGAGTATACATAAACATATTATATAAAAGGGTGAGACTATAGGCACCCCTTTCACCCCCGTTTGCTATAGGCACCCCCTTTTGCACCCTGTTGTACTATAGGTACCCCTTTTCTGTTACATAAATCTAGCACCCCGTTTTTCTCGCGGACTACACGCACTTGTTTCCTGTTTTCACTTTTTTCCCGCAAGCCTGACAAAGATTTTCTAGCAGGTTTCATGGTTTACAAAGATTTTTTTGAAGATTTTTTTGACGATCTTTTTTTTTAGGTCATTCACATAAAATTTGTACAGATACTAAGCACTCCATCCGACAATGTGCCGGTTTGGCTGATTTGATAAATATTCTTGCATTTCTGAGGGCAATGATGGTAGTTTTTGTGACCTTTTGGGGCATCGGACACCACGATGTTAATATTCGCCCGGCCTCTGTCTTAGGATTTTGGCTAGCACATGATTGACCATCCCTCTTCTTTTCTTTTGTCTAGTTCCACTTTATCGTCCTTGGTCATGTGTTGTTTTCGTGTGCAACGGGGTGCAGGAATTAGTTAATCGAAAAGGGGTGCCTATAGTCTAAGTGGGTGCGAAAGGGGGTGCCTATAGATAACGGGGGTGAAAGGGGGTGCCTATAGCCATTTCCTATATAAAATACTAAAAATTAATAATTATATTTTGTTATTGCTGAATAGTTAAATATTTTTTTAATTAACAGTGGTGACCTTTGCGCGTTGACGACGCTGTGGATGTCCTCGATCTCCATTAGGATGTCCTCCTGCAGTTCATAAGGCAACCGCCCCAAGCCGACACTGCTCTTATCCTCCAGCGGATACACCGCCGCCCGCCGGTTGGCCCGCACCGGCTCTGGCGAATCGACGTAGCCGCGCAGCGCCCCCTTGACGAAGGTCTTGAGGTGCGTCTCGGTGAGGGGCTCGCAGCTGTTCCACTCCTTCAGCGCAAAGGTCACGCGCTCCTCCTCCACGCTGATGCGCAGCACCGTGCGGTACTTGCGCACCGTGGCCAGCAGCAGCTGCAGATCCAGCAGCTCGTGCTGCCCGGGCTCCAGGCCGACCGCCACGTGGTGGAAGCGCCACGTGCTCTTCCCCGTCAGGCGCTGCGTCAGCAGCTCCAGATCCGGGATGCGGGGGCGTCCGTCGGCGCCTGGGACGACGACGCGGAGGTGCACCGGGTGGACGAAGCGGCGCAGTCGCGGCCCGTGGCGGTCGGCCTGCGTCTCGACGTACAGGAGGCCGGCGCGGCATTTCGGCTCGGCGAAGAGGACCACGCCCGGCTGGAAGACGCGGGGGGCCGCGGAGTCCCGGCGCAGCGCGGCCAGTGCGGGGGTGTGCGGACGGAGGTGCTCCCGGTCCGCCGGGAAGTGCGCCCACACCGTGTCGGCGGGCACCCACTGCGGCGGCGTGTTGTGGCAGCGCAGATCGACCATGACGCGGTGGGTGTGGGTGTCCACGTCGCAGGCGTAGCCCAGGGTGAACTTCCCGGGCAGCTGCTCCACCAACACCGCCTCCTGACTGGGCCAGAAGACCTGCCGGAAGGCGGCGCTGGGCGCGTCGCTGCGGTCCTTACTGCGCGGACGCAGCAGCGTCAGGCTCTTCCAGGGTTTGTTGATCCAGCGCTCGCGGCGGGATTTCAACGGGGACTGGGTGTCGTCGGCCATGGCGACGGGAATGGGAGCGATCGAGGGTACAATGCACAGCAGGCACGGGAGGAAATAATTCCGCGGATGCGGATAATTATAACGCGAGTGTGAACATTAAACGGCGATGCAGCACGTTTTAACCGCAGCGCCAGCCGAGCGGCGGATCGATAGTTTCGAGGAGGAGCAGTGCCGGCGCATGACAGGATGCCGAGCAGCGCACAGGCGCGGCTGCTCTTCTCGGCAAAGAGTGGGTGAGTCACGCGCGCATATAGGCCGTGCTCAGCCGGTGTATGATACGGCTGACTGCCGGCAAATCCCGTTGGAGTGTTCTCTACTCCGCCGGCTTCCGCTAACTCCGGCCACGCTAACATAATCGTAATATAACCTCTTCCTGCTAACTTCCGCCAACATCAAGCTTTTATTATTGCGCTATAATGGGAAGCGATCCATCATGGGAAGCGCTTCACGGAAATTTATACGGCTGATCGTTAGCGTCGCAAATGAAAATGCTCTCAGTGTCAGCGATGATCGGTGTCCGCCAGTTCTTATTGTTTCCGACGCAAACACCGGTATGTGGGAAATAAGTGCACCACTGTATACATAAGGATTCCAAATTAATGTGATCATTGAAAGCCAGGCAATATCATTAGCCTTATTTAATAATATCTTGGCGCGCATAGTAAATGCGCAAGTTCGTAGATGTATATGTGTACTACATGTGTGTACATAAATAATATAGATACACGACAATTACATGTAAGTATTCTATATTTTAAATATTATACCTGTATGCACACACGTATACGCAAGGGTAACATATAGAGTACACCATTTTTCAGTGTACACATGCAGTGTTAATTGTAAAAGTACATTAATAATATTAATATGAATTTCATACTGCTACGTACATAATCTCGTAAAAACAGCTCTTGTTTCTGTGGCTTTGCAGTAGATGATTACCGTAACGCATTCTAGCTGCTGTTGTGTTTTCTTTAAATTTAAACGGCAATTCGTGTAAATTAATTCTAACAGTTACAGTATGAGCCTGCAGCTCCGATTTATGCTGCGTCTTGGGTAATCCGATATATTCGTACGATATATGATTTCTCGTACAATTATTATTTTTACGCTGCTATCTGTACATGATATTAATGTTCGTACAATACATTAATTTGCTCATTTATTTATTCATTGTTAAGCTGGCACCGGAAGGCCGACCAGTTCTCAGCAAACGACGTTCCAGTTTTTTTCCATTGCGACCTCTAGAGAGCTCTAATAAAGCAAGAACGTTCGAAAATTAGTGGCACTGGCATATATTTATATTTGTATACAGTATTATCGCTGCCGTACGCAGTTGTCTGTCCACCGATGCCACTTTCTGACATCGGTAAGAAGTATTACAAAACCAAAACCAGAAATACCCGCGCCCAGTATTGATATCCAGCTGTCAATGCCGGTTATTGGCAATAGTAACCTAACCGCCGCCCTGCGTGTCCGGCCAGACCACTCTCTTGTAGGACACCAACGTCAGTAGGCGGTCTCAGCGTATCCCTGGGCACCGCTGCAGTAACAAGGATAACTAACGTCTATAATCAGAAGACTGCAGTCATCAGTCAACTTACGCGAGTGCGCACCTGGAACACTGCAGCGACGGAGCCGTTGGGGACACCTTCTCCAATGCACGCCGTAAATCCGGAGCGCATAGTGTTGCGTTTAAGCGTTTTAAGTGTTGCGAAAACAATAATGCCAATAACGATCGTGTTGATTAATAATTATTAGAGAAATTGTTTATAAAAATCAGAATTTTTATTGTGAACTGTATACTTAAAAACTTAGTTTTATCAAGTTGTAACGTATATCTGAGTTAAAAATATTAACATTAATTCACCATTACAATTACTAACTTGTACAAGGTGCGCGCAACACAAAGGTCGCCGTGGTGCCGATTGCCACGTTTGCCAGGGCTGACATTTTTGTAGCAGTTAACGCCACGGATGCCAATCGTGACCGCTCGCCCGGCTCCACTATACGTCGATCCCACTTTCCCAGCCTGGCTCGACTTTTGCTTACCCAAAGTCTCCTCGCACACGTGCCCAGCCGTCAGTACACGGCGCCGGACAATCTGTGAAGCACTTGTATAATAGATTTCAGTACAGCGCAATCAGTTATACGAGCTGCATTACACTGTATGTCTGTATGCAATATTAAACCACATGGCATGGCAAGCCGCATGGCAGCTTGCAGTGGGTAACAAGTACGAGTACTTAACAACCGATCGTCATAGGCCTGCAAGCCAGCGGCAGATGAAAACGTTCTCAAATGTCTCCATGCAGCCGAATTGAGTGTTCTGTCAGTTACGATTTTATTTTCATTCTGTATCATTCGGATTATATTGAACATGTTGTGTAAATCTGAACCAGGAGCAAGGCAAGTTCTGATATATATACTTTTTACCTTAGACCTTAGCAAGACGGCTTAACGGGTGTATGGAATAAGGGCTCATGAAATAATTATGTGCAGTTTAATGTCCCTGCAACAGGGTTTTATGTTAACCCCCATAAGCAGATATACGAGCGTGTTTATGCAGTAATATTGTTTGTAATAAATCCTGTATACGTATCCAGTAATTTTGAAGATTGTCCGCGTGGATTGCACAAGGAAATGCCGTGGAAAGCATCTCAGTGTGAGAATGGAGAGGACGGGCGGGAAATAAGCTGTTGCGGCTGCTCATCCCTCCTTGGTTTCTTCTCCCGGCAGAGTAGAGCGCGACGCATACAACGGCCAGGGGGAAAGCTAAAAAATGCCGTGCAGCAGCCGCGATGCGGAGCTGGTGTGGCCGTTAAGATCTACCAAGCCGTGGCGCAAGCGCAACCGCCCAGCGCCGGCAGCAACCTGATCGTCTGCCCCTACTCCATCCAGCACGTTCTATTCGCTCGCCTCCTCGGCGCCCGCGATCAGTTGCGCCAGGATCTTCTGGCGCTGCTGTGTCCCGACGGGCGCAGCATCGATGACGTCAGCGCGGCGTTATCCTGCGTCGCGGGTGACGCGGCGTTCAGCCAAGTCAACGCGGTCTTGTACAGCCAACTCCTCACGCTGAAACCGTCGTTTAAAGACGCAATGCTCAACAAATCCGATGTGGTGTTTTTACCCGTGGATTTTGAGAACGCAACCGCCGCCCGGGCGGCGTATGCGGAGTTTCTTGAAAAGCATGAAAGCAGCGATATGGCCGACCGCCTGCCGGTGGGCGATATGCGCAGCGTTCTCGATAATCCTTTAACCAGTTTAGTGCTGATTAATTTGCTGACGTTCTCCGCGCCGTGGGCGCTGCAGTTCGAGGAGAAGGACACCCGCGACGGCGTGTTTACCTGCCTGGACGGCAGTCAGAAGAAAGTCCCGTTTTTGATATCGGGAAACACGACCTGGACGCCGTTTAACGTCGAGAAGAAGACCGCGGCGACGGATCCGCAGATGGTGATTATGGAGGCCGGCGAGAAGCGGTACAGTGTCATGTGTATTCTACCGGCGGCCGCGGGCGGGGAGGCATTGCGGCAGCTGGAAGAGAGTCTTAGTGTGAAGTTATTGCGCGGATGGCGGCGGCAGAGTATTCGCTATGGTATGGCGCTATCCTTGCCGAAATTCCGGGTTAACTGCCAGCTGGAGCTGGAGCGCGGCATGCAGGCGCTGGGTCTGGCGGAGTTATACTCGCACCGCACCGCCACCGGCTTCTCCGACATGTTCCAGGAGTGTCCGCTGCAGGGCGCTACCGCGTTCCAGCACAACGTGGTGTTCGGTGAGTAATTTGGCCGGTTGTTATTTGTTATACTACTGTAACGAGAGAAGCGACACACGTACGGCGACAAAGTCTTTCAAAGGATTTCAACGTAATGCGCGCCGTGGTGCAGTGGTACTGCTTACGGGGATCTAACGACGTAGCCGGGGGTCAATTCCCCCATCGGTGCATTTTTCGGCCGTTTCTACTTTCTCGGTTTCCAGTGGATAGCGCCCTGGTTTTAGTACTATGGAGCTACAGCAGTAGAAAACCCGTTAACGGAGAGATTTTAGCACGTTGAAAATTCCTGCATTTTGACCATTGATAATTTGTGAATTAATTTGCGGAGAAGTGTATGTGTGTCTCTCCGTAGAAGTGGACGAGCTGGGCGTCCGGTCGAGCGTGGCCACCATGTTCTCCGCCGAGTATCTGTGCGTACCGAGGCCGGCTTTCCTGGCCAACCGGCCCTTCCTGCTGCTGGTCTGGCACAACCAGCTCGACGTGCCGCTCTTCATCGGCCGCATCGCCGATCCCTCGCTGACCATCTGAATACATGCCGGCTGCACCGGAAAGAAAGCTGTCAGCTCCTCTGAGAGGTCTAGTCTCATAATTATGACCGTTACCGGGATACGCTGGGTGTTGCGAAGATTTTGTTTGTTGATCTTGTTCTAGTGTCGTGCTATCGTGCTGGGTTGTGTTCTGTGAGATTGAGAATTGGCGCTGATCTGGATTCTATTGCGCCCTTGGTGGAAAACGTTTTTACGCTTTCTAGCAGTCAAGTTTGTGAAAATTCACAGCAGCCTATAGATGCTCAGCATACCCACATCCCATTTATTATCTAGTATTTATATCGACGAAAGACTGCTCAGATTCAAGGGAGTACTAGTACTTAATTAAATGTCGCAGATACAGCATACGTTGCTGTAATTTTCACTTTGGCTATAATAATATGTACATGGAGAGATGACACTCGCACTTTGCAGAACAAACTCGCTATTTAACAGTTCCTCTTGTAATGAGTGTTTCTGTATTGGATAAACTGGCTGGCATTCCTGCCGGGGATAGCAGCTGGAATTATTTAAGGGAAGTGGGCCGGTACATGGTACCAAAGTCGTGTACATGCACGAAATGTTTCACATTCGCGCACTTCCAAACTCTTTTTTCTCTTGTTTTATGACATTCTCTAGCCAGATGATTTGTATACACTGGCGTGAAAACTGAAAACCGTTTGTGCGCGCAACATCCGGTTTCCGTAATTTTCGTTCCGCCTTCGTCAGTACTTTCTCGGCGCCCAGTAGTCAGTACCCGCCACACAGAAGACCAGTCCGTTGTCGACAACGGCCACGTTCTAGCCACATGTCCGGAAACGGACAGAGGCGTGCTGTTAGGCGTAGCTGCCGGGCGACCGACCACATTAAGATTTCTTGGGAAGAACGATGCACTGGCAACTTCCGGTGTGTATACTGAAAGCTGGACGAGCGACCCCGTCCACCGTTATTCCCACTGGCCGCGCACGCCTTCTTCTCTGACCCGCTCATTTCGACCGCCCCCGGCTCACCCGTCGCGCCGCCACAGTCACCGGCCTGCGGTCCGGTGGAAGCCCTGCCGGTTCTCCCAGCATCCGCGATCACACAGCCCTCGTTGCCGAACATCTCTTATTTATTTTAATTTATTCTCCGCCCTCCTATAGCTACGTCCAGCATGGTGCAGATGGAAGGCGTATGGAGCACGTCCGCTCCTTCCTTTCCTCTCTTGTCCTTGCTCGTACAATTAACCGGCCGGCGTTTGTACAACTGGATGTACACTGTACAGCAGCTGTCTCTGAAGTCGAATGCAGACATCTTACGCAGTAAGCGCCACTGGAATGTGCAAATAACCAAATTAACTAGCTTGCGTACAAGTTTAACGGTTATCTGTAACATCGTACTCGTAACTTATAGTCCCATACGTGGCTTAAGCAGTCAAAATCGCTGACCTGGATGTACAAAATACTCGTATCCAGTCACCAATCAGTGAACAGCGTAATCAGTTGCTCAGATTCAGGCATGCGGGTATCTTCCAACGCCTATGTACGAGTAGGTTTTTTGTGCATTATGCGCAGTAGATAACGACTGGTAACGTGTGTCATCACGATCCGGAGCTTATCTACGCTTTGAATGGTCATAACAACTATACCGCACGTATTCAAGATACCGCGCTGCACATCCCCGTTTTTAACATACCCGTTCTTATTTCTATGAATCATAACTTCTGCACCATGGTGCGCTGCACTGGCCGTATACCAGCCAACAGAGAAAGATGTCCGACTCTTCGTAATGTGCTGAGGTGCATACAAAAAAAAACTGCAGAAAATCACAGCAAAAACTACTAGGAAGAACGCAAAATCGCCAAAACCACTCCCTGTATTCAACATTGCGGCGTTCTTCACACCGGCCAAAATGCATGCACATGCATAAAATACATGCAAAAACCCGCGTCACTGTCACGACAACGACTTGCAGAGTGCAGTGTTCGGAGGAAAGCGCTACAACACTGCATAACAACGTCATGGTGCTGTTTGTGTGGTGTGGCTTATCACACCGCTGTTTGCATTAATGTGGGTTGTGGTGTTGCAGTGCATTATTGTTTCCGGTGCGACACCACAACTCAAAAGGGGGCTTATTTATTTCTCATTGAACACAACCGCAAGGGAAAAACAACCTCTAGACACAGAAAAAAGAAAAATCAAAAATGCGCAAACTACTGAGCGCCAAATACGCTGAGTATTCGCCGATTAATCGCTTATATACGGGTGGCTGCCCAGTGGGCATCTACGAATCAGGTCGCATCGCTACCAGAGAGAGAGCTTCTAACCGCTAGACACTTAACAGCATCGATACAGATTACAAACATGGATTCATCAAGACACGCTGCAACAGGCGTCAGCACCTGTGCACAATAATACTAAGATTATCGCCATAATCTATCCCATTGCTGATTCTGCTGGTTGGGATTAACTCAATTGCTGCGTCTTACGTGACTCTTCATTAATTGCGTTAAGATATGTTGTTAATTATCAAAAGAATGGTTGAGCCATATGACAGAGTGTGTCTGTGATCGAAAGACCTTTTCTTAGTGCCTCGCTTTGATCCTTATACAGATACCTGCCGACATGCGTATAAAATATACTGGAATCCTTACAATTTTTAAAGTGCCCAAGAAAACATAAGAAAAACAAGAAAAGAGAACATTTTACAACAAAAACAAGTGTTGTTTGCACTCATTAATTTTTATATGGCGCTAAAGTTGTTAACACCAACAGGCCGCATTGGTACGAACTGATGCGAATTGGGTGAAAGCGTGACCAGCTGCAGTGAATCATCCATCACTATCAGTGCCAACTTGTACTGTGAATCAGGCCTGCACCGATCTGGCCATTGCAGCTCAGCAGGGGTTCCGTACAATGCGGATAATTCTGTGGCGACTGCGTCGAGGATAGCGCGGGTGTCTCCTTCCCGCTAACTGCCAGCCGACCGGTAATCTGTCGGCTGTGCTAGGTACAGTGTGCTGGTGGACGGTAGTCGCGCTCGGCCGGCCTCGTGGCCGCCGAGCAGCTGCATCCATGCGCGATGGAAGAGCGGGCGGTGATTGCAGGGGGATTACGAAGCCGGCAGAAGCTTGGCCGGGATGCGCACCTACACATCGACATCGGCCCCGGGGAGGAAGGACCGCAATGGATCGTCCATCACGTCTCCGTCGGCCGGGGTCGGATTGCGCGGATTCCACGGAACACGTTCAGCTGAGTCCGCTGGAAGAAGAGCAGGGCCGCGTGGAGGAACGCCGTCGTCAGGGGACTCAGCCGACTGACGTCCACGTCGCCCAGGCTGGACAGCGTCCACTGGACATGGCGGTACTGCGTGGACTCGCGGGGATCCAGGCTCTGGTAGCAGTTGAGGCCCTGCACACCAACGACAAACCGCCATTTCTATTTGTAATCAGCAGCACGCGCCAGGCTGTCATTTACATATTCTCCTGCTCTGTTATAGTCAACGAAACGATCGCGTCGTGAAGCACCTGATACGAGTATTTACTGGGCTTATTGCCGGCTAAGTACAAGTACATACTAAAAAAAATTAGTCAGAATTAATAATGATGATGCAAACAAATACCGCGTACTGCTGAGTGCTACTGAGTAGGCACCCACAGTCATACAATTACCACAATATTATGATTACTGTACTGTTACCCTGCACTTGCCGAAAGTTTCACTAGTGCAGCCATGTGTACGTTGTACGTTCGCTATCACGATTCACATGGACGGCATACAACAGCTAACTGCGCACACTATACGAAATTTCGGCAAGTGCAGGGTAACAGTACATTACGTTAGGCCGGCGCAGCCACTAGCCACTACAGAGTACAGATCCACCTAAGAAACAGAAAGGCCTACCCGCAGAATCTTGTTAATCTCAACCTCCCGCTGGCGCTGGTGCGCAATGCAGTCAGCCAGCCATGCGGCCAGCTGCTGGCGGTTGCTGGCTGGCGCCTGCTGGTGCCGGAGATGCTGCTCCCAGACACTCCACAACTGCCGCTCCGTCTCCGGCTGACTTGTACACGGCGTACTGAAGGAGTGCTGCACTACCAGTGCCGCCAGTTGGGACTCCACGAGGCGGCACCGCTTCCACAACATCCGCTCGCACTGACACTGCACGGCCAGCTCACTGGTACGGGCCACGACCTCGTGGATGCCGGCGTCGGCGGCACCGAACCGGCACTTGTAGAAGAGCAGCAGCGGTAGGCGGCGCTCCTGCAGCATGTGCCGCAGCGGTGCGGACAGCTGGCGGGCGTCGTCCAGCGCCAGGTTGACGAAGACCGCCCGTGTGGTGCGCGGCGTCAGGCACTTGAGCAGGCAGGCCACCACCCAGTACACGCTGAGGCCCTCGAGCTCCAACGGCCCCACCGGGTCGGCCGCATACTCCCCCTCTGTGCCGGCGACGCGCACATCGGGGAAGTAGGCGTGGCGGGCCAGTAGGCGGTTCCACAGGGGACACACCCGGCGGCAGCGGACGCGCCCGATGGAGTCCAGCGAGCGCAGCACTTCCAGCCACAACTCCACGGGCAGCGGCAGGCTGACGGGAGGGACGGCCGCCGCACGGCCGGTGGTCGGGTAGCTGGTCGGCTTCCAGGCCGGTGGAGCGGGCGGACTGGCTATCAACAGCGGCACCGGACGCGGCATCAGGAGCGGCGCGGTTCGGAAGCCTACTTCGGGTAGGCGGCGGTCTGCACAGAGACGTTCCTGCAACGAACCAGCAACGTTCTAGCTGATTACGGACAATTGAACTGGATAATGCTAGCGGTCGTCGCGAACAACATTATTGCACGAGCGCGAGCGCCAATACCCCTGGGAAATGGTATAGGGGTCGTGGAATTGGAAAAGCGTAACGTACGCTCTTCGTGGCGTCAGACAAGTTTTATGCTCTTGACGAAGGCTTAACTGCAGCACCTCGCGCTCGATGCAAATGAATGGCTACCAGCAGCGCCCTTACCACTTGCTCGGCGGTCAGCGCCGTGCCCGTCTCCCGTTGCAGATACAGGAGGGTCTGATTGAAGCGGGAAACGAACAAGACGTTGTGCCGTCGACCATCGAAGATCTGTCCAAGCCGCTTGGCCACCGCGGTGGCCGGCAGCGGGCAGCAGCGGATCACGAAGGCCCCCTGCTCCACGCGTGGCCGACCGCCATCGACGCCCGCGGATGGCTGCACTTCGCGCACCTGCTGGCAAGGCACCAGTTCTTGGACAAAGCAGGGCAGCAGTCTCCTGGGCCAGCCAGCGCGAACCAGAGCCAGCGGCAGTTCCGCTACGACGCTGACAAACTCCTCGTAGCGGTAGGAGGCGACGGAGCGAACCTGTCCCCGGTACCAGATCCAGGCCGCCGCCGGTTCATACCGCAACAACACCTGCACCCACTGTACACGAACGTCGTTGTTTAGTTGGCAGAGCCCCGGAGGCGGCTGGCTGCAGAGGAAGATGCGTCCGTATTCCACCCGCTGCGCGCGCTGTGTCAGCTGACTGTGAGTGCCCCACTGGAAATCAATCATCAGGCCGCCGTCCACCACGCTGATGACGCGGCCGTGCTGCAGTCGACCGTCGACGAGAACGTCCACAGCGTTCCACGCGTACACCCGATCGCCGTAAATCAGCATTGCGCCGTTCGTGATTATTATTTACTGCGTCTGTCTGCCCGTGTTAGATCACTGATCAGATCACTGGCAACTGGCCAGTGCCGGAAAGATAATATTACGCACTGCCGTCTGCAAGATTAATCCAGATCCCCTGAGTCAGGACTCAGGATGCATGGAAACATATAACGAGATAAAATTCTTTGTCGTATTAAATTTGTTTGTCGCTGTTGAGTCGGTCTAGTTTGCGCTATATTAAAGAGCAGAACCCTCCTGCACGTCGTGACATCCTTGCAAGCTCTAGATAAAATTAAACACTAACCGAATAAATAATAATTGTCTTCATAATTCAGAAGTCAGGATTGATACAATTATGAACAGCAGCAAAATCAACTCTGAAGTTCTGATTCAGAACTTCTGAACCGCTGTTCTACAACTTCCAGATTTTCACCTGCTTGCGGGAACTATCGAGTATCGAGTACCGAGTCAGAGTATTTATTACTGACTGTATTACACTCTAAATCTACGGTAGTAGTACAGTAGCGCCTGGACTGTATCACAGCACGCGAGGAACAGCGGAAGTCACTTACGTATACCTCGCCACTCCACGCACCAGACCAAGCAGTTGACCACAGCGGGCGGTGGCAAGCCATTCAGAACATTTGGACCGGCTGGCCAGCCACCGTGACGTCATGAGGATGCGAGAAACCCAAACAAACAGGCAGATGGTGAATACGGTCTACGGAAAAAAACTCTTTTTGTGATTCTGTGGATCAAAATCTGTTAGATCGTGCGAAATGTTGCTTTCATACTGTATTTAGTGTATTACAATCTGCGCCCGTTCTCCCATCATTCGTCTTTTGGCGCCCAATCGTCGCGAGGCGCTGTTCAGGTTGTACACGGCGAGCATCACATTATGGCAGAAGCTGGTCCGTCGAACCCCTTACCATCTCGAAAGCGACTGCGCCTGCCCGAGGACGGAGCGACCGTCTCCCTGGATGCCTACGGATTGGTGCAGGGCCTGAATGACGTCCGATCCGAATTGTGCGATGTGGAACTGCGAGGTGCCCCACCTTCCGATGCTCCAGCAGAGCCATCATGGATTCCCTGCCACCGCATCGTCCTCATGGCCCGCAGCCAGTTTTTCCGTGCAATGTTCCGTTCTGAGATGATGGAATCGCAGAAGAAGGACCTCCCGCTGCCGAATATCCCCCACAGCATTCTAGAGCAGTAAGTGCACATGCAGCAGAATCGCAGTGGCAACCATGCATCTGTACGGCCAGTTAAACATGGCCATCGGTTCTTGGCGACTTGCAGGATCATCGGCGCAATGTACGGACACCCCATCAGCCTGGAGGGCCTCGAGGACAGCGGTGCATTCGCTCTGGCACAAGCTGCGGACTATCTGGAGATTCCGCAGATTGTGCGAGCATGCACGACGCTGCTGCGGACGCGCCTGGAAGTGGACAACCCGCGCCTGGAGATATACAATGAAGCGGTGCGCCTGGCCTTGGTGGATCTGGCGGACGAGTGTCGCGCCTTAATTGGGGAGCATTTCATTGTGATGACCTTACGTGGCGATTTGGCATCTCTGACAAGCGACGCGGTGCGTGTTACGCAGTGTCCCGAACACCTTCCGCCGTTTGTCAACAGCCATTGCTTTGTTTCTTGTCATGCACTGTCCTGTACTCGTATTGAATTTGACAGATGATCCACTTGATCCGCTCCGACCAGCTGTACGTAGCTTGCGAGGACCAGGTGGCTGATGCTGTTTGGCGGTGGCTGACAGTTCCGGATTGTGCTGAGCAGCGGCACCCGCTGGCGGATGAACTGTTCCAGCACCTGCGACTGACTTTGCTGTCTAACGGTTTCCTAGCTCGTCTTCCTGAACATCCCCTGGCGCAACGTTTGGCAAAAGCGGCCGAGGATGCTACCGAGGCTGCTCTCGCGGATATCGATGCCGCTGCGAACAGCCGTCCATCGCTGCGCGTTTCGTATGGTACGGTACATTTCGATTCACTGCACACTGTGAACAAGTGTAACACTGTTGTTGCAAGCACTGTACTGTAATGATAACCTTGCAGAAACCGTAATTGTGGCCGTCCATCACCTGTCGGGCATGATTGATTGCGTGGACTCGAAGACCGGGAAATGCGAGAGCGTCCCTTTCGCTCCACCACCACCGAACTGCGCATTCCCACCGTTGTACATTCCACGTGGTCATCAGATCGCCATTGCGACGATGCTGCCAGCTGAAGGGGGCGGGATGGTTGTCATGACGTACGACGCCAGCGTGGACCGGTGGTCCGGAATGGGCACCTGTGGTCTGGACGTCAACCAGGCATCTCTGGCTGTTGTCGGGGGACATCAGTACGCCGTCGGCGGACAGCAGCTGTACTGCTATTACGACGAGCTACAGGAGTGGCAGCTGAAGGCCGGCAAGCCGACGACTGTCTGGGAGAGTGGGATCGTGGCGCACGGCGGATTTCTGTATTTGTTTAGCGGAGTGGTCAGCAGTGTGGAGTGACAAGTGATGATGTCCTCCGATATGTCCCCAACGAGAACGCCTGGCAGACTTTGGCGCCCCTGCCGACAGCCCGCTGCCGGCCAGCCGCTTGTGTCGGGCCAGACGGGTGGATTTACGTTGTCGGTGAGTGGTGGCCGCTGTACCACACTGTACAGTGGTCATGCTGGTACCTCGTCAGTAGCGATATTTGCCATGAATACTTTGCAGGATTACGCAGTTAATGTCCATCAGCGCGGGTATACTGATCTGTATAGGGACGAGGCTGACGTTAAGCATTTACGCGTTTATTACGCATGTAATGGACGTTAACCGCAGTAATATTAATTCGCAGGTGGCTACGCCGGCCCCGGCAACGCAGTGCCGCTGAGCTGTGTGGAGGCCTACAATGTGGAGACGGGCCAGTGGGAGCAACGAGGTGAGTCTGCGTGCACACAGTCACTGCTGCTGCGTGTGTTGATGTTGTGGGATGGTGTGTGACTATATATATGTGCGTCGACTGATATAGCCGACATGGGCACACCACGTGCCGAGTCCGGGCTCCTGCTGATCGACGGCCGACTGACGGCGGTGGGGGGACTTGACGGCGACGAGGGCGGGCTTTGGATGGAGAGCTATGATCCCGCAACCGACAAGTGGACCCCCGGTCCGCTGGCCGCACCGGATGATGTCCCTCCCGGCGCTTTTCCCTGCGTCGCCATCCAAAAACTCCTGGCCTGGAAGCACATCTTGCCGCTGCGAAAAGGGATCACTTGGGCAGCGTTTACCTCGCGTTAACAGACCGAGTAACGCTGTACTCTGCAAGTCGCTGTCTTGACCGTGACACCGTGGGTTCTTCCTGAGTAAATACAATTATTTTTGCCTTTTTTGTGGTACGCCGCCATGTTGACTGAGCTAACTGAGATGGGTTGCATTCTTTTGGCGATTTTGCATCTTCCTAGCAGTTTTTGCTGTGATTGTCTACAGTTTTTATTTTGTACATTTACTGATTACGCTGTTCACTGATTAGTGGTCAGATACTTTTGTACAAGCAGGTCGGCGATTTTGACTGTTTTAAGGCACGTAGAGGGCCATAAAGTTACTAGTGTGATGTTGTTGGCATTCCGGCGGAAGTTACAGATAACCGTTCAACTTGGTACGCAAGCTGATTAATTTGGTGATTTGCACATTCCAGTGGCGCTACTGGCATAAGATATCGGCATTTGACCCCAGAGATCTAGACAGCTGCTGTGCATCCAGTTGGTGCAAACGCCGGCCGGTTAATTGTACAAGCAAGGGCAAGAGAGGAAGGGAAGGAGCGGACGTGCTCCATACGCCTTCGATCTGCACCGACTGGACGTAGCTAGGACGACGAGGGCTGTGTGATGGGGGATACCGGCAGAACCGGCTGTTCTTCCATGGGACCGCCAGCCGGTGACTTCCACCAAAACGGCCCGAAGATAACCGGGCCCGATTATTAACACACTCTTTTAACTGTGTCACGAGTACGACTGGTAGAAGTACATTTTGTATGGACAGTCATACTGTGATGTGGTTTGCAACGGAAGGAAGTGGCCAGAAAGTATCAGCCAATTAGTAAAGTGTTAAGTGTACTTTGATCTCTCATAAAACAATCAATAAAATGTTGTCTCATGGTTTGTCTATGAGTGCTTTTAAGTTGAAGGCGTGTTCTGTCATCTTTCATATTTTGGATCAGAAATCGCTTCTGAGTGCTTGAGGGAGAAGAACTCCTTGTGAATGAATTAATGTCATCTTGCACGGCTAGCAGCTCTGGAATATCTGGTCTTGGAAAGTGTTCTCTAGAATGTCTTCTTAGCCTTGATGTTGTTGCAGTGCTAGCTTCAATCAGTTTACATAAAGGTCAACGTTACCAGAACGATTGGGTTAGCGTCGTGTCTGTAGTTGACAGTCAGTAAAGGTCACTCACCACCATAAACCATCAGTAGCTTTACGCTATCTGACAACTGGTTCGAAGGTTTTATGGTTAATTTGCTAAGGATACTGAATGTCGAGTTTATTGGGCAAAGGCCATCAGTGTTACAAAAAGTGCATTCGCGTAATACTACTTAAAATGATTCAAATTTAAACGTTAAAAAAACAGCCAAAATCGTTATTGCTATCAAAAACCCTAGGACGCATATTCAAGGTGCCCAAAACAGCAGCAGCATTTCCTTTCACTACAGCTAGACTTAATCTCTGCTTCAAAAACGCAGTAGAACGAGGTTCCCCTGTCACGTCGCGAATCTTTCTGCCAGCGAAACGAATGAGCTCCATAAAATCAGAACCAAAAGTGCCAAAAGTTTCGACTGCCAGAGCGTAAAACAGGTAACCCATCCTTTCCACGTAAGCGTATTTACGGCGTTTAACGTCTTCGGCCATATGCGCAACACTACCGGATGCACTCGCACTTGCCCGGACATGCGATGCGGCTACCGTGTCCCAGCATGTAGCGTCCCATACCAGCGCCTTACCATCCCGTACCGGGACGAGAGTCATGCCGTCTGGCCGCGTGTTGTTTATGCCTGACAGTCCGAGTGGCTCGCTTTGACATGGATACCCCGCATGTTCCAAAGCCCGCTTTATTTCGGCATTTAGTTCCGTATGTCTGGACCATCTGCCTCTGCTGCTGGTACAAGAAAGACCGTGGTGACCATTCGTCTCCACATGGCTTCCGCAGTTTACGCAATCGTGTTCTTCTACTACTGGAAGTCCGAAACGAAGTGCCACACCGATTCGAACTTCTTCATCCCGCAAAAACGCACGCAAATTTGGTGCAGGCAACGCATTCAGCCATGCGCCTGAGTCACGGTGTTGCGCAGCTAACAATACCGCTCGATCTGTTTGGTCGGTAATGGCCAGCCTCATTGAGACCACTTCTTTATCGATCCATGGCCGATCCCATGCAAACTGGAATTTCCTTTGCTCTGTAACAGGGGGTTCACAGCCTGTCTCTTCCATCCAGCGCTGCACAATCGGATCGAGCGATTCTTCCGTTGCAGGGCGATAGATTGTTGAAACCAAAGAGATCACCGAGTACGCCGATGCCAAAAAGGCAGGAAACACTAGCGACTTGGCACTCCGTAGTCCCATTCCTCCGTCCCTGATAGGAAGCGTCATCTGGCTCCACTGTGCATCGTTCACGCGGATGTTCAGAATGGATTGCAAACCGCCACGAACGATCTTATCTATAGTTTCGGTCAATTCCACATGTTGATAACATCTGCCTGTGCGGAACCCGTAGAGTAACTTCGGTATCAGCAAGCAGTTTTTCAGGAGATATAGACTGTAATGTGCTGGAATGATTTTAAGACGGGATATGAAGAATTCCAGTTGCTCACATTTATTGCGCAGGAAAACGTCACATGCTTTTGCTGTCAATGGCGCACCAAGGATACTGAATTATATGAAAAGGAAAAAAGACGCAAAAGGAATCAACAGTCAGCTTTTCCTATATTTATGAGCAAATGCTTGTTGCTACGCCGGTGTTGTTGCGACTGCCGAATGCCGTCCGGACAGGATGACCACGACGATGGTTAAAAGCAGCAGGGTCTAACTAAGGGTCAGTCTGCAGTCTGACCATGGCGTCGTGCAGACGCGCCGCCGCAATTCCCGTCAGCTGACTGACGTCCACATTGCCGAGAGTCGCCGCCGTCCACTGCACATCGCGGTAATGCGTGGTCGAACGGGGATCCACGCTCTGGCAGCCGTTGAGAATCTGTACATGGAAGCCTTAGTTAGTACCGGCATGCATTGCTTTTAGTTTCATGTCGGTGCGTCCGGGAAGAAATTGCCTACCCGCACAATGGCGTTCGTCTCCCTGTCCCGCTGCTGGGCGACGGCGTCAGCAATCCAGGCGGACAACAGCGGGCGGTTGACCGGCTGCTGGAGGACGATATTCTTCTCCGCGACATCCCACAACTGCCGCTCCATCTCCGGCTGTGATGGCGTGCTGAAGGCGTGCAGCGGGACAAGGACCTCCTGCATCTGGTCCGCCGCCGCCGACACCATGCGGCACTCTTTCCATACCATCCGCTCGCAGTTACACCGCACGGCCAGGTCAGCCGCCCGGCCGATTAGCCCGCCGAGACCCGTCCAACCGCCGAAATCGCAGTCGTAGAACACCAGCGTCGGAAGTCGGCGCCGGCTGGGCTGGAGAACGTGCTGGAGGGGTGCGACCAGGTGGCGGGCGTGGTCCACCTGCAGGTTAACGAAGACCGCCATCTGGGTGCGGGCGGTGAGGCACTTGAGCAGGCAGGCCACCACCCAGTACTGGCCCGGCACGCCGGCATTGGGTACGGCTTCCCAGAACCACGGCGTCGGGCCGTACTCGCCCTCCGTGGCGGAGACGCGCACATCGGGGAAGAAGGCGACCGTGCGGAGGAGGCGGTACCATGCGGGACACACCCGCCAGCAGCGCACGCGCCCGACGGAGTCCAGGCAGCGGAAGACTTCTAGCAGCAGTTCCGTCGGCAGTGGCAGGCGTAAGGAAGGCACTGCATCGCTGCCATGGGACGCTGATATCGCGACTTTGCGACTGCGTGGCCTAATGACCGACACCCCCTGCAGCTCCAGCTGCTGCCACAGCCAAATCGAGAGTCCTGCAGACGCAGAGGACCTTCTTCGTTCATCCTCTTTAGCACAGAACCCTTCCTGCAGCGAAGTGAAAGCAACGCCTTACAAGGATTATCCGTGGCAGCAGCTACAAGACATCCTCCCATATCTATGCAACTGGTGTAAGTACAACGATTTGTTGGCTGACTGTAGTTCGAAGTAATCCGGTATTAATCGTCAGCATGCAGCAGAAATTAGCCTTGTAAGCTGTAGCCTATGTACCGGTATCCAAAATTTATTTCTCAATATGTACAAAGTGAGCTTCGCTCAACAATATTAGTCTCTGTTCGGGGCACACACGGTAGGTTTTCCGGTAACGATAACGGTATGACTCACCACAAATTTACCGTTTTCTGCCTCTAAGCAGGGCGCAATCCGAGGGAAACCGAAACCGGCTGAAAAAGGCGCCGATGGGGAATCGAACTCCGGCTACATCGTTAGATCCCCGTAAGCAGTACCACTGCACCACGGCGCAATACGTTGAAATCATTCGAAAGACTTTATCGCTGTACGTGAGCCGTTTGAAAGACTTCTCTCCTCACATGCCTGTACCGTATCGTAGATAACGATAGAAAGCATTGGTATCGTTGGGCATCTCCGGTAGAATCTTGTGAGCCGTGGAATTATTGAATTACCGTTTTGTCAAAAGAAATAAGCATTTGAAACATCGCTCTATATAATAAAATATTTTGTCGAGCACTCGAGCAGTAAAAGAGAAATAACATTTAGAAACAATTTATTTTGTGAGGGACTAACAAACCGGAAGTCGTCGGTTCACTCAGACTGCCTCCCCACAAGCGGTTGGTCAATCGGCAACTTATTGGACGACGAAACCTTCCGCATTGCCGTTGCTATTCGACTAAGCGCACCTGCATCTTCCGAGCACCAGTGCAGGTGTGGTGCCGAAGTCGCCGCTGACGGCCACCATGGATTGAGTTGCAAATTTTCTGCTGGAAGACTGCCCAGACATGACTGCATTAATGATATTCTGCGACGGGCTCTGGTTTCAGCAGGCATTCCGGCGCGAACGGAGCCTAGAGGAATGCACCACGATAACGACACACGTCCAGATGGTATCACCACTTTTCCCTGGGCCAGAGGGCTGTGTTTGGCGTGGGATGTAACCGTTGTCGACACCGTTGCCCGGTCTTACTTGGATCACACCAGCGTAAAAGCCGGAGCGGCAGCCGACCAAGCCGAAGTCGAAAAAGAGCGAAAATACAACTTCCTGTCAGGACGGTATGAGTTTGCTGCCGTCGGATTCGAAACTTTCGGAAGTTTTGGTACATCAGCCAAGAAATTGCTTAAAGAGGTCGGAAATAGGATCGAGTTACAAACAGGCGAGATTCGCAGCCACGAGTTTTTGAGGCAGAATATTTCTTTAGCAATTCAAAGGGATAATGCCGCTTCTGTCA